AAAATATGTAAAACAGGCAAGTTTTCCCAAATCTAAGATTGTAATTTTGTCTCAATTGATAGTTCTGTTGATCGTATTGTTTTCCAGTGTTGACGGTGTTCATATGACTTGAAGAGTTTCCCAAAATACACTCTTTTTTTTATTTCTAACCATATCGATATATAAAATAAATAAAACAGAGAAAGAGCGGTTTAAAGTGGACAAAATGACTGGCAAACTTGTGGTGTCATTAAATCATGTGAAATCACTGCTCTCTCCCCTTTGTCAGGTCAAACATTATTGCACAGAGGCGAGACTCTTGACACCCCTCACACTCGGACAAGCCCATCTTTATTTCACAAGGCTAACGTCTAAAGAAGCTCATTATCATCTTTAATGTTTCAGTGTTACATGGGCGAGCAGCTGGCTTCTTTCCATCTCCCCGTGCTTCCTCATTCCTCCAAAGGACCTCGTGTTAAATCCGGTCAGTGCTACATTATTCATGCTTTGGTTTGCTGACGTAACCTCCCTGTGCGGGAACCTGAACCTTCCCCACCTCGTCTTGACAGCTTTCTGTATTTTGCAAAACACATTTTGACGCGTGTTTTTGGTGAGCCTTCGGGATATTGTTAAGATGATTGACCTTCGATCTGCAGTGTTCACCCATATGTTCTCCCACGACTCAGTTATGTACACGGACATCTTCAGTACGCAGAAAAAGGCACTGACTCGCTGACTGATACCGTATCTCCTGCGGCCCACGGTCCCGAGCACCTAGATGATATGTATTACCTGCGTATTTTAAATGTAATTCTCGATGATGCCTAAAGCACTAAACTCGGGCTGACAGGATCCTGATTTCCCCCAATGGAAGGTCATCGCTGCTCCAAGTTTTCAAATTACCATGGCACGGCTGTGGAGTGGAATGGATGAGGACAATATTTAAATGCTAATGAAAATGAGGTTGGATTCAGAGATGATGCATGTATTATAGAGCAGGGTGGTGTTCTAAAGCTGCAATCTGCTGTCTCAGGTTTCCACCTCAGGAGGGAATTGGAAAAAGGATCAAGGCAATGCTGTACTGCCTTTAACTGCTCAAAGTAGATAGAATTCGTGTTAAAAAAACTAAAGTATTTCAAGTCACACTAGCATAAATACAGTGGAGTACTACAGCTACGATTCAATTCACTTTACCTCCATTTTGAGTTTTATCACCACCACGCTCATGAGAAATCACACACTTTGGGGCACTTCAAGGTAATGCTTTCATTTTCTTCAATACAATACTCGGACTGAGGCTGTTAAAACAGTTCATTATTGTTACATTTCCTATTGCTGGAGGAAATAAATTGGCCCATTTGAACTTGAACTTTCAAAGGCAAATGTGCTCACTCCGAAAACTTCCACACCAGGATCTCTGCATGTCAGTATATCTTAGTCAATATACTAATTCAGGAGTATTTGACCCTCTTATCTACCGTTGCAAAGGGGTTCTTTCCACTTTATTGAGTATTTAATACTGCTTGATAACCAGTCACATGCTCATGCTCAACCTTTTTAAGTAGCCTTTAACTACATGCCCCTTCTAAATAATTTCTTGACAAACTCTACTGTCGACACACTAATTACGCATCAGTTAAGTCCACCTCAAAGGCTGTATGTGTGTTTTTATGGTTTTGTTTATAACCAAAGTAAACAAATATCGGCACACTGGATGAAAGTGTGTATCTGTCTATGGTGTCACTGAGCACACATTACAAGAAAGGTGACTGAAACTCTTAATGGCAGACACGGCTGCCTATATTGATTTGTTGGGGTCAGAGTTGGCATACCACTGGGGCTCTATTGGATGGTTTGAACCTCCTCCTGTGATTCCTTTTTTTATATTTTTTGTGCCTATTGTCAGTTCGCTCAGGTCACTCGGTGAGAGCCAACTGTGAGCGTAAAATCCATGTAATACCCAGGGTAAAGTGTTTTATTCAGTCAGCAGGGAGCTGCAGGACCGTGAATTGGGATGCTAAAAAAACAACTTCTTTGAATCACCTGAGCGGTCTGTATTGAAGGAAAAACAAAAATGAGTGTCTGACATTTGGCTGTTGTTTGGTGGAGTCATTCTTATTCCAGGAAATGAATTGCAGCATAACAAACAAAATTCGGTATATTGGATTTCTCAGTACCTGAGAAAATTGGGCCCACCTCAGCATGAGACTGAGATTATCACCAGGCCAGACATTCACCTCACAGCTGTGTCCTTCCTGAGGTTAAAGAAACCCATCAAACTGGACATTAACAACAGCATATGCAGGACAAGAAACTGGGTGGTATCCAAGACAAGGTTCAATTTTAAAATGTTAAATCAAAACACAATTCTCCATTTTCTATCCTATGATGCACTGACTCAACACACGTAAAAAAAAGTCCCTATTAAACTTGGTGATGTGGAAAAAATATCAAAGAAAAAAATACAAATGAGTTGCTGAACTGATTGATGAGAGTGAAAACGAGTACTTCCATTTTTACAAACAACCACAGTAGAGGTTTTAGCCTATTAACATGACGAGGGTTTAGTAGAAACTGATCCTCCCCCCCAGCAGAGTTCAAGGAATCTACATCAAGGAGCTCTGAAGCTGCAGTGAAGGTGTGAGTCATAGAGTTTTACCAGAACAGAGTCTTTTATTGACTGTTATTCTGTATGAACACAAAATAATGAGCTTCTCCTTGTGGACATCACAATGCCAGATTCGTTCAGTACAGACGACTTAAAAACAATTATTTTGTGAAACTGTAATTTGTAGTAAAAATGTGTTACTTGTTCATTGCTGATAATTTGCAAATTGGACCAACATTTGCACCTGTTGTCTGATGGTAATGATATCATTGCACAAATGAAGGAATGGGAGGTAGCCTTTCCTTTATGGATTTCTTTATTTGGCTCATTGCTGTCTCATATTCTGCCCTTTGCACAGTCTGGCGCTAAAAAAAAACCTTCACAACTTCTACATCTGTCAAGGCAGAAGTTCATCATTTCTTTCCCTGTTTGCATCATTATCCAGCTTTGATTGTGTTGAGATGCTCTTTTATAAGGTTGAATGATTAATCACAAAGACAACTGGTGAACATTATAGTCACTCCTCCTCTCCCCTGAGTGTGTAATTTCACAGTGTGTTGGTTTTAACTTTGGGGCTTTCTAAAATGTGGTTTCTGATGAACCATAAGGAAGATTTACACCATCTCTGGATAAAGTGGGATAATTCCAAAATCAAAATCAATTTACTGTTTGATGACAATTAACTGCTTTCATAAATCATCCTTAAGTGAAAACACACATATTTAAGAAAAATGTAAACAAACTGGGCTCTGATGCAGTATTTAGCAAAAGCCTAACGGTTTCTATCATTTATGAGAGAATGAAAGTTTGCATCTTACTTAAAGATTTAAATCCTGTGGAAATAAATATTTCTTTATATAGAAAAAATGCTCCTGATTGAAGGGGGCCATACACAACATGTCACTCATCTGTAAGCAGCATTTAACTCAGAGGAAACAGGGGAATTGATCATCATTATTAAATCATTTCCATTACTGTCATTGTTACTGTGAAATGTATGTAGGTCTTTTTAAACTGAAGGACATTGCACAGCAATCGCTCTTTCTTTTGGTTTAATTAATTCATTCCATATTTCACCCCAGTAAGACTAAGTGAAAGATAAACAGATGTTGTCAGGTTGTTATTTGTAGGGAAATAACGACTTTGTTAAGATATAAGTGCCTCTTCATCCACATCTATAAACTTCATTATGATGTTATATGCTGCAACACAAGAAAATAGCCTCTTCCTCTCTTTCTCTCGGGTTAGGGTTATCCTCTGGGTGCCTCTGAAAAAGTTTAAATCGCTTTACCTTCACTTGTCCTACCTGCAGGACCAAGGAGAGCTTTCAGGACCACGGACAGCTCCAAAGATCTGCTAACCAGCTCAGGGCGCCTACACGGAGAATGTTTGAGAATGAAATAGTTTGTTTCAGTTACTTTATTTGCCAGATTAATCCATTCTGTTGTTAATCGTTGTTAGACATGTTAGAATTGGCCATTCGGCTATAGCGTGTGAAACTAATGACTCACTTTTGCTGCATTACCGACTCCTATAGAAGCCGACCAGGGGCCCATCACACTCCTGGTGCCCCTGAGCTCAAACTCTCAGCTAGAAGTGATTGAACAAAGTGCTGCAACCGCTTTTAATTACAGCAGCAGCGCCAGAGACCCCGTTTTCAACCTAAAATCTGAGACTGCAATCGGGCTGCTGCGGTCCCAGAGATGAGTATATTATGTAATTAGTATGCGGGTGTAAATGGGATAGTGGGGTTTCTAATAATAGGAACTGAGAGAGGAAAAACAGCAGCCTGGCCAGTATGTGGGAAGGTTTTTCTGAGAGGAGCAGCTTAAGTGTATAGAGTGGGAGAATGTGTCTTGAATCTTGAATCCTTCAAGAATAAGATGGGAAAAGATGAAGATTGGAAATGGGTGGTGGGAGGTAAGGAGGTAAGAGAAGGGGGGGAGGCACTGCATCATTTAAGTACTGCGGCTGATGTCATTTCCTAAGCACCATAATTGGACATCAATGACTCTTCCAGCTGTGAAAAATAGCTAAATGAAAAACATACGTTCCCAGGGGAGAGGTTGTTGCTTCACTGATCCATTGAAACCTTAATTGCTTGGACCTTAATGCCCATCTCTCTCTCTCACACACACACACACACACACACACCTACACACGCCCGGGACAAGCTTCCACTGAGAGTCCACACGCACCTATATGTGTCCTACTGCCGTGGCCCCCACCTGGCCCCTCCTTCACCACACAGCACCGACACACTAAATGGGTTAAATCTGTGCCGCGGGGGGTCCATTCTCATCACTATGCCGCTTGACCGCTCCGAGCTCTCGCTGGGCACCGTCCTCTCCCTTCCCCGGTGTTGATTCTGCTGTTTCAAGCAGTTTTTTTTCCCCCTTTTTTAAAAAAAAAGAGGCGGCGGCGGCAGCTCATCTCAGACCCAGACCCGTGGGCGGCTGCGGGTGGCGTTCGTCTGGGCGCGCTGATAGGACGAGCATTTGGCACGAGCCGCCACATCCCAACAACACCCCGAATTCTCACGGTATGGCGCTGAGTGAAATGTAGAAAAAAAAAATCCAGAGTATAGCCTATAAGTCACTCATGTGGGTTTGGGGCTTTGGGCTTAAAAAATTCCCATCTCAACCATCTCCTTACCAGTTGATATTTTGAAGTGTCTCAAAAGTGTGGGACACATGACACGCTGGTGAATTCCCGAGGCAGGTGGAGCACAGAGGCTGGATGTGTCCATCTCTGGCTGCCGGACGCACTCCTCGAGACCACGGGACGGATGCAAACCGACTAAACATATCTTGGCAAGTCAAAGCGAAGCTCAGCCTCTCTCTGTCAGCGGTTAACGGGAGGAGGACGTCTCTCACACCGGTGGACCAGCCGTCTCACGGGCAGGTAAGCTCCGCGAGTCCTCTCCGGGTGCGCGCTTTAAAGGTGATGAGGGCGATTACCGGTCGACCCTGCGTCGCTCTCCGATGGCCGCAGAGCCTCGGAGGGGATTGCACCTGTTGTAATCATTGTAAATGGACGGAGCGAGGCTTGTGCGTGTGCACGTGTGCGTGCAGACTTCTCTGTGGTATATATCGCCCTCAACCTGATCCGTTTCATTAGATGATCAAACATGTTGTGTGCGTCTCTTTGCGTTAAGCCTGATTATTTCTACTGTTTCTCAAAATCTTTGTTGTTTTTTTCCAGCTGATGCCAGTGTGCTTGGCGCGCAGTTGTGCGCGCTGTGTGGGTTTGATCGATGTGATTAGGTGATTATAGGTCCATCACGATGTGATTAGGTGATTATAGGTCCATCGCACGTCATAAGTGTAATTACAGTGTGATTGTCTGAGCACGCAGCGGGGTGTAAAGCACTCCATCATACACCACATATCATTCTTTGTGGCTTCATCAGCCCATGTCTTCTGCACACTCAGCCCGAAGAAGCTTACACGTATAGTTCTGATAAATGGGACTGGCCGCAGTCTAAAAACACAAGTGTATTAATTCTCAATGCCAGATGCTCTCCAAGTCCTCAGTCATAACGCATGATGGCAACATCTGTCACCGCCTTTGCACACACTTATCATCCGAAACCTTGGAGGGGTTTTTTACGTCCAGCTGGGTGTGTGGGTAAGTGATGGAGGAGAGTGATGTGTGCATGGAGAGGGGGTGTGAAGGGAAGAATGTTATTTTCGTCATGAAACCGCGGCATCAGGCCGGGTTTCCAGCTGCGCTCCGTCCGCTGAATATGCGCGCAGACTAGTGACAGGCCTTCAGACCATCGAGGGTGTCCAACACTTTTTTTTTTTTTCACCCCACGGTGGGATAATTGTAGTCTCTGCCAGACCACCCTAAAGGCGACGTTCGTCCACGTGTCCCCTGGCAGTGGAACGGGTGGTGAAGCTGATGCTGTCAGAATGAACCTCCAGAATGATGACCCACGCTCAACTCCGGCAGAGGCGGCTTTAGGCAACGCGATGGACGGCCCACGCTGCGTCTCTGCTGAGGAAATGTTGTTAGAATGCAAGATTGGTTGGTTGGAGAAAGACAGCTGAGATCACAGCTGTATTGTCTTTGGGCAAGGTGACTTCAGAAGGACGCTGACGATGTGGCCTTGTACATTGAACGGACAGCAAGGGCTGAAATAATCCAATTTCTGTATCATTTAATTATTGGTTTAACGTTTGTAAATCTAATAAAATGGTATCTATTGTTGGGTTCTTATTGGTGCCTTTAACCTCTCAAAATTGTATCTTCTCTGCGTGGTTGTAATTGGACCAATCACAGTGTTGACAGATGGCATAGATTACATTTTAAAACTGAAGAATAGATTCATAGCAATCTAATATTTAGGTGAGGTTGAGTAAAAGGAGATTTAATTGTCTATTTATCTGTTATCATTGGCCTCATACAGATCTCGAGGACATCAAAGAGGTGCTGGAGGACGTTCAGTCACCGAGTCTTGCATGTTTTGATGTTTAATTGGTGGCTGAGGGGGAACAGCATGTGTTCCATGTGAAGTTTTGAGTCTGTTTTTAGGCTGTCTTTCTGTGCTGGCCATATTGTGCAACCGGTGAACAGAAAATAAAAAAAAACACTATCATGACCCCATTCCTGCCATTTGGCTAATGCATTTTCCTCCATTGGGACATGTGGAAGGTGGGGGGGAAATGTTCCTTTCCCTCCAATCAGTTTTTGGTTAAATCCCTTCCCCTTCATCTCCATCTCTCCTTTGGGCTTAAATTGGTTCTGATCGCTTGCTGCAGATTTGAAACTGGGTTCCCTGGTGTGCCGGTGACCCCACAGTTCAAACACTGTCAGTCAGCCCACTTTCATTTGTTCCTTTCATCCTCCCCCCCACATCCCACCTCACCCCACATACCTGTCTGTTTTTATACCACTCCTCTCCCTGCACTCAGGCAGTGGAGCTTATCAGTTGGAGGTGGTCTGTGAAAGCCTGTCGCTGTCAGCTCTCATGTCCATCTCTCCGCCATCAGTGACTGATTTCACAAGTTCGGAAAAAATAAAAAACAATGACACACACACACATACACACACAAGCCAAAAATATAATGGAGAATAATAGATTCTGACATAATAAAAAAAGAAAGAATCATATTTGTGTGCATGTGTGTGTTGGATTTTGCCATGAGTGAGTGGGTGTTTCTCTGAGGGAACAATTGTTACCAGATGTACTGTAGAAATGCATTTTCATATGAATATCATATCATATGTCTTATTAATTTGTCCACTGATAAGATCATCTCTGCTATCTGTTTAATTTGAGCAGCTGAAAAATGTGGGAATTTCATCCTGCTGTTGCAATCAATTAGCGATGTTATCTTCATCAGTTTCCACTGTGACATCCTTTTTCAAGTCATTTACAATGTAGGAATTATAATATTAAAGCATGATGATATTTTAATAGAGGTCATTTTCAGATGTTAACAAGCTGGGGTGTCTTCACATCCATGTCAGTATTAGATGCTGTGCACAACATTTGATTTAAGCAAAATAACTTAATTTGAAAGCCTGGTTAGAGGGTTGAGTGAAAAGTTGTCATGGAGACAGGGGATAACAATATGGAAAATGAACATAATAACACAGACGTATGTATATATAAAATCAAATATGGTTTCTAAGTTTACTAAAAATGACCTCTTCACATGGCTGCATGGTTGCATGGTGGTTATAAAAGCAAAGGAAGAAAATTGCCAATTTGAATCAACTGGACCTTTTTGTGAGGAGTTTGACTTAGATGACCAAATACAGAATGTGAATACATGTATAGGACATGACGTGAATGTTTGCATCTCGCTGGCTGAGACTCATGTCTGCAAAATAGATGCATGTTGCTGTGGTGATCTGAGTAGCTTTAATGTGCAGGTGAGACGAGACAGACCCAGGAGCAGATGGGCTGAAGAGTAAATTTTCTCAGAGCTCACGAGCCATGTACACATAAACATGATTTCACACATAGCTGTCTACCTCTGTCTCATTCACGTAGTCAATTTTCACATTTGGGCCATTGAAGGATCAAAGTTGACCATCTCACTTTGGCTTTTTTTTTTTTTTTAGCCTGTGCATTCGTAGACTTGTGTTAAGGTCCACAAATCAATCAGGTCTCAAATAACAGCAGATACAAGACAGGAGAGTGACTGTTTATATTTCCCGTCACAGAAATGTCCACACTTCTATCCCCATCCCTCTTGTCTGGCAGCTGCCGGCACAATCCTCATGGGACTTTTGTCCCTCCCACGCTCCCAGTCTTCCTTTTCTAACCCCCACCTCTGCTCACCACGTGCAAGAGGCAGGAGCATAACATGGAACCTATCACCAAAATGTCAAATTTGTCACACAATAGGCACTCACAGTGGGATAACTCCTGAATCAAAGCAGAGAATCGCTCTGATCATGCAACGGCGGGGGCCGGGGCTGATTGATACTCCGTCAAAGCGTGCGGTCTCTCGTTGAGGTGTTTGGTGGCAGCGAGGATTGTCCGCTGGGACAAAGAGTCAGCAAATCTGACAGGGTAGGTTAGAAGAAACAACAGCTGACACAGGTTTCCCTTCCTCTGACCAAAGAGCAAGCAAGAGAAAGACACAAAGAGAATGACTGCAGATACTGGGTTGTCAGATGTGCTGACAGTATTATTCGCAACAATAATAATGTTGTTTTTCTTTGTTAACCCATTGAATTTTAATGTGATTACATAATTTGCCACTCTGATTGTGAGAAGTGGAGAACTGAATATTAGCGGCGAGGAAGGAACAATTCCCCCCTCCACAGGAGCTGGTGTTTCTAAAAAGGGCTCACGGTTGCGCTGACAGCCAGAGTTTGAATGCGCATGCATACTCCGAGCCACAAGTCTCCCTCATCTCTGCTTTTTCTCTGTCTGTGACTCACACACAAACACACATGCGATCTTTATAGACGGCGTACGTCTCGTCTGCAGGGAGAAGATGCCATTCCACCATGTGCGGGCTGGCTTGCTCTACCCAGACAACTACCTGAGCAGCTCCCTGACAGAGGGCAGCGAAGCCTTCCAGCTCACCAGTCTCTCCACCGAAGAACTGGGAGGTGAGTGTGCTAACAGACGCAGACCGACAGGGTCTGTGTGTGAGTGTGTGTATGTGTGTGTGTGTGTGTTTGGGGAGAGTGTTAGATGCAGAAAAAAGTTTAAGGTGAACACAATTAATGTTCCGCCGGTAGAACAATACAGTTACAAGGCTCCAATTCTCCTGTGGCAAAGTTTCTCCATTCAGCCATTTTGTTAGAGCATGACTGGATGCATTGGTTTCCAATTATGGAGCTTAGGCGATGAAATCAGTCAAAGGGCTCAGAATGAAGTGACGCCTGGAGAGTGGGTCGATGTATTACTATTAGTATCTCAATTCAAGTTTTCAATCCACATTTTATCTTGCAGGAAAACTGATGTAACTAATCCTCACAATTGTTAAATTCTGAGGTTTTAAAGCATTCTGTGAAAGTCAGACTGCAGATCAACAATATTAGTTAAACTGGAGTAATTTGCTTAAGAACGACAAATGACTCAATTTTAGTGTTTTCAGAATAATCTTCATCAGATTAAGGTTTTTCTATATTCATTAGTTGTTTTCTGGCTGGCTGACATATTACTGCACAATGCAACCCCAGAGTTACTGAGGAATGAAGCAACATCTCTAAAAATAGGTCAAATGGTGCAACAAGAAACAAACCGGCTCACAGGCAAGTTGTAAACAAATGTCGAGGTTCTTCAGATTTATTAGGCACAGAAAGAGAAAAAGGAAATCATAGCTAGGTGCTCGTACATATATGCTCTTTGGAACGATGACAGATTTTCTGATTCGACTTAGACTTACAGCATCCGCAGCACTTGATTGCATGCAAAGCTTTCAGCTGCATGAGGGTTAGGCGGGATTGCATCATTACTGAAATGCTCGTTGTCAGTATTACCTTCATATAAGATTGCAGCAAATATCACTGCACTGAGTGGCTGAAGTAAGAAAATCAAAGCAACAAAACATAGTTTTTTCTTGAAATAAAGCTGAATTGATACAGAAATGTTTGCTTTCATGAACTGTTCGTGCTTACGTGCTTCTCGCTCACCCTGCAAGAAGGGCACACACTGTCTTTCTCTTTCAGGGGTTACTTTTGGTGGGAAAGAAGCAGCTAATCCTGTCACAGACAGAGGACAGAGCATCAGAGTGTATCTCGCTCAGGCTGTTTGTTGTTTTAGTTTAAACATGTGGCCCAGTGTAGTTTGCGCTTTGCTACAAAGCACTTTGTAGTATAAATCTTTTAATCCGACGTCTCTTGTGCAAAACTCAACTCGGACCGATTCACTGAAACCATCACTTTATGTACTGACAGCAGAGCTGCTGCATCGGCTGAAGCGTCTCCGTCTGGTTAGTCTCCGTCTGTGTTTTGTTTGTCAAGGACAGCGAGAAGGTGGAAGTAATTTGGTCATGTGAGGAGTTTTTATATAAATTGAATTTCGAATGTCCTGACATTTTGATGAAGTATCTGTGGTTGCTCGCAGCCACAGACCTGATACAAAAAATGAGAGCGCTTTGATGTGGACAAAACATCCAAACTGGTGTTTGCTGCCAACATTAAAAAAAAAAACCTCTAATGCTACTTCAGAGAGGCTGAAAGTTCCTTTAGGATCATCTGTTAGAACAGATATGGGGCCAGTAAATCACCCCCTTTTCAAATCGCATCAATCCTTTTCTTTAGTTTAGAGGCATTTAATCGACCACGGTGAAAACATGTCCAGTCGTAGGGGTCCAGGTTCATGATTCATAACCTGGCACAGACGGGGCTACAGCCTTATATGCACATACACATTCCACAACAATACACCCCAAACCAGCTTAGTGCTATCCTACCGAAAACGTGTTCTCAAATGTTGAGCTGCATGCAAATGGGTCTCGGTTTGTTTTTAAGAGGCTGCACACTCACTCGGAGTATAAACAGCTCGCCAATGATGCTCACTTTGTTGAATGGGAGAGAAAGGGACCCAGCGGCGGCGTGGAGCTCCGGTCCAGTTCTGAGCCGTGGGGGATGTTTGCAAGCTTAGAAGGGGTGCCGCGGCTGAATTTGAGCTTTTATGCAACGTGCCGAAAAATAGGCAGGCATGGGGAGCAGATCCGACATGGAAGAAGGTCTGAGCCACACGTCAGGACAGGAATATTAATGACATATGGCATGAGAGAGACACAGCGAGATGATCTTCATGTAAAATTCATTGACTGAGTCAGGAAAACGATCTGTCTAGAGGAAATAATATTTTTTTGAATGTGTTTGTTGAATACAGATTTGCAAAGTTGCTAAATGGCAAGTGAAGCGACATGATCTCCCACCCATGACACTCATAGCCAGCAACCAGTCATTCATTTACTTTTCATATCAGGAAGGGTTATCGGAGGAGGATGGAGATAGTCCCAGATCCCATGAGGCAAGAGGTAGGGTAATGAGAGGACAACTTACAGAGATCTTCAGGAGAGATAAATAAAAAATGAACAGTGTGTGAAAAAGAGATGCTATATAAAGCCCATCCCGTATGACATCTTCATCAAGTCGATAAATTCGACCGACTCGCTTCACTTTCAGGCAGCGCCTGCCCCCGTCGACATCGGTGCCAAATGATTGACAGGTAAATTACTGGGGATTGACGTGGTCATTTTTATAACATCTCTCAGAAGTTTGAGTGATTCTGCCGCAAAGACAGCCGATTGTCTTTTGAGTTCTGTGTATTCAATTAGATTTTCAAGTCAGAGGGAAGTCTTTTTAGGTGGGAGGCAGGAGCTGGAACGGCTCTTGGCAGCGCTGGTTGTGATTGTACTGTGTGCAGGAATCCAGGCAGAAGCCTTTGGGTTTGTAAAATACAACATGCATATATGGGTGTAGGACAGACAAGAAAGATATTTAAAGAAGGGAGTGAGAAAAAGGGAGTGTTGGAAAGTGGGAGATTAACCTCCACGCTATTTTTTTTTTCTTAGAGAAAGGATGCAGTAGTTTCCGTTGATGGGAAAGCTTCTCATCAGGGAAGCACCTTTCAACACCAACAGAACCCTTTAAAAGCTGTTAATCATTCATTTTGTCCTCTGGATTAGTCTGACACACTGATACCATCTGATGACTCACAGTTATATTTCTGGATGAAGCTTTCTGAAGCTATAAAGAAAACAATGAAAACCTTGTGTCCTTTAGAAACGTGTGCTCTTACAATTTGATGAAGCAAGCTGAAATGCATGTGAGTCGATACAGATCTCTTTCTGAAACCAAATGTGAGTTTTTACTGCTTAGGGGTCTTTGTTGTCAAGGCAACATCGTTATGAGTGACTCATTTCATTTGACCTGCATGGAGCTGCGGTGGTTGAAGTTTAGTTCCAGTTGGACACTAATTACTGCTTAGTTACAGGACTGTTGTTGGACAATCATCTCACCTCAGGGATCCAAGGATAATTTATCTTCTAATGTACTTTGTCATCCTTTTAAAGAATTAACGGTGGAAGAAAAATCAAGACTTGTGAAAATAATAGATTGGGTTTCAAATCTCTGTCACAACTCTCTGCCAATATATTTATGTCTCAGGATAATCTGCCAATTTTGTTAACTTAATAATTGTATGTTTGCATAGAATTGTCTTCTTTGTCAAATACTTCAAAATCAAATCTACTGTATTTAAGTATCACAAAATGTTGGCACCTGACTTTCTGAGATGAGTGTGCAAAATAGATGTGCAGTAAAGTCAGCAAACTATATTTTCTAGTGATAGGAAAGTCGAGATTTCAAATCATCCAGTGGTTAAGTCCTAGTTTTCAGCAGTGCAACACTTATCTGAACGCTATCTCCTCTGTGAGACCAACAAATACTCACAGACTGCTTGAAGCACTCTTGTGACTTTATTTCAGCTTTGTTTTGGGCGCTTACCAGCTCCAAATCCCATTAGAATCTGTTCTGCTCCAGTGTTTTCCACCTTACCTCATTTCCTGGTCTGGTGGTGGTGTGGTGGTCTGGAGGTAGTTGTCGTGGCTTTTTTTTCTTAAAATATGCCACATCTCAAAGTGGGAAGACAGTGAAATGTAAGGTTTGTTTGCTGCGAAATCCAAGTGGCATGAAAATTGACGTAGTTAAGGAGGATGTTTTACTCAAATTATGTTATCTAAAAAAAACAACGATTATTACTGATCAAACCATTTACTTTGAGCCTGGTTTTCGAATGTATGAAGAGAACTGGATGCTGACAGGAAATTAGGTTTCTACAATGGCTGCGCAAACAAAGAATTAATTTAGACATTCATGGCTCAGCTTTTAGAGAAGTCGTCATACAAGAGCTTCAGCTCCTCAGTCTCCTCATAGAGATGCTTGCTTAGGCAAGACACTGCATCCTACATTATCCTCAGTATTTTCATCTGACTTTAGAGCAAAAAGTACTGCATACAGAATGTATGTTGTACAAAAGTGTGGTCAAATTACTTTAAACACTAACATGAAAGTGAGATACATATAAATAAATGAATTAAGATCCCAAAAAACACTCACCGACTCTTACATGTAAATAAATTAAAGGAAATTAGCAAAAGAGGAAAAAGACAGCACACACACAGACACACGGGATTGTCTTTCAGTTATGTCACAATTTTGGCTTTCAAGGGCAACAGAAAAGAAAAGGAACAGAAGAATATTTTAATCTAATTTAAAAATTCATAATAAACAAAAAGAGGGAAGTAAGAGGTAAGAGATACATTCACAAACTACCCCGATCCTTTTAACCTTGTCCAGGGGACAAGTCACATAATTACCAACAATTCCAATAGTTTAGACCAGCATGATTTATACTATTGATATATACAACTGTTATCACAAATATCTATGCAGTCTCACTCCACAAAGCCCTAGAACTGTTTGCCCAGCGGAAAGACATTTCAGTTTGATGAAACACATTTGTCTAAGCAACTTGGCTCCAATATTGTAATATTCAGAGGTTTTAGATTAAAAAACTGTCACATATTGAAAATGAGGAATAGATTGGAGGTTTCATAGTGGTGCGGTAGTTAGCTCCACTGTAAGCGTAGCTTATTATTCGCTCACAAAGTGTGTCTTGTGTGTCTTGACCTCTCTTTTCTAAGGTTTTGTTGTGATATTGTTCAGACCACCATTCTCAAACTGCTTTTCAGTCCAATGTATTAGATCTTTCCCTATGTAAAAACATCAGGCTCAACTGAACATACTATATTGCCCACTGAGCACATCTTCGAGTTTCCATCCTTTACCCTCACCATCACATGACCACCATTTTTTCTTATGTATCCCCTTCTTCTCTCAAGCATATTTTTGCGTGCACACACACACACACACACACACACAGAGTAAATTAAGCAATTGCTTGTTTGCATACTGAACATACTGTTGGAGATCAGAAAATTGTCTTTACTGATTAAAGCACCATATAGATTCAATCATCGTGGAAACTTTAAATTACTTTGCACTGTTTTAAAGACGTCCTTTGTGGTCATTGTGTATGTTCACTATGTCAGCTATGCGATGAGAGTCGCCGTTTGGATTCTTAGCCTTCATATCAGTTCTTTATGTGAGACGAAATGGGAAACTGCCTGCTCACAATATGAGCTACACCACTCATACAGACATGCCACATTTTTCCGCGCGTTTTCCTGTGCCACTGGGATATATTTATGAAAGAGACACATTCATTACCGACGTATTTAAATAATGCTTTTGTTATAATTATATGCCTTCTTTTCCGAGACCAGACAGTGCAGCGGGGCGCAGACAGTCATGTCACAGGAAAATGTCATGTGCTTGTTGTTCAGAGATCCGTGAGGCGTTTCGTGTTTTGGATCGTGATGGAAATGGCTTCATCTCCAAACAGGAGCTGGGCATGGCCATGCGTTCTCTGGGTTACATGCCCAGTGAAGTGGAGTTGGCCATCATCATGCAGAGACTGGACATGGATGGTGAGACACTACATAAGGACACACACTTGGGTGCAAGCACAGGGTATGCAAAAAAAAAGAGTAGCTGCACACACTGGTGACAGTTTAACTAGATAATCTGTGTATTGTTTGCTTGCTATTTTCCTTTGCAATACTTGAGGACATCCTTAGCAGGGATATTTTTTTTCTTCTTTAAGATAGTTGGTCATAAATTCTTCATTGGCTTGAATATCATCATGATGGAAGTGAAAAAACACACACAAAAAAAAAATGCTATAATCTTTTGACTCAAGCAAAAATAGGATTTGTTATGATTTTCTTTAAAATTGTTTCCTTATACAGTCTTAATGGGAGCCGGTGGTCAGCTGTAAAAAAAAATTGCCCTTGGATCTGTGAGAAGCAAGCCTATCTGCTCTTTCTACTTAAACTCCAGCACTGCTTGTAAATGCTCAGTAGATTGAAATTTCTCCTAGGCAGCCTCTGCACCAGAAACAATCTGCTAAGTCTTTCAGCTGGTTCCTTATCAGCCAGGTCTTGGTTCTTGATTCCAAAGCTCGCAGTAAATATCAAAGGTCAAAGCTAAAAGCTTTTTTGCTTTTACGCCCATGAATAGCCAACCACCTAAGAGCATTGCTACTTGCTATGGGGTGAGACTGCATCTCTCTTGGAAACTTTTGCCACTCTCACTTCCCTAATCACTGTCACCACCAGAACAATCTTTGACATGTATTTCATGTGATGGAGCATGTTCTTAAATAGGCGTTATGCACTGATAAATGAAATTAACAGTCCTTTATCTTTTAAGCTCCTAATATTCTTTAATAGGATTCAAAGTTTTTTTTTTAGAGCCATGGTTTTTCAAGAACTGATCAGATTATGCAGGAAGTAATGCTCCTTGATGCACACACTGTAACATCTTGTAATGACTCATCCATGCGGAGACAGTGCTGCAATCTCTGGTCATTTCTTGATCATTTTTGCAAATGTACCGAGATGTAGCATTTTGAAATTGGAAGTTTTGAATTCAATGTATTTAATCAAAAACACCTTGAATTCCAGGTTCAGCTACTTCATGTAAATATTGTTTTTCTTTATTTGAATCAAATGGAAATATAGTTTAGGGTTAGCCCAAACACAGATTTTTCTTTTATTGCATGTCCATTTTATTTGCTGTGCCCTGTAGAGAGAAAACTCTAAACTATGCAATTATTGGTCGGAGGGATCTCTAAATACTAAGTTATGAATTTACAAGTTTTCTTTGTAATGAGATTGAAATGTGAAACATGAAGTACAGGCTTAAATCAAAACCATTAGAGCACTTTGACTACTTCAAATGCAACTACTCCATTTCCTTATCACACATGAGGAACTTAACATGGATAATGCTTTAATATTACTCTGAAATTCATAGTGGTAATGCTAAATCAAGCTGCACTTAATGCTGTTTTCCAGGTGCTGTCATGATGATGTTCAGACTGTGTAAAGCTGTCACTAACTACAGGCTGCAGCAGAATACATCATGCAAATTCTCACAAGTTGTGTCCTTTGTATTCTACTTTGCCAAATATTACCTGTCACAAAAGCAATTTCGCCAGCCGTTGCGCAGTCAGGCGACCAGGGACACATGAATATGAGAGGTGCATACAATCCGTGAATTAGTGCTGATTATGTGTATCATGACTGTTTGTTATTGCCCGGAGTCTGCCTGTCTGTTGATCTGGCCTTTTTTTCAGAAAACCATGATGATGTAGTTGTTTCGGTAGCATTCCCATCTGATTTCTCTTTTGCTTGTATTGCCTGTGTGTGTGTGTCTGCGTCTCTGCCTGCAGGGGATGGCCAGGTGGACTTTGAGGAATTCATGACGATACTGGGGCCTAAGCTGCTGTCGTCGGACAACAGAGAAGGATTCCTGGGTAATACCATTGACAACATCTTCTGGCAGGTGAGAAACGAAGCTTCCTCCTCCCAGCATGCAATCAGGCTGTTTCTCATCCCTTTTTATTCTGTTATTTATTGGCTCCATCCTTTTTCTCCTCATCTAGCTCACCTCGAGCTGTGTATTTCAGCATTCAGAGCAAGTCCTACATCCTTAAGCACAGCCCTAGTTTCTGAAGGCACTCTGCACAGGCATGAATAAACATATTTCTTCACACACAGACATGCACATTAAACCCCACCTGTTTAATCTTTTTTCTGACAAAGATTTTTTATTTTCCTTTTCCTTTCTCTTTTTTTTTTGAGAAGGGGTCTTAAAGGAAAAAAGATATGCTGGGAATTAAGAGTACGGTTGTGTTCGGGCATATGTTAATTTCGTATCCATAGGGTTATCCTAATTAAGATTTCAGGGATGTAGCTCCATCTCAGGAATGTCTGAGCATGTGTGCTTTTAAGTGGCCTCAGTGGGCTTAAAGGTCATTAAGGCTATAGGTAAGCTACAAGCTTTGAAAAAAAAATCTGTATCAGGATTTGCCTCTTTGGTGGAGAATGCAACAAAATTGTAGAGCTGTGTGTGAAGTGTTTGTTTTCTAATGAAAAGACAACTGGTTGAGCAGAGGGACAGTGCTCAGGAAGCGGTTCTCTGCTTCCCTTGAATCAAATGGGGAAGGAGAAACATTTAAAGGGTGACTCACTGAGATGAGGAGGTGTGTGTGTTTTAGGTTTCCAACACACACTTGAATACATTTGCATAGATGTTCCTCGTCCTGGATTTATCTGTGCAAACTGCTTTAGAGCGAAGATAATTGAAGAAACAATGAACGATGCCATTCAAGGATAAAAAACAAACATGTGCAGAGAAATGATTATTATAGCTTCAGATTTACTGTGTGAGACAGAACAACTTTTATTAAAACAAAGATCAACAGCTTCTGGGATGGGAAAGAGGTCTAAAATGGAGTACAGTGTGCCAATCAATGAGGCTGAAGAGACCAAATCTCAAGGCAAGCCTATGACAATACATTGGGATGAGGGGAGGGTGGGTGTTTGGGGGGGGTTGCCCCACATAAAATTACACAGTACAAAGGAAAATCACAATGGAGAAGACAAAAAAGAAGTGTGAGAGACTGTGATTTGTGAAGGTGACAGACAGTTTGCATCTCAGGGGTGATTTAAAACCTTCAGCTCCAACAAAGCAAGACAGAGCAATGAAAACAGGAAGAAGGGATACAAAATGAGACGTAAAGGTAGGGGAGCAGGAAAGGATGGATGAAGTGGGAAATGAAAGCACGAAGCAAAAGAGTATGGGTGGGGAGAGGAGGGGGATGAAATGGCTGGAGGACGTGTATCTCTGAGGATTGTTGGAGCAGCATTTTGTGACTGTGTCTGTTTATATTTCACAGACTTCAGGGAGGCATTGTGTTTAAAAGAGGTGAGATGGAAGCGGCTCTCTGTGATGGATATGTCATGATGAGCAATGACTCACCTCAGCGAAATTAGATTAATATCCATGAAATATATGCATTTCTCTTCATCTATGTTTGGATATTACTTCACGATTGGAAGTTCGCCAGACTTATTGGAATTGTTAGCATTATTCAAAATATAAGAAATCCAAATGAACAAATTAAGAGTGATTAGATTTTCTCTTTGGTGTAACATCAATTAACAACTATTTAAACAAAGCTTTTATAAAGTCTGCTAAAGTCATATTCCCCTTGTTTGGTTTCAGAAGCTTTTGGAACTGTGACAACCTATACATCTTTTAATATAGAAATCTAAAAGGTTCATGCTCTAGTAGGCCTGTAATCCTTGTTTGTTTTTTAAAGCGGCATAGGTTTCTGTGGGATTTTGGTCATGACTCATAACTAAAAAAACCCACATTTTTCTACCAACCATTCTTTTGTAGCACATTTTCTCCTCGTTGTCTGATTCAGGTAATTTTTCTGCTTTTTGTGCTACATTTCCATCGTTCACTGATTCATTCACGTTTGTTGTTCGTTTGATATTTATCCATGAATAATATATTGGATACTCAGATCTGGACAGTTTAAGAAAAATATTCCAATGATACAGGAGGGCTGTGTGCTAACCATACGTTTAAACCAATGATACACAACTTAACCTTTTTCTCCATGAAAAACATGAAAAACTCTAATCAACTTGCCTATCACTTTTCTTTTCTTAACATAATGGCTGAATGAAATTTACAATAAATCATTTCAGCTTGTAAACGTTTGATCTGTTTATTACACAAAAAGAACAACAAATTATGTGATATTTCATTGTTGGACATGAAGAGTTTAAAAAACATATTTGTTTGCTTTTAAGATCATAGAAAAGGAAAAAACTGGGAGAGGGGACAACTTTTTCGGAGAAAATTAATTAAGAATTTTTTTTGCTTCATTGACAAGGTAGGAAATATGCTCTGGCTTAGTTTTCAGCACCTTTATTGGTGACAGTTCCAGAAAGTTAATCACATAACTTTTAAAGAAATAATTCACCTAATGATTTTGCATTGCTGGGAAAATCAAATGTCCCGGCACTCCTGGCTGATATTTGCTTGATCATACATGACTAACCTGAACAGATGACCAGGCCTGCTCTTGCATATGGCTGCAGTGCTATCTAAGGGAAGCAGTCCCTCCTGCAGCACCGCTCCCCAAGAGAGATGTCCTCATAAGCAGCTTAAAAAACAGAAAAATTGTCCCAAGCCATTTTCCATTTGGTATGCTAGAACTAGCCTGATAGATTGACATCCGCTCGCAACACCCACAGCATGAAACATCCAACATCCCCGCGCACCCCCAAAGGGCTTGTCTTCATGTCCTGACAGGCTGGAGCCGTTTCGTTGGATAGTTTGTGAATTCTAATAATGAAATGGCTGCTGCTTTTCCTAAACAGAGCAGCAAAACATTCACCCGTAACCGTGAACATATGACGTTACGTTTTCCTATGTGCAACTAACAATAAAAAATCATTGTGAAGACTGTGTGAGCAGGTGAAGGCAGGAGGATGAGGAGCAAACTAAACTTTATTCCTACTCTCTTAATCAGTTGTGCTTCCCTATGAAACAGTCCATTAAGCAAATCAAACAAATAGATATAATAAATCAATCATAAACAAAACAGGAACCAGATGCGATAAATTGTGTAAACAAAGGGAGCGGAGGAGCATAAGTAGTGACAAGGGTAATCAACTAATGGAAACCAGGTGTAAAGCAATTAGAACAAGCCTAAACTCAAATTAGGATGGAGTCTTATTTGTCCTGCACAATTTAAAAGGTTAGACAAAAAGCAAGGCTAAACATGACAGCACGAGGGGGGGTTACAAAAGACAGGGTCAGACTGCAGCCCAGAATCAATGACACAGTTAATGTAACCAAACGCACAAGTCAAGACACATGCAATTTTTATTTTAACCCCAAAAGTGTTGCCTGACTGTTGCATAGTAACATAGTAACATAGTAACTGGATTTGATAGATGCTTTACTCCCTCAGTCCAGCACCAAGAGTCCAGTTACTCAATGAAGGTGTCTGAAAAACTAATTAGACCTTTTTTTTTATTGTGATCTGAGTTGTATTTTGGGCAGAGGTCTGTCATGTCACATGAAGATGTCATTCTGTCTGATTCTGTTTTAGTGGGTTGTTAGTTGAGTTTGGCTGTTGCCTCTCCTTTTTTTGTCTGTGTGGCGCTGTGATGGAATTACCTCTCACCCAAAGACATCTGGGATTTACTCCAGCCACCGCACGGCGACCCCACCAGCAGTTAGCAGTATAGCAAATCGATGGTTGTGGCCCCGGCCAACTTTGTTTTCAGTAACCTCTGTACAATTTTTAACGTCTTTTGGATAATGGTAGTGGCCTTTTTGCTGTTACTTGGGGTTCTTGGATGGTAAAGTAAAAGGAGAGGAGAGGAAAAGATGACAAAGTGATTGCGGGCGGTCATTCTGGGTAACTTTTTAGGAAAAGGGTCAGAAGAGAAAGCAGGTGGGTGACTGACGAAACAAGCTTGTGCTGCATGAAGGCCGGCGGGATTAGACAGGAAGGACAGTGGGTAAGCACCTGTTCCTCTGATTGATGTGTCTTGGCTCCTTCTGCATGTCACCGGTCACTGCTCACAATCTCCCGCTGTGTTCTGTTAACCGCCTGCTCACACACACACGTCACTTTTTGAGTTCAGTTGAAGAAAAAGGCAAGAGTCTCTCTTGTCTACCAAGTTCGTTGTGTTCTTTTTGTGTGTATTTGAGTGTGTGTGGACGTCGGCGTCCTTCACAGACGGGGCAGGGGGAGAAAACCCGTCTGCTGGTTAGGTAACAGGTAGCTGCTCTCCTGCCCAGACAGACAGACAGGAACATTGTACATTCTCCACGCCTGCCTTCAGCTGTCATGTTATCTGTCCTGGGGCCGCAGTTCAAAGACATTTTCCTCCATTTCCCCGCGTGCATTCAAGGGCCGAGACATCTATGGCGGGGAGGGTGGCAGGAATAACACATCACCTCCGTCCTGCTGCTGCCACACCCTGCTCACGCTCCCTGGAGCGCCACATAAGGTTGTGTGACTCACTGCAGTGTTCTGTCTGACCAGCTCCTTGAGTTAGCGGTCATCTTTTTGGAAAAAGGATCATGTTAGATTGACGTGGATTGTATGTGGAATAGAACAAGAGCCCAACTTTAAAACTCTCTACATCCGAATTCAATCTGACGTACCCCGTGCACGTCAGATTGAATTCGGATGGCTAGGAAGAACCCCAGGAGGAGCCACTGATAACGCGCGGGTGCAGGACACCACATGACAGATGTCCCTTTAGTCTGTGCCGTGACGAGTCCGAGCTGCTTTGGCAGACCAAGGCAGACCTACATAATATCAGACAGATGGTTTTTAGGACCCCCTATGATGCTCACTTACAGATAATTATATTTTGCAGGTCCACCAGAAAAAAAGGAAGGTTTTATAGTTCCGTGTTGTATCGTTCATACATTACATCTGATGCCAAAATATTAAATCGTCACTCCAGGAGACCATTTAATCAGCTTTTAAATTTTGTCCGATAAAAAGAAATAAAAATCCCAAATAGATATACCACCATCCAGGCTGAAGGTTCTGTATTTTTAAACCTTAAGTGCAACAGGATCAATTAAATAAACTAGTTATCATGGCCTTTTTACAGTCGATCAAACAAAATATAGATTAATTTAATTTCAAATGAATCATGATTGGTACATCATTGCAGCTCATCTTCCTTGTATTATTTCAACCATGGTCTTAAAATAACATTTTTCTACTTGTTACAGCTTTCTAAAGAACTTCCTTTCCTTTCCTTTATGTTGTACTTTACCTGAAGTTGCTGAATTTTTCTAGGTATGTATCCTTATATAGAGATACACAAGGATATATCTACACACATGATTTGAGTTTATCTGAGGTTTGAAAATATTCATACCATAGGTACAGGGAGGATTTTCCATAGTGTAGAAAATATGGTGTCAGCAAAAGAAAACTGGCTTTTGATGGACATCTGTTTCCCATAGGTCTGTCAGACTTTCAGCCACGGGCTCCTGGTCTGCTCCTAAAAAGGAACAAGAGTGAACGGAGCTATAGAGGCTTGATTTCACTCCAAGTCAGTCCAAAGTCAGTCTGTGTGCTTTTGAGTGTTCTGCTAAAATAAATTACAATTACAAATGTATCTATTTATGGGGTATGATATAACTCACCCCCTCTCCTATTTTATGACCAAATATGTATGATTTTGTCATTGAAGTTGGGAAAAAAGATTATTTTTGTCTCCTTTCGGCACATGTTCCCAAGATTAGGGGAGTCTGACAAGGAACAACTGCCATGTTCTGCCACTTTCTGAGTAGATTTGAAGGAGTTTTATAATTCTTTCCATTGTTTCCACTGACACCTCTCTTTTCGGGGCCATGTGTCCTGTCAATCAGCCTGCTGCAACAGCTCATTAAGCTCTCCATGTACTCATTTTTAAATCCAGACTTATTTGCATATTTAGGTTTACACAGGTATTAATTTTAGAAATGCAAATCATATTGGTGTTCAGCCGTTGAATACACCGTATGCTGTTTTTTAACTGAATGGAAACCTTTCCTGACTAATGATTCTATTCTATAATTTTGCCAGTTTTGGAATCATAGATAAGCCTTTTGTCACTTTCTAACTCCAACACCGTTTTTAGGTCCTGTGCCTTTGGGTGTAAATTTGATGTACTGTTATCTACGAGCCGGAGGACAAGTCCAGTCAAGTCCCTTTTTATTCATACAAGCCATTATCACAAATTTGCCTCAAGGAGCTTAACAGTCTCTGCACAGAAGATGCTGTCTCCTTGATAATAGAGAAAGAAAATAAAAGGTGAAACCATGAGTGGAACATCTGAGGAAAGATTCCCACACCAAGATGGGAATCATTGGACTGTAAACAAGCCAAAGACTATGACGCGGAAATAGATCATTCATCAACTCAGATTAAATTGTCACACAGTGTTAAACCATCTGTACATCATCTATTGGCTTTGACATGACAACCGCTCACTTTTCAGGATTTGTCTCATCAATAAAATAGCCTAGGCACACCCAGAAGATAAAGATGGGAAGTTTTATGGGAAGTGGGTAGCAGGAAGAGAGGGAAAGAGAGATTATTATGTTTCCAGGAGGGGTCTAGCGAGGGAGGGGCTAGTAAACGGCCCAGGCGCTGAGATTAAATCAGTGGAATTGAAAAGGATCTGTGGTTGTATTTACACAGGAAGAGAATCAGCCCAACAGGGAAGGCTTCCTAATACACCACACACTCAACACTAGTGTGTAGTGCGCTAGGCGTGATTACCACAGAGAAAGTGAATAACTGGCGACAACTGGAGCCCCTGCAGATCGTTAAAAAGTCAGCTCCAGAGGAGCGCAGACTATCAGCGGGTGTGCTGGCAGCAGCCATCCAAACCCCGCTTCGGACATCCTGGATACCTGATCAGCCCCGCCGGAAAGTCGCAAAACACACACCAAGACAAGCGCAACCATGTGAGAAAGTGGCGTTATTGTTATTGTTATCTACCCAGGCTGAGGAGTTGATATCTTTCACACCAGCAATCGGTTATTTAGGTCATTTCGCTTGATTCTTTTTGGTGTGTACTGTCAATAAATATCCTCTCCGTTATTTTCTTTGGCTCTAGTCAAAACATTGCCTGATACGTGCAGGCGCGCCTGTGCGCATACTTGCTTTTCTGCATGCATGAGGTCCAAAATGATACTTGTTGGGGTCCAAATTGTATTGATTTCTTTTCTTTTTTTGGGGGGTGGGTGGGGGGGGTGTACTGAAGGCGGTAGTATCATGCCACGGGTTTTCTGTTCACATTGCTCGAGTTTGTGTCTGCTTCCCATCCTGTGTGTGTGGTATGTGGGAGTATGGATCCAAATGTATGTTTCCATAATTACAGAAACGAATGATATATCCGTAGACATGTGCAGAGAGAAGGGGGCGTGCAATTACATAAAGATATGACTGATTTACATAAAATATGCTTGTTTGCTTTATTATGGAAATACATTTACGACAATGTCCTTCTATTTTAAAAATAATACAGTGCAATGTCACTATATCTCAGTTACAGCCCTGATGAGAATTTGATTAGAAGTTTACTTCTGCCCTCATGTTTCTGTTCAATATATGAGGCAACAAATGAATTTGAAACTTTAATATGAGGACAAAGAACAGTGCTAAAGCTTGCCTGTAATTTTTTGCCCTCAATCAGACCCCATGAAGTTGATTCTCTCATTTTGAATCTGCACGTGAACTACTATGTCTGTAAATGTAATGGACAGATATGCAAAATATAAAATTGTCATTAAATATTGAGCCATTGATTCACATTTCAGCCAACTGAAATTAAATGAGTTGCTTGATGGATTAAGCATTTTTTAGGTAAAGCAACATATGTTACACTGACAACACATTTCTTAAACTCATATATTAATTTAGGAGCATTTCAATGGAATCAAGCACTTCAGTATTTAATTGTTTTACTTGGTAGTAAGTTTAAAACTACACCCAAATATATATTCAAAAACTTCTCATTAACAATGACATGAGAAAAGTTGATCATAGTGTTTTCTTTTCTTTCCTTTTTTTGACAAAACTTTCTTTAGTCTCTTTGGTTTTCGGATATTTGTTGAGTTTATGAAGCTTGAAACTGCAGTAATTCTACAAAATCTAATAAATCAGATACTGTTTTGGCAGAAGGCTTTGTTTGGTCCACCAATATGTGTGGGTTATTAGATTGGAAAGCTATATTTTTGTATTTTGACCGGCAGTGTCTGGTTTTGTAACTATTGCTGTCCTTGAGGAAAAACTGGATAATTTGAGTTTTATTACATTGCTTGTTCCATTTCTCAAACACTTCGGGAGCATAAATGTTTTGTTGGCCTTCAGATGCAATGCCACTAAGGCATGAGCAGAATTAGCATTCCCTTGATAAAATGAACTTACATATATCTCTCCAACCATTGTCTGCCAGATCTGTTTACTCCATCTGTCTCCCACGACTTTTTTTATTTCTCTCTTCTTGAACCTCATCATGGTTTCCTCTTCCTTTCTCTCCACCATCCCCTTATTTTCTCCCTCTTTGCCATGCCTGCCTCACTGTGCCCATCTGTTGTGCTAAACCAAGCCCCTGATCGTATTTGAGGATGTAAGTGATGTAAATAATCTAAACGAGCGAGTGGGTTTCGAAGATACTGTGTGCATACGTATCTGAGGATTTAAGGCGCATACTTTATTTTCGAGTCAGGCTTCACCTGGTCTGAATCATTACAAATATAAAGACACATACACAAAACCACCCACAAGGATGTGAATGTGCAAGTGTTTTGATCGATGTAGTCATCGAATTGATTGGGCTTTCATACGTTAATTCACCTCTGTTAAAGAAACACACCTACACACAGTCAAGAATGCCTACTTATTCAGATTTCCAAAAATAACACATATCTTGCGTCAGATCACAATTATTAGTACATACATACACATACACACACGCATAAATATATACAGTATATACTGTATGTAAAACACAGTTTTTATATCACATCTCTTCTGTTTGTCTGTCCTCATTAAGCCGGTTTGCTGATGACTGTCCCTGCATTGATGACTGTGTGCCCCTGCAGTTTGACATGCAGCAGCTGTCTCTGGATGAGCTCAAGCAGGTGCTGTTCCATGCCTTCCGAGACCACCTGACAATGAAGGACATAGAGAACATCATCATCACCGAGGAGGAGAGCCTCAACGAAACCTCAGGGAACTGCCCTGAGTATGAGGGAGGTAAGGAAACTTTACTGTCATGTATACCACTCAGCAAGCCGGTAGTGGTAATGTCCTTTATTATTTCATCAGCGTGCTGTTTTATTACGGTGAGTAATAGAAGAAATCATAAACAAAGATTAGCACCTCTGATGTATCATAAAGGGGTCGATGAGATCAATATTTTCTCACCTTTGCATGGAAATTAAGGTAAGAGTCAATAAGCAATTAGCACATCAACAAAAAAACAGTCAATAACTTTCTTTCTTTTTCAAATAACTTTAAGAGACATAAAAACCAAAACGTATCCCTTAGAGCAATACATAAGACACATCTAGGTTAATACATACAGAAATAAAGGAACACTTAGGTGCTTTTTTTTATTCAATGTGCATTTTTTCTCTGGAGAAACAGTCGTAGACCCTGAAGTTTAATACAGCGTTACATCATTGTTGTTTCGTGCAGTTTTTCTTCGGCACCCAATTGACGCTGTTGTGTTTTTGAAAGTTTTTGCTCCCTCTGTGGTTAGGTTTAAGTCGCAGAAATGTTTGCGTTAAAGCAAAAGTTGTACTTTTAAAACTCAAATATGAACAAATCCAGTTTAAAGAAACATTGTTTACTCTACATGAATTGTGATTGTCCCGTTTGATTTAACTGTCTGTCAGTATAATATAAAGCCAGAAAAGACTCCAAAGTAGAAAAAATAGATAACTGCTTTAGGCAACTTGGAATACATTTTCTGAAACTTTTTAGATTAGATAAGACAGTGGTGAAATATTTCTGAGTGTGATGAGGATAAATCCATGCAACAAAGCTTTTGTTTTGAAAATGTGAAAAACCTTCAGGTCAAATCCTTTGTATGTCATCTGTCCCTTAACCAAAATAACCTTCCACCTCCTGATGCTGACAGAAACATCAAGGATGCATTGAATTAAAAAAAAACAATGTAATTGACAAGGAAATGCCTTGATCTCAAAGTCATGCCTGAATTGACTTTCAAAGCGAGGATTGTGAAGGTTGAGAACTGGCCGATACTACCGTTTTGAAGTCTCTGGATAAAGTTATGCTGCTTTCAGAAGACAGAAACAAAAGCATAAATATTGCCCCATGTTAACAATGGGCTCTGTGAGACAGCCTTTCGTGACAGAATGGGAGAACACTCTGGAAAACTTGGAAAGTCTTAATGAGTCCACCCGGTACCAGCCTACAGGCTCAGTGAGACCTATAAAGAGAGTGCTGGCGGGAAATGGAGGAGAGTAAAAAGGAGATAAGGGGCTGAAGAAGGAATCAGGGAACTGCTGGCATGACACTATTTTCTCATGGTTGTTGGTGTTTCGGATGAGAAGCAGTGAGGGAGAGGGAAGGTATCAAAATCTCTAAAGAAAAGATTGTTGCAAGGGAAGGATTCAAAAAAGGAGAAGGAAATAGCCATGCTTGTAAAGGACAGCTGTCTCTCACCAAAGATTTAACTCTCACCACATCCCCACATCCCATCCTCTGCCCATCCACTGGGACCTCAGTCCTTTCACAGTTCCTCTTAGATCCACAACTCAGATCTCTGAGCCTGATTTATCGATGCAGTGTGTGATTCTAACAGACTGAGACAAAGAAATTGACAGAGAGGAATTTTTTGGTTGTTGGTCGCAAGGCGTGTTGGAAAACAAGTCTGTCTCTACTCGTTTCCCTTATTCATTCATCACAGGACAACGTCTTTGATGGAGAGAAGTCAGCCTGAACAGATTGATATCAGCGCAAATGTTCTAACCCGTCATGGGTTTTGCTGGAACAAGTCAAGCTTGAAACTACTCTGTGTCCCGATGTATTCATCATTTTTAAATTGGAGACACTTCTACTTTGTAATCTGGATCACAGAAATAACCATTATTTGTTTTTACAAAGGCTGTTTGTGCCCTGTAAGAAACACTAAAAATCTAAAATTCTGAAATTTGACATATTTATCAAGGCGCAACAGAAGAAAACATTACAACACGAGCCTGTCTGTCCATTTTTTGTATATATAGATTTCCAATAAGCTGAACTGAGTTTTGTAGTCAGTGATCTCATTACAACCCCCAGTCTTAAAATATTGAGAGACTGCCTAATTTGTAAATAAAATAAGTATGCAGTGATTTGCAGTATTTGATGAAATGGCCATCCTTTTGATTTTGACCAATGTAAAAGAGGTTTAGATTTTAAGGTATTCCAGCTGAATTGGTTGCATACTGAAAATACAATCCTCTTAGAGTGAATTTAATTGTTTTACCACTTCTGAAGAGGATAACAGGGGTTCTGCACACAGTATTTAATACTATTGTTTTATGGAATTCAGATTCTTGACATGTCATTTCATAACTTTTGTGAGGAGACTCCCCCATTTCTTAATGCAGTTATGGAAAGATTTGGCCATTTCCCATATATCCCATATATATTTCCTCCTTACAGCTATCTATCATTCATGTTTCCATCAATGTGTCATCCATCGATCCATTTTTCGACACATACATCCAGTAATTGTCATTTTCTGTCCCAACTTCTTTCCAAATCAGGATAGAGAAGACTCTGTTAAGAAATAAGTAAGACAAATATTATCCTACGTCTGAAATGAATTAATTCCTCAGATTCACATCCTTTTTACATGCAAATCTCATAGAATCAAATCATATAATCAACAGTGGTGTTCTGTGTTTACTGTCAAGACTTAATGTTTAAGCATGTCTACAAAAAAAGCTAAAGTTCCCAATCTAAAGCGTGTGGAAGTATTAATGATTCTCCTCTCCTCTTCCCAGTTCATCCTCATAAAAAGAATCGGCAGACGTGTGTTAGGAAAAGCCTGATCTGCGCCTTTGCCATGGCTTTCATCATCAGTGTCATGCTTATTGCAGCCAACCAGATGCTACGAAACGGCATGGAGTAAACCTATTGCACTGTGAGCATGGGGAGTGGACAGAGCAGCCATGACCTCACATTTTGTCTTTGCAGCCAAAGCTGGACCAGCCACAACTAAAGCACTTCTCTTACAATCTGTTCAGATGTTGTGTTCATTTTAACTTATCTTATGAAACAGACAGTGTTGGTAAAATGTGGAGAGTCATTTGCTTTTGCAATGAAGATGTCAGCATGTAGAGTTATTAGACATACTGGTCATAAAGAACCTGAACTACAAACGATTATGGTTTTTTATAAATCGTGACAGTATATGGAGGGGTTATATTTTGCTGTTTTTGAGACCAAAAGTACCCTTTAAACTTGATTTTCTAATTACCGAAAATGTTTATCAGGTGCTTTGAGCCATTATTAGTTTTTAAAAAAAGAAGACAATATTGATTATCACGAATAACAGCTTATATACCCTCCGGAAATTGCATTCAATATGACTTGAGCAAATGTTAGCGCTGAATATTGGCGACAAGATTGAAATGCAATGCAAATTTCTCACTTCTCATGTAGCCATGTACATACATCGCACTTTTTGTGAGGCGTCTGTATCCTCATCTCAGTCTACTCGTCTCTGTGCACATGAAATCTTTATGTGTATTTACAGGAAGCACAACTAAATACTCAGTTGGGGACCACTTAACATGACACATTTGTGTGGCGTGTAAAAGACAGTGTTGTCCACGTGCATAATTTGCTCAGGCTGCCTGAGAGGCGTGAAAGACGAGAAAGGGGGGAAAAAAACTATCGGAATAAGATTCAGTGATTCTTTTCTTTTTAAAGTCATGTGCTGAGAGAGAAGGCTTCAGAATTTCACTGTAATACTGCCCAACTGTGGAAATAACTGCACAGCAGCATGCCAGTATACACACTGCCATTTACGCGTTCCCCATAGATTTGACTGTATATATAATACTACTTAGTTTGTGTAATATATTACTCCTCTCAACAATAGAATGTATGAAACAGATAGAAACTAGTAAGATATATCAGGGATATACAATAGAGCTGTGACAAGCATTGTTAGGCAAAGGCTTCTCTCTAGTGGTCACGATGAGGACTGCTGAGAAATAGGAGCTCCACTGAATCTGAGCCTTGATATGGGTTGTGATCCATCACATTTCTCAATCATAACACAAAGAGATTTTTTTTTTCACAACCTAAACTGTGCTGCTCAGGATTTGATGGAATGAAAGTCATCCCAGAGGGCAGCCAGATATGGACCTACTGTTGTGTTCTTTCTGCACTGATAGTCCACTCACGGCTCCAGCGAGCGTTATGTTGACGAGATGAATGGGTCGACTTCAAAACGGGGCAAAGCAAGCATCGCGTGCTCATTGTGTGGTGCCAAGACTTAAAGAAAAAAGCATTTTTAGAGCCATGTCAGGCGTGTGTATATGTGACTTTAGACAGCCCCTCCATTTAAGGCCTGATGTGAGCCAAACTACTTGTAGTGCTCACAGGGGGTCAGTATAATTTATTGCACAGAGCTAAAAATCAGTGCAGGGTTATACGGCTTAAAGGTTCAGAAAGTCTTGGAAAGCACTTTGTATTAATTCTGTAGTCAAGTGTGTCCTCTGACATAAAGGGCCTAACCCAAGGACCCCACAGATGGACGTTAAGGAGGATTTGGGCCAATGATATCAGCGGTGGTTGTCCAAAAGTATGTTGGATTCTTAGCAAATTGTTATCTTTTGAGTAGCAAGTATAAGGAACAGATGGAACTCTGTGACAACAAGTACTGTTCGAAATAACTTACATGTGATAATTGTGTGAAATCGACATATATATATATATCTTATAAATATATTAATTACAACCAAACTGTCCAGCCCTCAGTAAATGTAGCTGTGTCTGTTCATCAATCCTGATTGTGACATATCACGACAAAAAGTATGTGACTTCCTCAATCATACGGTGCTCCCCTGAGACAGTTATGGGCTGGAGACGAAGCATTTTTCCCCCTTCTTTTTTCTTTATTTCATTTTTGTTCTTGTCTTTTGCTCTGTTAAAAACAAAACCAGATATTTCAATCAAACATAAGTGCAACCACATGGGTCCATTGTATGGCTTTACCAAAACATGTCAACGGGAAGAGGATTTAGGGCTTTTATTTTGAAACAAAAATAGCTTTCTAAGATCGCAGCAAAAATGTACAATACTGTAAATCAGTGTGCATGTTGTTGTTTTAGTCTGTAAAAGACAGGGAATTCAATTACTCTTTCCTTGTGGTGGAAAAGCCTTGGTTTGGAAATAAGTTTACTGTCTCTTGACTTTCCAATTTATACTGGAATAGCCATTTTTATAGTTTCTACCAGCTATTAATCAAATTGGAGCGCAGAAGAGGGCATTTTCATAAATATGCAAATATAAGGTGACGTCATCATCATCTCTGTCTCACATCTTCTTGGGTAGAGTCTGCTAGGTGTCTTTTGTAGGTGGTTACACACTTTGAATCCGGTTTACTTTGTGTTTTAGTCACGTCAGTTTAAATCAGTAAGTTGTCACTGCCTCATGTCCCTGTATAGACTACCGTATAATGTATGCTACACTTATCCTTGTGCGTCTGTTCGTCTTTGATATTCTCAGCACACTAAGTTGGACCAGTGGATGTTTCTACTTTTGTCTGTTAACATCACAGCCCTTTTTGAAACCAGCATAGATCGTTTTATCTTAACAATCCTCTTATGATTGTGCCATTCAGAAATCCTAGCATGAAAATGTAAGGGCGAGACCTTCTATCAACCCTTTTTGAAGTTTACATGTACATCTGTATCAGGACGGGATCAGTTCACGACTTTCATCTTTTTGACATTTGTTTTTACCAAAACATGTTTTTACCAGTTATAGACTGTGTAGAGATAAAACTAAACACAGATATGTTAAACAACCTTGGCATGCTGCTTAGAGGAGAATGAAAACAGCAATAGTTACCAACTGAATGGATATTTAAAATGCAAAGTTGAATCTGTCTAATCTGAAATTATATATCCATATATGTTTATGCAATAAAGACTTGTTTTGATAGAAATACGTGGCAACTGTCTTTATTTTTAAATTATGCTTTTGTAAAGAAGTATGACATCCTCACAAAAAAAAGGTTAAAACATCAACAAAACACAAAACCCAGTTCACAGACGGCAGAAGGCCACATTCAAGCATCAGGAACTCATTAATAGTTGCTGCCTGTCACTTGAAATCATCTTCATGTAGGAAATTTACAAACTAACCTCGTAAATTATGCAAATTAAGAAGCAAAGGTCAATTGAAAGAGAAAATGACTTTCTAGCAGATGCACCAAATTTCCATTTACTGCCAGATGATGATCCAAAGCTTTCCCATTAAGTGAAAAAATAAGACATTAGGCTCAGTGTTAGGGTCCGCCAACTTGTTTTACTACAAATCCTTTCATCTGTTTTTGGATCCATGGATAAATTAGGGACTCATGTGCCAAGTCGAACCACCCAAAGATCCAGCAAAGAAGTAATACTGAAAATGTTATCCATAAAAACTCTTTAATGAGGTCCTAAATGATAGTTTTATGCCCACATAAAACCCTAGAACAAATTTCTATGCACACATAGGACGGATGTAAAAAAAAACTAACTCTAACTGCTGCTGACCTGCTGCTTGTGTCATATGTATCTATGGCTTTAATTATACCTTTAAAAAACACATTTCTAACATTTTTCTTTTTATTAATAAGCACAGAACACTTTGCTTTGTAAACACTCACAAGTTTTTGAAAGGAGGACGGAGGGAAAAGTATATGGACTCAAACATCTTCTCCTAAGTTACGCCCCTGTAACAAGCACTGTCAATCCTTCCCTCGATTCTGAAGTTTCCCAGTACCTGCTGATGATGGCAACCATGATACTGTCACCATTCTGCATCACTGTGGGGATAATATATATGTGAGAAATATTTTATTTTTGTCTCAGCTGTTTGAAGGATCTTCTTCCATATTTTGGAAGAAGATGATTTCCATGTAGCCCATATATCTCCCATATGGCTTTTGGTAAACTCTAAAGATGTTTTCTTATTTTTCCCTTAAGCAATGGCTTCTTTCTGTCTTTCATTCTGGGATGACTGATAGTGATCCAACTATTTGGGCTTCAAGGCTTCCTTTGTTGCCTCTCTTATTAATACCCTTTTTCCTCAGTTCGTTTATTTATTTTTTCTGAAGGGTCCTGTATAGGAAGGTTTGTTGTGATTTGGACTGACAGACCTCTTACTTAGGGGCTTTATAGTGAAGGAATCCACTACACGCTGCTTTCTTAATTTCTTTAATAATTTTTATTGTCCATTTGACCACAAAAAAAGTCAGGAGAAATTAAAATTAAAGGTTGTAAAAAAAAAAAAAAAGGAAAAACACTGAGGGGTGAACACTCTAGGAAGCTCCTATGGCGTCTCCTCCATAAAGCACAACACTCACTTGGTGAGTTTATCGGCCTTCAAACCCGCGTAACCCTCTGAGCTGTAGTGTGGTAATAAATAACAGCTGAGAAAAACAAGTGCCCCACATGTTGGGCACAAAGTGGCACAAACTGTAACAAAGACCATTTTTAATACTCCGCCTCTTTTTGCACCCGTTATTAGAACACTGTTTACATATTTTACCCATCTGCTTGTAGCCTGCTGCATATTTGAGGATTCAAGTTTCAATGTGATTGTCCGCAGATTCATTCATTCCTTGTAGGGGGGGCGGTGGCCGCTTAGAGACAGAGCCAGGCGGGCGGGGGAGTGGGAGGAGACAGGAGCAGAGAGGAGGACAGGGGGAGTTCAGAACTCTGTGTGCGGGTGGCTGTAGTCCCGGCTGCCCGCGGGGCTCTCGCTGGGCTTCATGAAGATTCCCTCCATGGCCTTCCAGAGGCTGTGCTGACTGGGGCTGGACATGGCGTGCACCTCCATCTGACCGTGGATGGGCCGCCCGTACTGCTCCCCCGTCACCGACAGCAGCGCGTCGGTGGCCCTGTGACGGAAGCGGACGGCCTCCTCGCGTTTCCACACAGATCCCCCGCACTGGACCGTCCACTCGTCCAGGTTGTCCCCTTCCCCGTCCTCGCCAAACGCACTGACCTCCTGAGTACGCAGACAGAGATTACAGGTAGACACAGGGAGGCGGTGAGGCTAACTGCTTTTGTGTGTTTTTATTCTAGTTTCCTTTAATGCCTCAGGAACATTTCTGAGCCACTGTCTCTATCATTTTGTCTAGCTTAGCCTTGTGCCTTATGAGTATGAGCATTTGTCTGTGTGGACCCCTCCCTGAACACACCTGGTTGGAGGACAGCGGGGAGGAGAAGTGGTGGCTGTGCAGGTTGCGGCCCGTGTTGACATGAGTGAGGCGGATCATCTGCCCACACTCCACCGGGGTGCCCCGATGACACCGAGTATCACTCGTCCCCCGGACCCTCCAGTAGCTGTTGCTGTCCTCCACGGCGCCCACGCCGGTCACAGACTGCTGACCGCTACCTGGCTCACAGAGACAGCAACAAGACTACGATTCAATGTCTGATGAATGGTAACTTTCTCTGGAAGACCTCTTCATAAATATTCTGTCCGCTACCTAATTCATTATAAGCTAGCAGAAAAACATATTTAAACTCCATGTTGCTGTGTTCATGCTGTAATGACAGTGGCTTTCCTTATCCTAAGAAATGTTCCAGAAACTGTAATTTGGCTCTACTTTTTCTTTGGGTTATTTACTTCTCTGCAATTAGAACTGTTTTTAATGCAAAATGAAAAAAAGTTAATACGTAATGCTTAAAAATTGTTAAGAAGTGCATGAAACTAAAATTGCAAAAAGCAACGATCGCCCCATGCACGCTTTAAACTGCACATTACTTTAGGCAACATTATTTCAAACCTGCTATAAGCTAGTAGTTTAACTTGCTCTCAATTTACAATCCTTCAGACGGTTTGATCTGTTTTTGTGTGTGTGTTAAATCACGCTATTTTGTGATCCACGATCAGATCTAGAGTATTTATAATACTAATAATTAATACACATTCCCTGTTTGCAGGAGAAAGGTCCGTAAAAGCTATGTGCAGCAGACAAACCTGAACAAACTAAATTATTGCAGTGATGCATTGATTATTATAGATGTCTCATTGTATTGTCGCACATCTTTTTTATGATACCTCAGGTTGGACATGCCTTTAAACTCATTTTTGCCAATTCAATTTTCAGCATGAGATGGTTAATCTAAAGTTTAAAAACACATAGCAGCAGGTCAGCAGGTTTACCACAACAGCAGACCACCTCAGTGTCTGACAGCCCACTTTTATTCCACTTTACAGTCCCAACAGTGCTTTCGATGGGGTAAAGAGTGTTTTTAAAGCTAAACTGTATGCATGTTTTTACTGACTACGTGCACATGAATGCTGTGTTTTCATCAATGGTAAGAGCTTTTTCTCAGTTGTGTTAGTGATGGTTTGATTAAACAGTCCACTGATGAACTGCAAGCACCTTAAGCAAGAAAAGTTCACATAAAATAAATCCACATTCCCCTTTAACGTGCTTCATGTTTTAAACTTAAGTTTTAGTCTAAAGAAAAGCTGATCACTTTCTAGTTTTGGCTTGACATATTTTAAATGAACCACTGCCTGTTAAATTATGGTGGCCTCCACTTAAAAACACATAATATGAATATTTACAATGATTAATGCAAATTAATTGTTTTGTTATTGTCGTTTTTAATGTTGTTGTTTTTTGTTTGCTTGTTTTTAATTCATTTTGGGTTAACAAAAAAAAGAGAGAGAATGCTCACCGGATCCGTACCGTACATCGTGAGAGTGTAGTCTCACATTGTGCTTCACATTGAGCAGTTTAACCACTGATCCGCATGTCACAAAGCTCAGCTCCGTTCCCAGAGACAGTCCAAACACACAGGATAAGACTATCAACAAGGCTGGTAGAAATCTGTGATCGACATTATCATTTAGGTTACCCATTCCACTCCTGCTGCAGCTGAGGAAGCCGCCAGTGCTACAAGAAATCTGTAATTTCTTTACGCTACGTCATTACTGTAGTAAAGTCATGCAAAACTATATTACACAGCGCCCCCTAGCAACCTGGAATGGTAACTACCCAATTATTTTGGTACTTTGAGTTTGTTTTAGGATCATTTTGAAATTTCCTTTTAATGTCATATGATGCGCAAACATGACTGAACTGCCACCGATCTGGAGCTTTTTCACAATGTGCGGAGGACTGTCTTTATTTCGTTATGTACGCACTCGCCACTACCCACCAGGGGGCGTCGTTTCGGTGTGCGGTCTGCGTTACAGGTGTAGCGTAAAAATCTGTCAGCTATTAGATTCAGGGATTCATTATTGATTCATTATTGCATAATACAATATCGTTTTATTACAGAATACTTTTGTGAAATAAGCTAAGAGCTATAGGAAATACCACAGATCTCGATAGCCATTACAACAATAACTTATTTGTCTCAAAACAGATCAAAATATTTAGATGTTTTATTTGCATTATTTCTTAAAAGGTTGATAAAACACATTTGTAATAAGTATTAGCATTCTATCCAATATGGTTTGAAGCATTGAAATGTTAAGGATAAACCAATCAATTTTCATTTCCCGTCTTCATTATTGTCAACTGCTCCCCACCTGAACGCCAGTTGGCGGCGGTAATGATCTGGATGGAAGTGTTCAACGAACACAAAGGTGGAAGAAGAATGTGATGGGTAACAGAATTCGACGGTACACCGGAATTGTCATCACGCCGCTTGTTCTCGGCCATTTTTACAAGTGCAAGCTCAGAAACACAAAACACACCATAACACATTTATTTATTATAGGTATTTTTGGACTTTATCACCACATTAAGACGTGTAAGTCCATCATTGCCGTGGTCTTATTTGTCATGTCTTCCTTCAATGGTGTTGTTTACATAGCCGTCGCAAAATCGGATGCTAGTTGTTGTCGCGTAAGCTAACTTACTGCGATGCTAAGGCATTACCTAGCTAATGTTAAACTTCGGTTGGGTTTGGAGGCCTTGCTTTTGTTTGTGAGAAAGTGAACCTTATCTTCTTTTACTTTATTTGCTACTTAATATATCGCTGATTATCAACAGCTCGAAAGAACTACTAGAATATTGCGAACTAGCTACTTGTTTAAAGGTTTTCGCTAGCTAACCTGCTAGTATTTATTAGCATCGTTAGTGGTTGTAGCTGACCAAGACAACGTTTAATAGAGGTAAACATTTGTATTTTAAAGCGGTTTGATTGGCAGTTGGTTAATTAGTAAGAAATTAATGCATCGTCTAAATCATTTCAGCCATCTTTTGATGAAAGCAGATTACCCTTGTATTGACCAGTCGTCGATGTTTTGTGTACGCATTGCGACATTTAGGTGTGATTGCTTGTTTAGAGCTATCAGTATTATTAAATTCAACTAAAGACTTGCAAACTGAAAACCGTTGCTAAATTGACAATAAGCACACACACTGTTGACAAGTATTAGTTTTTGTTCCTCAAAAGTATTGTAAATGTAGTAATTGTTCTAAAAACAAGGTTTACTGTTTAATTTCCATGATTGCATTTTGTGTGCCAGTGATTTCTCTTTAAGAATCTTATCTTAAACGAATTACAGTCAATGTATTCAGATTAAGTAATGCCACTATGAATTACCTAAGATGGAACCTGTTCAGATGCTTTAGAATAAAGACTTTCAGGTCTTTAAATGAAATAAGGGTGCTTCAAAAGAATCTCAAATAAGAGATCCCTATAACTTTGGATGATGTTAACGTTGTCTTGCTTGCTGTCCCAGGATCAGCAGCCATGTCGGACTTTATCGAGAGCGAGGCCGAGGAATCAGAGGAGGAGTTTGAGGAGAAGGATCTTAAGCCTAAGAAGACTCAGAGATTTTTGGAAGAAGATGGTAAGAATAGACTGCTTAAGCTTTGAGGATGGGTTTGATAGCCACATTTCCATGTTATTTAGAAAACCCTCCTCTCATTGTAAAACAGATGAAGAAGAAGAAGTTGTCAACCCAGAAGAACAAGATGAACATGGAAATTTGCGTGGTTTAATTGATGATGGAGATGAGGATGGAGAAGAGGATGAAGAAGCTGGAAGGAGTGCAAGTGGGGCTGGAAGCGACTCAGAGGAGGAAGTGAGGCACCGACGTAAAAAGCGCAGTAAGTTCATCTTTTTTTTTTTTTCTTCAATTGAGGTTGTAGGTGTACTATAGTCAGATGTTACAGGTTCTAATGTTCAAAATGTTATAAATTAAAGTGGCTCTAAACTTATGGGTTGTTGTTTTCTTGCTAAGTATGTTAAAAAAATCAATTGTTTCTAAAAATGTTATTCTGTGCGTTGATGAAGATTGACCGGATTAGATGAGTCAATCTTGTGAGGATGACTGAAAAGGCCGTAGTTTATCGGCTGTGCCTAACCAGCTCTGAGAACTGCTTCTGTTTGATTTTTGGTTTTCACACATGCCACTCACTGGTTGCTGGGCCCAAAATCGGTGTGTACGCACACGCATCAAACTGGTTGAGTGATGAAACCGCTGTTGGGTCGAGCGGCATGTTTCTCCTCCCCCACGCAGCCTTACTCATACATCTCCCCTCTTTTATAACCTCCCATGGCTCCTGGACATGTATCTTCTGAAAAATCAGATATGGAGAAAATGTGCAAAAAAATTCCCAGCTTTGAGATTCCACGTGAAGTGGCCTGCAGTTTTCACTTTAGTGTACAACGTGTTCAGTTAGTGTCGATCAATAATTCAGGAGCAGTGACGTCCTGTTGCTATGTTATACTGGGAAAGGATGCCTGAATGATACAGACACTGCTGTCCACTGGCTTTTCTAGACTTTGTTTTCATGGGGTGTTGAATAAGAGAATGTAGCTATTAACAATATTTAGGTGAAACTTAACATTGTGTTTTTTCTGTCGACTACCAACTAAATTACCAATGGAGACCAAATCTATATTCTTATTTCAGGATTGTAGAGCCTGGCTGATCACCATACTGGTTTCAATATCCTAATGAAATTATCTTTGTCCTATTTTGATGTGTAATGCAGTTCTTTATATCTTCTCTTTATTATTACTTAACAAAATCAGAATGGTATTTCGATGTTAGATATGATTAGCTTTCTGCACTATTCAGATTAATAGTTTGAATGATGAGCTATTATGGTATAGATCTGATTAATAGAAAAACATTCGAATCTAGATATAACATTAATCACTTCAAATGACTCAGAAACAGTTGTTTCATTGTGTAAAAGCAGCCTGTCTTGAAGCTGTTTGCTCTAATGGAGACCTTTGTGTGTGCAGATTATGATGACTACCTGGATGACGATGATCTTGACCTTATTGAGGAAAATTTGGGTGTCAAAGTAAAACGAAGGGTGAGCCTAGAGTTTTCCAGTAACTATTTTTTCTTGGTAGTCCCACAAATGATTTCCACTGTTAGCTTCACATGATGCTGTGTCTCTTTTGTGTTACAGAAGAAGAAATATGACCGTGTAAAGACACTAGACGACGATGAAGAAGATGATGACGAGAAGGACTTAATTGCAGATGAAATCTTTCATGGTGACGCTGAGGGTGAGCTAGAGGAAGGCGAGGCTGTTGATGAGCCCCTCCAGCATCCTGATGATGACGAGGAAGGAGAAGATGAAGAGTCAGGTTGGCAAAAATCTGAAAACATCTGTATAAAGTAAAAGAATTAATAGTAAACTGTAGGAGTTAACACTCTATTCTTGACAGTGTGGTTGTTTAGAATGAATTAGTCTAAAATATGTTCTTCTTTTCCACAGATATAGATGATTTTATTGTTGACGATGATGGCCAACCCATCACCAAAAAGAGGGGCAAGAAGTTCTCAGGATACACAGATGCGTGAGTGTTGGATTTTTTGTGTAAATTTGGAAATAATTATCCCTTTAAATAGGATGCTCTCCTTTTTTCTGTATTGGCAGGTTTTTTGTGCAAAGCTGTTGAGAATGTAAGCATTGAATGAATGCAAATCTTCATGCATCTTCCCGCAGTGCCCTCCAGGAAGCTCAGGAGATTTTCGGTGGCGACTTCGACTTGGCAGACTTTGACGCTGATGTTTATGACCAAGGGGAAGAGGAGGAAGAAGATCAAGATGAAGAGGGATGGGACCGACCCAAGAAGCAGACTAAGAGGAGGCTGGGGAGAAAGAGCATCTTTGAAATCTATGAGCCCAGTGAGCTGGAAAGCAGTCACATGACTGACCAGGACAATGAGATTCGGTCTACAGACATGCCTGAGAGGTTCCAGGTGAGTGTTCACGTGTTGATGATTTTTCAGCATTTTTATTTTTTGCTTGTCTGATAGTGTCACTGAATCTGGTGTTTCCTATTTATAGTTGCGATCCATCCCTGTTAAACCTGCTGAGGACGATGAGCTTGAAGAGGAAGCAGAATGGATCTTCAGACATGGTTTCTCTACTCTGACGATCTCCATGCAGGTACAGCCAACAGCAAACCTAGGAAGATGGACACACCCACATCTATCATTTCAGATTGGTGCTTGTCTTGAGCTATTCCTAGCTTCATTCTTCATCAACAGGAAAGCACAGATTATCTGGACAGAGGAACAACCACCAACTTCAGCAGAAAAGGACCCAGCACAATTGCCAAGATCAAAGAGGCCCTCAACTTTATGAGGAATCAGCAGTTTGAGGTAGAACTTCAAATCAGCTGATGGCAATCTTTCTTTAAGGGGAGACCAAAAACTTGACTCTTGGGCTTTTTTTGTATTTTAGGTCCCATTCATAGCATTCTACAGAAAAGAATATGTGGAACCAGAACTCAATATCAATGACCTGTGGAAGGTGTGGCAATGGGATGAAAAGGTATGGGCTTTTTTTTGTGTGTGTTTTTATTTATTTATTTGTTGTTGTTTTTGAGTGTGTACATGATAGATCATGTATATGTTGAAGAAGTTACTTCTGGTTGTTAGGTAAAAAAAAAAACTGAAACATTCTTCATTCATTTTACTATTGTTTTCTTCTTTTGCCATTATCCTGATTTAAAAGTGACACTATCCTTTCTGGACTTATAAATGTCTCCCCTCCTCCTCCTCACCAGTGGACTCAACTCAAGACCCGGAAGCAGAACCTCACCCGTCTTTTTCAGAAAATGCAGTCCTTTCAGTTTGAGCAGATTTCTGCTGACCCGGACAAACCTCTGGCTGATGGCATCCGTCCGTTGGACACAGCTGACATGGAGAGGTATGGTTCCATAGTTGGTTGGAAAATATGAAAAAAAAATTTTGGGGGGGGGGGGGGTTGCACAGTATAGAGTAACATACTATTTTGTTTGTTTGGGCCATCACTGCCTTTTTCTTTTTTATTGAAACACCTTTTATTATATTTATAATACACAGGCTGAAAGATGTGCAGACTCTTGAAGAACTGGGCGATGTGTACAATCACTTTTTGCTGTACTATGGTCGAGACATCCCCAAGATGCAAAACGCAGCAAAAGCCAGCAAGAAGAGACTCAAAAAGATCAAAGAAGTCTCAGAAGATGGTGATATATCTATTTTACCATCATCATTTCATCAGTCATTTGAAGAACATAGATGGAAACTAATCTCTTGTCATTTAATAAACCTTTTGTTAATGTAAGGTGAGGAAGAAGAACTGGAAGTGGAAGAAGAAGAGGAGCAGAAAGGACCCGATCTGAAGTTGGCATCCCGTAGGGACATGTACAGCATCTGTCAGAGCGTGGGACTTGGTTAGTCATCTTTCTTGTTATGCTCATCACAACCACAGTTTCAATATCACAACTGTACTCACTGGTCTTTCTCTTCCTTCTGTCTTACAGATGGCTTGGCTAAAAAGTTTGGATTGACTCCAGAGCAGTTTGGAGAGAATCTGAGAGACAGTTATCAGCGTCACGAGACCGAGCAGTTCCCCGCAGAGCCTTTAGAGCTGGCTAAAGATTATGTGTGCAGTCAGTTTTCCACGCCCGATGCCGTGCTTGAGGGAACCCGCTATATGGTCGCCATGCAGATTGCAAGGGAACCTCTGGTCAGACACGTTCTCCGTCAGACTTTCCAGGAGAGAGCCAAAATCAACACCAAACCTACAAAGAAGGGCAAAAAGGTATGTATGCATTGAAGGCGGGTTTGAAAATAAATGCAATCAGACAAATATGAACCTGAACTGATATCTAAACTAACTCCTCCATCTTGTTACTGTCCAATAGGAGATTGATGAGGCTCATTTTGCCTACTCCTTCAAGTATCTGAAGAACAAGCCTGTGAAAGAGCTGAATGGGGATCAGTTCCTGAAGATGTGCCTGGCAGAGGATGAGGGACTTCTGTCCATTGACATTTGTATAGATTTAATTGGGGTCAAAGGGTAAGTACATATGGTTGAGAAGTTTTACTACTCAGTTTATTTAACCAATTTGTCTTTCTGGGTAGAAACTGAGTCAGAAAAGCAGTCAGCCTTCTTTAAGCCAATCGTAAATGCTCAAACCCTAATTTCTGTTTGTTGTGTTGTCATATACACTCCCCCACTGTCGTATTCTGTGTATGATCTATGCTGAAAAACGTAAGGTATATATAAGAAAGACAGGCTGATAAGTTAGAAAGGTTCCTCAGAGCTACTTAATGATGAAGCTACAGCTTGATAATTTGTATCCATTAAACTCAGTTAATAAAAAGGGCTTCTGAATTGAAACCGTTAAAATGAAAGTTCTTCTCTTTTTACTTTGCCTCCTCCAATTTCTCAGGTATGCTGGGGACCAGACATACTTTGATGAGATCAAACAGTTCTACTACAGGGATGAGTTCAGTCACCAGGTGCAGGAGTGGAATAGACAGCGAACTTTGGCCATTGAGAGAGCCCTCAATCAATTCCTCTACCCTCAGATGGCCAAGGAACTCAAAAGCAAACTGATCGCAGAGGCCAAAGAGAGCATTGTAAAGGTAAATTGTCATATCTGCTGGATTTGCTTCCGGACTCACTGGATTATTGCATTACTTTAACATTGTTATGTAAAGCTAATTATCACAACATAGTCCTTATGGTTTTCCTGTTTTATAACGGTTGTAAAGAGATTATGTGTAATCATGCAAGATACTAATTCAATTATGTCTGGTTTAATGCATGCCTCACCTCAAACTTAATCATTTTCTTTATTTTGTCTTAAAGTCCTGCTGTCGCCGGTTGTACAACTGGCTTAAGGTGGCTCCTTACAGGCCTGACCAGCAGGTTGAGGAAGATGATGACCTGATGGATGAGAGTCAGGGAAAAGGCATTAGGGTGCTGGGGGTTGGTTATGCTCCAAGCAGGTATGTTTCCATCATTGGATTTTAGCTCGTTGGTACAAACGGCTACATATTTACTAAACCTGGATGAACCTTGTTTGACCTGGCACTCTTTGCATATGCCGTAGTACTTACAGTTTCTAACATAGGTCTGTTCTTCACTCTAACAGAGACACGCCCGTTTTCTGTGCTCTGATCAACGGGGAAGGAGAGGTTGTGGACTTCCTTCGTCTGCCTTACTTCATGATGAGGAGGAATGCCTTTCGGGAGGATGAGAGAGAGAAGAAGGTACAAGCAAAGAACCCTTTTCCCACCTTGTGTGCCGTGGTACGTCTTTGTTTAAACATTTAAAACATGTTAGGATACTGATGCTTGTGCTTTCTTCTTTTCTCTTCCAGGCTACTGATATTGAAAGTCTAAAAAAGTTTCTGTCCAGCAAGAAGCCTCACGTTGTGGCAGTAGCTGGAGAAAATCGGTAAGACTTCAAAAGAAGGGGACTTCTATTTTATCTATCCCAGCTTCTATTTTACAAGTAGAAGAGTTTCAAAGATGTTCAGGTCAGAATAACAAGAGTATCCTATTTCTGCAGAGATGCCCAAATGATCATGGAAGACATAAAGAGGACTATCGGTGAGCTGGAACAGGAGTCCTCTTTGCCTCCTGTTGGAGTGGAACTAATTGACAATGAACTGGCCACATTGTACATGAACAGCAGGAAGTCTGAGGTAAACAGCCAACTCCCAACTCGTGACACACCACATAGGCACATGTATTATTGTTGGTCTGGGGAAGTTACAGCAAGTTCACTGCGTTGAGTGGGAGGCTGCTCACAGGTAGGCTTTCTCCTGAATCCATTTCTCTCTTCCTCTTCCTCTGCAGACGGACTTTAGGGATTATCCTCCCTTGCTGCGACAAGCTGTCTCGATAGCCAGGAAGATTCAGGATCCCCTGATGGAGTACGCCCAGGTGTGCAGCACCGACGAGGATATTCTCTGCCTTAAACTCCACCCACTACAGGTGAGGGATGCAAACTCTGATTTGTTTGTTCTTCTGTCTCCTGGCATACTTTTGGCAGTATGTTGTCATTCCTTTGTCTTAGGTGTGCTAAATAACATGCTGATGTAATGACTATTTTGGAGCCTTTCAGGCCAGTCAGTTATGGAGATTATGGTGGTTCTGATGTTTGTTCTTCACAATGACACGCACAACAAAACACATTGAAAAATAATCCACCTGTATGCTTCTGCTTCTGTGTTTTATCAGAAATTAAAGCAATTGTGATCATAGTGTGTATTCTTTGAAACATTGTTTTTTGTTTTTTTTCCAGGAACATGTGGTGAAGGAGGAATTGCTGTGCGCGCTCTACTGTGAGTTCATCAACCGCGTCAATGAGGTGGGAGTAGACGTAAACCGGGCCATTGCCCACCCTCATACCCAGAGCCTGGTCCAATATGTCTGTGGTTTGGGTCCAAGGAAGGGCTCCCACCTTCTAAAGGTAGTTATCTGTGTGATGATTGGAAGAATATGTATGAAGTCACCAGATTACTTTATACATATATTTAATCTGTGGTCTATGATCTATTTAAGATTTTAAAACAGAACAACACTCGTCTGGAAAACAGAACCCAGCTGGTCACCATGTGTCACATGGGACCCAAAGTTTTTATCAACTGTGCTGGTTTCATAAAAATTGACACTGCATCACTTGGGGACAGGTTGGTATTTTATGATTTTTTTTCAAATCATTCAAATGTTCTGCATAAACCCAGTTTACAATTGTGATGCTTTGCAATTTAAACCGGCATTTTTTACATTTCCCTGATAGTACGGACTCCTACATAGAGGTTCTGGATGGTTCTCGCGTCCACCCTGAGACATATGAGTGGGCTCGCAAGATGGCTGTTGATGCCCTGGAGTATGACGAGTCTGCAGAAGATGCAAACCCAGCCGGCGCTCTGGAGGAGATTTTAGAAAATCCAGAACGTCTCAAAGATCTAGATCTGGATGCATTTGCGGAGGAGCTTGAGAGACAGGTGTGATGTTGCAGTGTTTTATTCATTTTAGGGATACAAGGGTCCGTAAAACTACAACTCACCATGTTTTACTTATCTGTTTTCTATCTTAAATCAAGACCAAAGAGGTCATCATTTCATGAAGCCATTTCTTTTTAACTCTGTTTTGTGGTTTTGTTTCTGTAGGGTTACGGCAACAAGGGTATTACTCTGTATGACATCCGAGCTGAGCTGAGCTGCAGGTACAAAGATCTCAGAGTTTCCTACAGAGTCCCCAACACAGAGGAGGTCTTCAATATGCTCACTAAGGAGACTCCTGAGACCTTTTACATCGGTACACACAACACCGCACACAAGATGCATAAGTTTGTTTGCTTGTTTGTTTTTATCTGTATGTATGTTCTGATAAATATGAAGAAAAGTTGATTAATTTCCTATAAAAGCTGATGGTTGTTTAGATTTGCATTTCATGTTTCTAATTTCTTAGAGGCTGAGAAATTGTTGATAGTCACAATTTAGAGTGTGGAAGTTCATTCCTCAGATATGGAAGGTGTTTTTAAAGAAGCCTTGGGTCTGACTGGATGAAAGGAATGAGGCCTGAGGTGTTAGACTTCTGGTTTGCAGTGAGTAATGCTTTGTCACGTTTCTTGCAGGTAAACTGATCACCAGCGTGGTGACTGGTATCGCTCACAGGCGTCCTCAGGGAGAGAGTTACGACCAAGCCATCCGTAATGACTCCACAGGCCTGTGGCAGTGTCCCTTCTGCCAGCAGGACAATTTTCCTGAACTTAGCGAGGTGCTAGATCAGCCTTTTCTTTTTCGCATCTTACGGTGCTGAAATAATTATCAAAAATAAACATTTCATTCTTTGGTTTTCTCTCCTTTATCTCAGGTGTGGAATCACTTTGACAGTGGTTCGTGCCCTGGCCAGGCCATCGGAGTGCGCTCCAGATTAGACAACGGGGTCCAGGGCTTCATTCCCACCAAGTTTCTTAGTGACAAAGTGGTCAAACACCCTGAGGAGAGGGTCAAAGTAAAGAATTGTTTTTATTTTGCCTTTGGTTGTGACTTGCTGCAGACTTTCTATTATTATGTATTTTTTCTTTGTGCAGAACTAATTTCAAATCAACACGTATATTAATTTTTTTGGTATTTGATGTAAGCCCCAAAACAAAGTCCAAATGAGTAGTGGTGTGTGTGTGTTTTCTGATGGTTTTCCCTCCCCCTCCTCCTTCAGGTGGGTATGACAGTTCACTGCCGTATCATGAAAATCGACATTGAGAAATTCAGTGTTGACCTCACGTGCCGCACCTCAGACTTGATGGACAAGGCCAACGAGTGGAAGCTTCCAAAGGACACCTACTACGATTTCGACACAGAGTCTGAGGACCAGAAACACGAGGAGGAGCTCAAAAAGAAACAGCAGCGAACACGTTAGTGGAAATACACATTTGATTACAAATGCTAAAAGCTAGGCGTATATACCAGAGAATGCATCACATCACTGAGCCTGATTTGAATTATTTATTTATCTGTTCATCATCTCTGTCTCCTCAGCATATATAAAGCGTGTGATTGCCCACCCCAACTTCCACAATATCAGCTTCAACCAGGCAGAGAAGATGATGGAGACCCTGGACCAGGGAGACTTGATTATCAGGCCCAGCAGCAAGGGAGAGAACCACCTGACAGTCACCTGGAAAGTAAGTGAAAAATGAAGGAATACAGTTAAATGGTAGCTGATCAAATTTAGGAATGTGTCCCGAAGGCTGAGACGCATTAAATTCTCATATTGCTCAGATATGTTTAGATAACAGATGCAATTCTAATCACACAGTGAGTTAACCTTTATTCAAATAGGTCTTTTGACAACATTCTTTCTAAATCTTTTTGTTTTGTAGGTGGCTGATGGCATCTACCAGCATGTTGACGTGCGAGAAGAAGGCAAAGAGAATGCGTTCAGTTTAGGACACACACTCTGGATCAGTAATGAAGTGAGCTTCATTTTGGTCTTGGGTCAGCACGTTCTTGAACAAATGTGTAAAACGTGCGTCAACACTGTGGTTGTGATTTCTGCTTTTGCCTCACAACTATGCTTTGGTTATGCGCAGGAGTTTGAGGATCTGGATGAAATCACTGCTCGCTACATTCAGCCCATGGCCTCATTTGCACGAGATCTGCTGGGACATAAATACTTCCAGGACTGCAACGGAGGAAACAAAGAGGTATATTGACCCACTCACTTTTGTAACCATGGTCTTTATTGTTCTGTTGCTGACGCTGATTTGGTCTCTCCCTGACAGAAAATGGAGGAGTTATTGATAAGGACAAAGAGGGAGAAGCCCACGTTCATTCCTTACTTTATTTCCGCATGTAAAGAGCTGCCAGGAAAATTCATATTAGGATACCAGCCTCGTGGAAAACCTCGGTGAGGAGATGATTTTATCATTTTTCTTTTTGCTGTGATGACCATTCGAGTCAGACATGATAACAAATACGTTAGCATGTCAAAGGAGCAACACATTTGAAATATAAACCCATTTTGAAAGTCATGTCTTTTTAAACATATCTTCTTCTTAGAAAGGAGTATGACTCCTTTGGGCATTTTAGCCTTACTCCATTTCTTTTCAAAATTTTGTAAAAGTCAAAACTCCATGTGGCTACCATCTGTCAGACAGCCTGTTAGATTTTTTATTTTTTTTGTTAAGAATTTGAATCGCTTTCGTTCAAGCAAGGGACAGAAGAGTAGGGATGATCAAGGCTGGCATAAAGATACCTTTATGTTTATACCTTATATACATACTTAACGACCAATGTAGATATTGATAATATAACCAGCTGTCATCACTTTCATCAGTTAAACATCTCTTTGTTGAGAAAAGATCAAAATCACATCTTTAATGTTGCTCCAAAAAAGAGAAGTTTTCTATTTGGCTTGAGCAGCATTGTGTTTTTTCCCCCCCTCCCATCAGGATTGAGTATGTGACCATCACCCCGGATGGCTTCAGATACCGCTCTCAGATATTTCCCACGGTGAACGGGCTATTCCGCTGGTTTAAGGACCATTATCAGGAGCCTGTGCCAGGTACTGAGCACTGAACCTACCGTTGAGACTGATCTGAAAGGTGTTGAAACGTACAGCAAATGAGTAACTTTTTCTCCTCCGACAAAGGCATCACTCCATCCAACAGCAGCCGAACGAGGACGCCTGCTTCCCTGAACGCCACCCCAGCCAATATCAACATTGCAGGTGGGTTCCTTTCTTCTGTACGCACATATCTGTCATCCAGAGTCAGATCAAGCTCATGTAATCCCTTTAATTTGCCCCTCCCTCTTCCCCCCCAGACTTGACGCGAGCTGTCAACGCCCTCCCACGCAACATGACTTCTCAGATGTTCAGTGCTATAGCGGCAGTCACGGGTCAGGGTCAGAACCCCAACACCACCCCTGCACAGTGGGGCTCCAGCCAGTACGGTTACAGCGGCAGCACAGGCGGTGGAGGAGGGAGTTCTTCTGCCTATCATGTAAGAACAACCTCGTTTTGGCACGATTCTGTGAAAGTTAAGAGGCGTTCTGAGAGATGGCAGAGGGTCCGCACAGGCTGAGGTGTCATCATTTGATGTTTCCCTCTTTTGATAACAGAATATGTAGATGCACAAGCTTTTGTTGTAATTTTAAAGGACATTTAAAAAATCTCCTTCAGCTAGTTTTCTTTGGTCTGAATGTTTCTCAGATACTAAGGCAACGTCTCCATGACAACGACTTTTCTCTCTGCAGGTTTTTGCCACACCTCAGCAGCCCATGGCGACACCCATGATGACGCCCAGCTACTCCTACACCACACCGAGCCAGCAGGCCCTGGGCACGCCGCAGTACCCGGGCTCCACCCCCCAGTCCTCACACTCTCATGCACACGCCCACCCACACCTGCCACACCACAGTCACCACGGCCACCACAGCAGTCACCACGGCCACTCATCTGGCACGCCGTCCTCTTCCACCTCATCCCGAGGTCGGACACCTCAGCAACAGCAGCCAAAGTAAGCACCGGTTGCAATGTTTCGAAATATAGGCGATTCGTTCAGTTTCCAGCAGCTCCAAAAGACGCCTCTCTCCCCTCCAAGAAACCAAACAGTCTAAATAGTTCAGCTGTTACACCTGGTTGCCACTAGGTGGTGCTAAACCTACGGTCTGAGTCGCATTAATGCTCAGGAGCGGCCCACCATGCCCACAGATTCAGATATAACGTCCCCTCTCTCTCTGTTTCCTGCAGGCCGAGCAGCAGCAGCGCCTCTGCAGTCGACTGGGGCAAGATGGCCGAGCAGTGGCTGAAGGAGAAAGAGGCAGAGGGGCGGAAGAAAGCACAGAGGATGACCCCGCGACCGTCACCCAGCCCCATGATCGAGAGCACACCCATGTCTCTGGCTGGAGACGCCACACCCCTGCTGGATGAAATGGACCGATAGGACGGAGTGGGGGGGGGGGGGGGGGGGTGCCCCACCCCCCTTACCCTTCTTCCTCCATTGTACTGCCTCACTTGGATCACTTATGGACCCCTTTTTCTCTTCCACAACCATTCTCATCCCACTGACCACCAGCCGATGGCCATCCCATCCCATTGTCTGCTCGCATCTGTTTTCCATCTGAAGTCGTTTCAGCAGTCAGTTCACATCAGCTCCCTCCTGTCTCCCCTCGGCCCATCTCCTACCAAACTCTTTACATCCCTGCAGCCATTCTGCTGTGGCTCCTTAGTATTTTGTATAGTCAGCAAAACACTGTACATGTCATGCAGAAAGGCAGTACAATGACAAAGAATACTTGAATTATCAGTTACATATAGGATATGGACCTACACAGACATTGACAGATCAGCTGTCCTACAATCTTTGTTTTTCGTTTTAGTTTGACCCCAGAATGGTTTTTGACAGAAGGGAACAGTCATCCTTTTCTCCATCATGGTTAGTGGAGTTTTGAAAGCAGTTGCCAAAAGAACGCTTTGCCAAGCCCATCAGGAAATTTGATTTTTGTATGGAATGCATCAGAATGAATAAAGACAGTTTTTTTTTCTGTTTGAACGTTAAGGCTCCGCTTTTCACATCTGACAAAGCAAACACAGCAGTAACTGCACACACACACACACACACACACACTCAGTGTGAGAGAGGATTTCAAATGAAAGCTTTGTCAAACATGGGTTACTGCTAATTGTTTCCACCACATGTTGTATTATGCTCAGCTGACTGTGTGTTTTGGTCCTGTAGACAGCCTCAGATGTATTGTTGACTCCGTGGCCGGTGCTGTTTAGAAATGGACACATGGTTAATTAAGGTGGTTTCCTTTGCTATCCTCCTGTGCATGCAGGCGAGGCGGTGTGTAGAAGACGGTGTCATTTTAAAGCTGTTGGTTTTAGTAACAACAGCCTTACTGACAGTTTTATAAAGATCTGTCAGGGGGTATTTTGTCTTTTTCTTCTTCCTTTTATTGTTGGAGTTTACTTAAACTTGGACCTCGTGCATCTTAAGTGTTTGCAGCTCAGTGATGAGCTCACTTGTGACACTGGGTTATGTTCGTCATCTGCAGCATGTGATCTCGCAGCCCCGCTCTCAGTCCACACGGTATCTCTTTCCCACTGGAAAAGATTTTCACAGCCGCGGCGGAAAAATCGCAATGTTTCCCGTGTTTCTGATACGAACACTATATGTGCAGAAGATCCTGTCGAACGGACATCTGTGGCCGTCTTTATATTCCTAACTCTGTGTAATGCTCAGAACTGCACGCAGTTTTTTTTTTTCAGTAGAATTCACGTAATATTAAGGAAACATTTCTGTGATCGTCGCTCGGCAGTTTAAAGCTGCCCTGCCTCCCACACCACTCGTGCACCCTCTTTTGTTTTCGCCCAGCCTCCGTGCCGCGGCACAAAGGAGCGACACTGGCGTTTCATGGCGTGCTTTGATATGCAGTGTGCAAAAAATAATCATGGTCCCTTAAAGTGCATATTTTCATAATTATTGTCCTGGACTAAACATGCTGGGTTTTGCCTCTCTTGCCACGTCTCAGAGAGGCGGTGACTGGTTGTCAGCCGTAGAACGTGATGATGGTCAAGTCCTGTCTCTGGCACTGATGCTGACCTTTTCTATCTGTGATCCCTTTAATAAAAGTGTTCATAGTAAACCTTTTGTCCTGCTCATGCTAATTTGGACATGGGGCAATGCGGGTCTGTGTTCTTCATTATGAAGACTTGATGAGCTGGGATTTTTGTTTTTGTTTTTTGGGGGATAAAACAAGGGCTAATGCAATAAGAACACCGGTCTGTTCGCAGTTTGCAGCAATAATAAAAGTAAGGTCTCTGTTGGAAGCATTCAGAGCCCTCGCATCACACTTTCACCCTAAAATTGGTTTTAAACAGGTTGAATTGAATTTGCCCCGTCAAATAAAAAGGTTACAGTGAAAATATTTCCCCAAACTTGATTAAAATCTAAAATTAGAGAAAGACTCCTTGCATTGTGTCCCTATTATCAAGGTCAGATGTTGCCTGTCCGCTTTGAAAATCCATGAGATGTGTCCATGAACTTTGAACTATTCGTAGTTTAAACACGTACAATCGTACAATTATCCCAATCCATTCTATTGAGGATAAAACAAATTATTTAAAAAATGGCACGAAATCAAGTTTAATTCTATAAAAGTGATGAGAGATTTAAAAGACACCGTGGCCTCAGTGATTGATTAAATCCTCCACAAAGATACCAAATGGTAACCAACTCATTGGGACTACATTTTTCTGAATGACTAAAGTCAAAACAGCCTGTCTTGTAAATAGTCATCCCGTATTTGGATACGTTCTATCCAATAAGTAAAGGAAATAAGTAAATCTCCACAAACAACATTATTATTTGATATGGCCTTCAACTGCTGCTTTACCATAACTAATGGGAAGCATGGTGGTGGCAGCATCATGCTGTTTTGGCGCAGCTCAGCAGCTGAGATAAAAAGACTGTCGGGGATAAATGAAAAAAAACTTGGAATGGTCTTTAACATGCCCCACAGCAGAGTCCCTCTGATGAAGACTGGTGATTATCCCACCTATCCCAAGATCCAAAACAGAACTTCAGTGCCATCTGCTTTGAGTCCCTAACAGGTCTTAGCCATATTTTTTATCCATCAAAGTCTCACTCACTGTGTTGGTGCCTCCACACATGTGGCTTGACTTGCAGATAAGAGTTTTGAGAGAATCGGGTGAGAACAAGGGACACAGAAAACACATCCAGCTATGCAAAACCCACAGAGACTTTTTAAAAGCACTCTTCTGATATTTAAAATTACCTTTGATTTTAAGATCCATGTCAAACACTCCAAATGAGATATTTTCATATCATGTTATGAAGGGATGAGTCTCGTCAGAAAGGATTTATTGAGAACCATTTATTAAAACCAACTTAAGTGTACAAAAAGGGAAAGTAAAGTGTTTGGATGCTTTCTGAAGAGATGTGTGGAGGCTCAAAAAGGCGCCTGCTTTCCTCTTTCCTCCTCCCTGAGTCTCAGTGGGAATCAGTTGGCCATAGATGTAACTTGCAGCTCGTTTCCATTCCTGCAAACAATCCCTCCATTTGCAAGATCATGTGAACTCATGTGTCAGAGGAGCGAGTTTCTCTATGGGCGTGACGGTGGTCATTGGACCGGGCCGGGGCAGCAAATTGGCAGCACATGACAGGAGGTCAGTGAGGAAACTGAAAGCAATGCCGCTGCTGTTATTCTGAGTTTTTCGGGCATTGCAGCAGAAAAATGTCGCTTCGGACACATAGAACTTATCATGAGGGCATTTACCAAGAGTATTCATGCAGTGGCGTGCACGGAGGGGGGCTAAATTGCTGAAAAACACATGCTAAAGTGCCCTCTCGGGGGCATGTAAAACATATGTCTGAAGTGCCCTCAACAGTGGTTTTACGTGCCCTTTTATTTTATTTCCACCCCTGTCCTTTAAGAGGTCTGTGCACGCCACTGCATTTACGTGACCGGGGACGTCACAAAGCCCTGCTTGTTGCAGGCCTGGTGCACAATAAACATTCCTGAGCCGACGCGGCTTGTTTGCTGCAGGCTCAGGTTAGAATTCACAATACCAACGCTACGGTTTGGGTTACAACCAGCTGCATCTGGGGCTGTTTGCAGAATAATACAGGCCCAGCGTCAGCAGCCGACAGGGGCCTTCGAGGACTCGATTTGGGAAGCGCTGGGTCCGTGTTACTGCTTGGTTTTCCCATTCTGCGTTCCGCTTTTTGCTGCTGTTAAAATCCAGGAGCTCCTGCCTTCGGCCTCAGCAGCAGTTGGACTTCCTCTTGGGTGTGTAGTTGGCTTCTGTGCTGTCTGTGATCCCTGTGCGCAAAAGCAAAAGTCCTGTCATTTGTGGACAATCCAATGAAATGCATCAGCTGCCTTAAACAGCCCTTTTCCAAATGAACATTGCATCTTATTGACAATAATTCACGATCACCACCATTCAAAGCAAACTCCTATTTTTGTCTATATGTTTATGTTTTCAGGCCTGCATTTTGAAGAATGTTTTTAACAAAAAGCATCATCTTTACGTTAAAATGCGTGGATGAGTCTGTCAGCCACCGATTAGCTGAATTGTGAATGAATCGGACTCACTGATGATGTCTTTGATGTGCCTCGAGCCGCTTTTCTCAAGCTCAGCCAGAACATTGGCCTCAAACGTCAAAGAGGCTACTCGGGAGAAGAAGTCCCTGACACCTTCTCCTGGAATGAAAAGCAGTCAGAGAGCAGGGTTTAACGGAGGAACTTCACCCCGGAGGGGGGCTGAAGACCGGACCGTGTCCAACTCTCACCTGACTTTGCAGACACAGCCCAGTACTCCGCTTTGATCTCCTCAGAGAGTCTGATGGCTTCCTGCTCAGTCTGAGCCAACTGGTCAGGAGTCTGAGGAGTAACAAAGAAATGTACCGAAATGTACCGTTTGATGACTGGCATATAGGGAATAATTACAGAACAAATATGAAGAAAATCTAAAGAATCAAAGCAGGAAACAAAGTTTTATATATCCTGTGTTATCATCATAATTTTGCATGAAGATGCACAAAGCTTTGGAAAGGTAGGACTAAAATAGGATGGAGCTAGTCATACATTTCTTACATTTTCATTTGAATAGCTAAAAACACATTCAATCATAATTTTTCTCTGGATTTTTTTTAAATGATCCTATAAAACTTATGCTTGAGGAAAAAAAAACTATAAAAACCCAAATTAAGCAGGCATAATGTAAGTGAAAAGGATCAAATATTTGAACCCTGAACACCACACCCACATAAAGACAGGGACTGGTTATGTCTGTTATAACAAGAATATAAGGAGAAGTTGTTATTGTTGTTTTTCTCTATCTGCTGATTTGTTAGTCTTGGCATTTCATCTTTTACTCTTTTCACTTATTTGGAATTTTTGATGAGTGTCACCCACGCTGAGGTCCTTCTTGGTTCCAACAAGGAACAGTAAGACACTGGACGGGTCATTTTCCTTCATGGCGTCCTCCAGCCACTGCCTACACACCAGAAGCACATGGATACGATTGCAAAACCAGAAATAGCTTTTTAATGGAACAACAGTTGCATATGATAATGTGTTATAGCATACCTGGCGTGAGTTAACGAGTTCACACTGCTTAGGTCAAACACCACTATGATGGCTGGAGAGTCATAAAGAGGCACAAGGCGTCAGAGAGAAAACACACTGAAGTTTGAATTATTCCATCTGTAAAGGAGTGGAATAAATCAACAGAGCAGAGGCTGAGCTGTGGTCACCTTGTGCTCCTCTGTAGTATGTGGAAGCGATGCACTTGAACCGCTCCTGACCAGCCGTGTCCCACCTGAAAGCCATCAGAGAAAGCTCAGACTGTAAAAATTCCACACAATCCAGACAGGAAAGCAAACACTTTCTTTAGTTCCACTCAGTAACCGCACGAGACGAAGATGTTTCACAAAGGATGTCATACAGCCTCTCCACTATCTAAATTAGATACAAAAACATGTCGTAACTTTGACTCATGCATCCACATTAAGGAAGAAATGCATCAAACACGAGTGAAAAACTAATTATACCCTCATGATTACGATCTGTAAAACTTGAAGTCAGAATCTCTCAGGGGAAGAGCAGCATACTCACAGCTGTAGACTGAAGGGGACACCAAGCACTTCAAATCGCTCCATCTCAAAATCCACTCCAATGGTGGCTTTGTAGGTCTTGCTGAATGCGCCTTTACAGAATCTTATAGAAACCACAAAAAGTGGGCAAAGGAATCACACTTAGAACATCCTCTGGAAATCCTGGTCAGTGTAAGGTGGTAAGTCTGATTGTGTTTTTCATAGGAGGCTGTAGACTGAACCTGCTGTCTTTGAATTGTTATTAGTAGATTTTGATCACACTCTCCGATATGTGACAGCAAAAGATGTGTGATGGTTTGTTAAGTTTATTTCTCCTGGTAAAAGACATTTGAGTGTGATTGATATTTCTGAAAATCCATTGATTCCGTTGTTTTGTTTTTATAATGGTAGTACAACACATTGTTTAACCTCTTCACTTGATGCTCTGCACGAATATTATTACATTTTAATAGTTTTCCAAGAATAAATGTCTTCCATCCATTTAAATTTTTCAAAAAAACATATTGTGTAAAGAAAATTAATAAAGAAGCCATTTCACATTTCATTGTTAGTTTCTCAGGAAAGAGATTTAAGTGAAAAATGACATGCTTTAGGAAACTGATCATTTTAACTGACCATAAATAATTATTGAAATCGAGACTACCTGAACGATCAAAAATATTATACAAAACATGTAATATAACCAAGTTACTTGTGATTCTAAGACTGATGGTTAACTGGATAGTTGCTGTGAATGTCACGTGGCTCAGCTCTGTGCAAAGGCTGACTAAGTGGGATTCTAAACATTTCTCAGTGAGGATTAAATTTTCTGTAGTTACTGGAACTTGTAAAAAAGAGACTTGTTTGACATCTTTTAACTGTCCTCAGTTAAAAGATGTCAAATCTCTGTGTTGTTGATACTTGAAGTGAGACTTCCACATGAAACATCATCGTGCTTTAGAGAAAGAAAATTCTTTCTGTGCTTAAGCTAAAACAAATTAGCAATTAACAATAACTAAATAAACAACTTCTTGATAAGAATGAGGGTTAACGATTCAAGTGTGTGCCTCACCTGCTGATCAAACAGGTTTTGCCAACTGCAACGTCCCCCACCACAATCACCTTGGCGATGTTGAAGCTAAAAAAAAAAGAAAGTTAATTCTGTCATTCAGGTGGGCATTAAACAACGAAAGAGCAGCTAAACTGATCCCACTCAGTGAATCAATGCAAGCAGAGGTAGTACGAGCTGTTGCTTTATTGGTTGTTGAGAACTTTAAACCAACTTGTGTTCTCCGTTACTCACAAATAGAGGAAAATTGTAATTATCGGGACTAGGCTGGGACATTTATGAGTTAACATAACACAGATTTAATGCTAATCATGCTTTTTTACAGTGGTTCTCAGATCAAAGTAGCAGTAATCCCTCCCACAAACTCTATCTCAGTGTAATAGATATCATCCAGATATGAGATAGCTCTATCTGAAACTGTGGTTATGTATGTGCAGTTATTTGGACAAAAGCTGTGATGGGGCAAATTTTACCCTGTCTGACCTGCACTGGAGTGGTCATATTTGTTGTGTTTTGGCCTGCTGAAGCTATTTATATTTAGAAATGTGATGTTTTTCTAGATCCTTTGTTGAGAAATATGCATCCATCGTTTTTTGTATGCTGTAAGTAATGTCTCATTCTTTCTGGTTGGGTTTCTCTCTCTCTTGATCAGGAAAGGTTGGAACAATAGTAACTACTTAAGCAAACTACTCTTGCTTGAGATAAATCAAAGTACATATTTGCATAACTTGTTTTTCATTTTTTCTTATTCATCATTAGCAAGGACTTTAGTGGTCTTATCTCTAAACAGAACTACCAGAGAAATGCAGTCAGATGTGGTGGGTTTGTGAGATGCATGTCAGCTGATTGTGCAGACATAGCATGAAGAAAGGTCCCCGTCACAGCTAATTCATTTAGCTTAAACACATATCTCAGTGTGTAGCCAAAGCCAGATGGGAGGCAGAGGGCTGTCTTAATAAGCCTCATGTTTTCTCACCTCATGGCATCTGCCTTCTGAGCTTGGCACATGGCCTTCACCTGTGGGTGGAAGCCTGCTTTGGTGTGGAGGGCAGCATTTGGACTGAAACACTAAAGAAAGCCGGGAAAACAAATGGTCAGACCAAGAAAAAAGGAATTAGAAAATTAAGAAAAATCTCATCCATTCCCTGGCTGGATACAGAAGCAACAATGATCCCACATTTGCGAGTTCGTGAAAGCTTCTCAGCTGTGTAAGGTTTAAAATAGCCTCAACATCAATAGTTAACATTGTTAGTTGTAATTGCATTACAGTGCATGCGTCTGTGGGGGCACATTTACAGAAGAAGTTGTGTTTGGAATTTTGCGAGCCTTAGAGAATTCCCAGTCTTTTGCTGAAATTAGACTAATTGCCACATCAAACTCAGAAAAAGGGTGAAGCTACACAAAAGAAACAAATGTTTTATTGGGTCAGTAACTTACTAAGGAAAAAATAATCCACTCGGTCATTTTGAGCCTCATGTTAGGATGTTTGTGACTTTTGTCACAGTAAGTGCTGGCTTCAGATCACTCAATAGCATTTCTATTGGATTAAAGTCGGTACCCTGACATGGCCCTTTCAAAACATTAACTTAATTCTTTTTTAGAGACTGTGTGACAGAAACTAAATTGTGCCCAGAGCTGTTTGTCTGTTTAAATATCCCTATTTTTACATTACAATCTGTCTGTGTGAACCAGAATGAAATGTATTCTTTTTTTTAAATCTGTTTTTAAAATCCTAGTTTTTCTTTCTGTAAATGACAATAAGCAAATAAGAATGTAAAATTGACACTCCAAAAAATGCACAGCAAAGTTTGTACACTCTTGAAATGTGTTTTGGACATTTTGAAGAAGACTCGGTAGACATTTGGGAGGAAAACAGGTTTGGGAATTTAACCTTATTCGATATATAAAAATTGACTGACTCCAAACTGTTTCTGGTGCTGGCACACAGTCAGCTAGCAGACTGTTGATGACATGCAGCAGATCAGATACAGCAATACAGAGCCAAAGCATGATACTACCACCGCCTTGTTTCAATAGGATATTTATTGTAAAAATAGAAAGACCTTTTGAATTTATTGCGATGTTTTTGTTTGTTTTTTATTCAAGTGAATGCTTTATCTTCTACTTTCTGGAATTTCTACTAAAATAGATAGTTTTGATCAAAGTCATACAGAAACTGAGTAAATACTTTTACTAACCTTGGGGAGGTGAGTAATGACCCGGTCCTTCTTCACAGGTGGCAACATACTGCTGCAGTTTTTTTACACACATTCAAGTTGCCACAATCACTCCCATAAATACACTTCATTCACAATTATGCCTGTTTTTTTTATCACCACACAAAGCCAACAAAAGAGGGTTTTCCAAGTAAGCCTGAAACAGATTGAAAGTCAGACAATTAAAAACTTCCCACACACACAATTTTTAGTCGTAATATTTTTGTTATAAAAGTACGAGGTGAAACAACAAAATCACAAAAACATCTTATGCCATTCAATTGATTATAATAGGCAGATTTCTAAATAACTGTTTTAACCTATTTTGAGGACTGTTGGCTCCGAATGATGGCAAATAAAAGAATGGAATGTTCACAGACTAAAATAGTTTAGATTCATATCTAAAAGAGATGAACAACTGTACCTGAAGCAGATGGAAAACGTTGATCTGGGGCTCTGTAAAATCCAAAGTTTGCGATGAGGTCGAAGGTACGCTCAGCATTAAGACGGCAGTCTCCGTAGACAACATCCACCCCACAGCCGCAGTCACAAACTGGCTGATAATGGAGCTTGAGGGATTTATGTGAACTAAACTATCCAGAGACCTGACCTACAGTGCCACCCTATGGTTGTAAACCTCTACCACTCTTAGCCCCCTTTAGTGAGTATCTATCTAAAGAATGAACAATAAGAACTTAAGTGAAATATTACATTTAAACCTTTCTGTAACACTATGAAACTTTCAACATCTTATAAGAAACAAATGAAAACGAGGTTTCAAAATCTTCAATATTATACCATCATATTCACCTTTTCATGTTTCGGATGTTTAAGTCAGACTAAAATATTCAATGAGTCTGTTACAAAACTGCTGGATCTGAATAAAAGCCTTTTTTTATTAAGTAAAGCTGTACATGAGAGCTTTGTCACGTAGAGCCTTACTGTACGTAAACCTGTAGTTATTAAGTCTCCTACAAAATGGAGACAAACGTTCTGATCCATGTCTGCATCTTTGGCTCATTTAAAAAATATTCACAATTTGTATTGAAACGGTTTGCAATAACAAACCAGGTTTGAGTAAAATTATTCTTACATTGCGTTACTTTAGTTATGTGACTTGTTTGTGGCCACTAAACTAATGCACTGAATTTAAAAAAGGGTTACTTGTCATCATATCTGTTTAGAATGTCCAACTTTTCAATTTGAAAACCTTACATCTAGGAGAACCATTGTTATATGGTTTTTTTTTAAGTGAAGAAGACACATTTCAAATGCTTTCATTTACTAACTAGTGACCAAATAAAAGTAGCTCAAAGTATTTTGTGGTATATAGTTTTCAGGGGTATTTACAATGTATTTACTCAATAAAATTGACAAGGCTTTTTTAATTGTACAATTTTCATATTTTAACAAATATAAAAAGAAAAACGAAAAAATTCGTTATGTTGTAAACTTAGAGCACGTGGATTTGACTTTCTTTTAAAACTGTTTAAACTTTTTGAGTGTATTAAATAACAGAAGGACTGTTCAACATGAATGTTTTAAACGTTTAAGACAATAAAAAGTTTGCCGCTCTTTTCTTAATATCGCTGGAGCGAAAATCATGACGCTTTCATTCTCGTCCAATGAGTACCAATGACGCCCAGGGCGGAGATCAAGTGACGTGATCAACGTGCGACAGACAGGGTATAAAAAGGAACCGATCCATATTCTAATTCCTTTCGGTCTTCACTCTCTTAAGTAGTGTGAGCTCTTATCTAAAGCGTGCTATTTATTTATGCTCAAATATGAGCTCTTTTACTCTTAAAATGATCATTATGATGAGAGACACGTTTATTTGGAGTTTTTCGCAAATTAAATGTAAGCATTCGTTCTCTGCATCTCGGTGTCGCTGTGAACTGCTGGGCCTCATGGAGCCACGTGGAGAGGACGGATATTCCCGTGGCTGTACCTGAGTTTGAACATAATTTGCACAAAGGTAGTCCTATTTGATCCTTATTATCCTTGGGACATTTCTCCCTACAACAACCCTTTTAACCAGATGTGGCGTGAATCATTTCATTCTTACCCGGGATTCAGTGAAACCCGGATATGAATGACCACATGAGGGCGAACAAGGATTGAGATTAACAATTAATGAAATAAATACAATGGTTCACTGCAATATAGTAATTCACTAATTTTGAGTTTGCTGTGTATTTTACCCTCAGGCGTGCATCAATACAGTTTGAAATCATGACTGGGACATTTGTCACGAGGAAACCTCCATGAGGCGTTTGTGTACCTTTTTTAAAAGGTGAGTAAAATCTCAGCGATTTGGTCTTTCCGATGCAGGTGTTTCTGTGATGAAAACTGTGAATAGGAAGTGCCGTCTTATGCGACAACTGACGATGTTTCTCTCACTGTTCTGAGCCTTGAACGGGCTGACTGATAGAAGTGCTGTGTGGATAAGCTGAGTCTGACTCCCTTTGCTTTTGTTTCTAGGCTTGTTGGTGCCTGGAGGATGTAATAAGTCAAAGGTTGGTGTTTAGTTTTATATATATATGTACATTTTGAATAACTGGCAAGTTGTTTGTGGTTCATGAATATCTCCAAGGACTATCTGACTATCATATCCTGGACTAAAGATGGCCACGTGTAGATAGTGGAGTACTCTAGAAATGTATCTGTTTCATGATGAAAACTTGGCTCTTGGTTCTTTCAGACAGATGGTCCGAACAACTCTGAGCCTGTGTAATGCTGCCACATGTACAATAAAGGTTTTGTTTTTTATTCCCTCTATCTCTTTAGTTATCCCACGGTGGTGGTGTCGTATCAATGCCAACAAATGGTGTTCTGTTCCACGCAGGTGAGTTTGGATCTTGTATAACTTAATGGAAAGTGGCGGTTCAGTTGTGATGAAACTTAAACTAATAATGCTGGAATTACCGGCAGATTGCTCAGTGTTGACCATTGGTTTTCTGAACTTCAAATGGAGGAGACTTGCGTGGACTTGCCTTGTATATTGGTTTGTCCTTTTTGTTTAAAAAAAAAACAACCTTTTCTTGTGGTTTCAGGCTTGTTGCAGATCAAGACTTCCTCTGGAGCTGCTGCCTCAGCTTTCAAAATATTCCTTGTAAGTTAGTTCGACGGCTTTCTGTTGAGGATGTAAAGCATGACATGGCTTCGGTGATGAGAACCTGGAATAGGAAGTGCCGTCAGATGCGACAACTGACGATTGTTTCTGGTCCACTTTTCTGAGCTGCCAAAGCTGTGCTGTGGTGTTTGAAAGTGTGTTTGTGTTTCTTTCTGTTGCAGATGGGCTTTCTGGCTTCTCCTGCCCCTCTGATGCTGGCCAGCCTTCTAAGGTAACTCTCCAGCTAAAGCAAACACAAAGTGTGACTCATTGTTGTGATGAATACCAAACTGAAATAAGCTGGAATTACCGTCAGATTGTGCAGTGGTGACATTCGGTTTTCTGAACATTGATGCTGTGTCTTACATAGTCTGTTCTATGATGTGCATGGCCTCACTTGTCTTTTTTTTTGTCCTTAAAGATCAGATCCAGTGTTTGGATTTTTGGACCTTCATGTCAAGTCTGGATGTTCATTGTGGTAAGTAGTTATTATTTTTAAACGATTCCTAACAAATGCCTAGCTGAATGTCTAATTCTTTGTTCTCGTTGCAGAATGAACAAGACTTCATTTGGACTTGTAGTCAGCTGCTGCAGCTGACATGTTTGGATGGGAAGCCCAGAGTTTTTCACTATTGCTGCATGTCCATTCCCCCCTGCTAAATTGTGTTTTAAGGCGTTAACTGCCTGTTGGATTGTGACCCCCCCCACACTTGTACATTCTTGAAGTTGTATAAAGGTGTATTTTCTTACTGAATGTCTGTTTTGCTTTTCTTTTAGTTTCTTGCCAAGTTCTTTTCTGATTAAGCTTGGCTTGTTTACTCCCTTTGGTCTGGTTACTGTTCTGTCAGGTTGTAATGTGAATACAGCTGGATTCCTTAGCTTAAAAATTATACAAAAACTTGGTTGCATAGCCAAGGCACATGAACAACAAAGATTGTTGTAACATGTACTACACAGCTTGACGTTGAGTTAATCTCAGAACTCCTTCAGGGTACTTGTCTGCATCTTGGCAGCCCCCCTAAACACGTTTCTTCTCGTATAAACTGGACGGACCTCCTATTCAAGTTAATGTCACTTAATGATTGTGCATAAAGGATTTCATTTTAAAGTTCTTTTAATCTGAGAGCTGTACTGACTGGTTTTAGTACCTCCGGCCATGTAGATGCATAAAATATTTCCATGTAATGTCAAAACTTGTTTGCAGATAAATGTCCATGTTTCAGAGCAGTCGAAACCACTTTTATAACAGGATCTTCAATATATAAATGCACATAATGCAGTTAAATCTGAGTAAAGATTTTAAATGTCTATTTTTGTACTGTACTGATGGAATTGTTCTAATTGCTAACGGGTTCTACTGATGCCTCACAGTTCAGAGTTAATGTAAAGATAAATGTCACTAACTTAAATTCAATGTTCATAATCTAAAGTTTAAGCTGCTTGATAACATTGTAAAGTATGTAATAAAACAATATGCAACACTGAAAATCTGAAAGCAGTTTTTACACCATGAAGTCAGATTGCATACAATGTTTATAAAGGGTATTTTAATGCTTGTGCCATCACTTAAGTCAACACATGTTTTACACCATTTCTTTGAAACGGCCCTCGTACACATAAATACTACCCATATCTGAAAACGGTCAATAGTCAAACCCATATGTAATCAGTAGACGATATGAGCAGGCTCTGTTTTGTTCTTGCTGTGTGACATGACATTCAGAGAACCACAGGAAGTGTTTATCTGAGGGCCTGGAGCTGTTACGATGTTCAGATGCTGAATCAGCACCTGCTGCTGTGAAATCCAGCGGTTAAAGGAGTTCTTTTGATCATTAAGCTATGCCTTCCTAGTTAAAATAAAAAGTTGTGACCATTTAGCAGTCCTTGATCTTCTTTGTTCCTTGAGACGACATCCTTTTCTTCTACACATGCATGCACAAAAGTCACCCCACGCTGTGTCCAAACAAAATGGACTGCCAGGGCTGATGTGATTTCTGTTTTCTACACCTCATGTGCAGAGACCTTTGCAACGAACCCTCAGTATCGCATTCAGGTGACCATCATTGACAAAGAGGACCCAGAGGACCACAACATCCTGCTTTCCCTGATGCAGAAACCCCAACAGAAATATCGCACCAAGAGACGTTTCTACCCAACTGGACTCACAATATCCAAGGTAGGCTTTCCAAATTCCCGTTTAAGAAATATCAAATCGAAACCGAAAACTGTATGAGGACATTTTTCTTCTGATTCCTCGTTTAACAGGTTCCACCAGGGGTAAGTACACGCGAAACACACAGGCATGTGAGAAGAAATATCACACACAAAGATCAACGCCACGTCTGTTTCGAAGTTGCTGCTGTTCCAGAGAAAAATTGCTCCTCTTGCGCAGACAATTCCCCTAAATTCGTATCGTTCTTGTACATCAAGAGGAAGGGCCCACCTACTTACAGCACACAATGTGTACTTCAAAAACCCAACGCAGTACTTCCACCCCTACAGAAATCAGCAGCTCTTATTGCAAAACCAGCTCTGTTGTGATTTTTCTTTCTTAGTTTAAGAAAATGTGAAAAAAAATGTATTTGTGCATTCATTTCTATTTTGTGTTCAGCTCAGATTTGTGGGACAGAGTGAGCCCGGCAGATCGGGAAAGGTGCTTCAAACACGATGATGGAGAGTTCTGGTAAATAACTATTTAAAAGTACCAAGCACACACAACAAGAAGAATTTCTCATCAGCTCACACTGTTAAACACCAAACAGTTTGCAGACATATGTAGGCCTATTGCTGCAAGTTTTTGTTTGTTTTGAATTATGAACCGTGATGATGAATCAACACAACCAGAATTCAAAATTCAAGAAACTTTATTTACACTGGAAGAAACTGCTGTGCAACAGTTGCAATTTAATGTAAACTAAACTGTGTTATATCTCAGAGTAAAGTTTATCCAGTCTTAAACACAACATAAACTATTCAGTTTTTTTTTTAGTCCTGGACATTGAAAGGCTCAATTGTCATTGTCATCTGTGTTTTTTTCTAACAGGATGGCGTTGGAAAACTTCAGCTGCTATTTCGCGATGTTTTCCATCTGCTGCGAGACCCCTAACTTCATTGATGGAGACCTCAGCTGTGCGTGGAAATGCATGATCTATGATGGCAGCTGGATGGCGGGGGTGTCTGCTGGGGGCAGCATAAACAACCGTGAGCTCACTTTTACAAGAAATATCAAATCAAAACCGAAAACTGTACGAGGACATTTTTCTTCCTATTCCTTGTTTAACAGGTTCCAAGCAGGGGTATGTACACGCGAAACACACAGGCATGTGAGAAGAAAATATCACACACAAGGATCAACGTCACGTCTGTTTCGAAGTTGCTGCTGTTCCAGAGAAAAAATTGCTCCACTTGTGCAGACAAATCCCCTCAATTCTTATCGTTCCTGTAAATCAAGGGGGAGGGCCCACCTACTTACGGCACGCAATATAAAGGCTGTCTACTTCCACCCCTACAGAAATCAGCAGCTCTCTTTGCCATCATTGCCAAACCATCTGCGCAAACACCTTTAGCCGTTTGAATTTGTTCTTGTATTTTAGAGTCTGTCTGAGGCCTCCGGTCAGCATGCACCAGCCTGGAAGCAGCACCTCCATCATCAACTTGCGTTACCAGGACGGCAGTGAAGGGAGCCCCTCCAATCCTGTCCACTTCAAGAAACAGGACTGTGCTCAGCTGAAGGAATACTGTCTCAGCAGGAGGTCTCTGTTTGTGGACAACACCTTCCCGCCTGATAGCTGTTCTTTGGGTGATCTGCCAAACTTGACCATCTGGCAGGAAGATGAAGTGAAATGGCTTCGTCCAGCTGTAAAGTGCCTCGTGTTATGAAATATGACAATTATTTGAAGTATTTAAATTTGTCCTTCTGTAATTCTATTTTTTTTACTGATTATTTGAGTGTGCATCAGCATTAAAAAATCGGCAAATAAGTCATTCTTCTAATCCTAATTGTCCAGGACATCCTGAGATTACAAAAGAACAGTGATGAGCCGGAATTTTGCCTGGATGGAGCCTCAAGGTTTGACTTCGCTCAAGGCAGTTTGGGTAAGCAAAGAATTCCCTGCGTCTAATCAGCCATTCAACCATGTTTTTCATGTTCCCTTTTTTTCTTTAACTCTAGACTCTCTCTTTAACAGGTAACTGCTGGTTTTTGGCTGCACTTTCTTCACTCACTTTCCATGAACAACTGCTGACTCAAGTGGTCCCAATGGACCAATCCTTCAAGGAATATGCAGGCATATTTCACTTCAGGGTAAAAAAACTTTAGAAAACACATACGTTTAAAGCAGCACCTTCACAGTACGACTGCAGCTTATTTGGTGCTTTTTCCGTGCAGTTTTGGAGGTTTGGCAAGTGGGTGGACGTTGTCATCGACGACTACCTGCCAACACTCAACAACCAGCTACTGTTTGCAAAAAGCAAATGTGGAAATGAGTTCTGGGTTCCTCTGCTGGAAAAAGCATATGCCAAGTATACTTTCATCTCTCACATCCTCACATAAAACAGTCCGAACGCACAAGTCATGAGTCAAAGTTTGAAATGACTCTTCTATCCTCTTCAGAGTGTGTGGTTCATATGCCGACATGAATGCCGGGTTGCCGTCTGACGCCTGCAAGGATTTCAGTGGAGGTGTGACCATGATCTACAATTTGGGGGAAACCAACGACCAATATCCGGGCGATGACGAGGACCTGTGGCTCTCACTGAAGAGAGCCACAGAGTGCAAATCAATGATCTGCTGTGGGACTGCCTCCAGAGAGGTAAGCATCACTTTCTCACAGAAACGTATAAAGCTGAGGGTGAGAACAGCAGCATTACTGAGGAAATATATGTGACAACCAAACCTCCCCAGCAGATTTACAGATTTTAACCAAAACAATGTTTCATAATTAGCAATAACCGTGTATCAACATCTGCAATTTCAGATTGTATTGCCAGGGTAAATTAAACTTCCGTTAACTTTTCTGCCTCGTCAGGGTAAGTTGGTCAACACTATTGCGCACACTGGACTGGTGGATGCCCATGCCTACACCGTCACAGGCGTCACTGAGGTAAAGTGTTGAGCCATAAAAGGGATTTCACCTGAGAAGGCAACACGGGTTAAACACGGGTTTTTGTTTCATTTGTGTGATTTTTGGCCTTGTAGGTCGAACTTGATGGGGCTAAAGTGAAGCTGGTACGAATCATGAATCCATGGGGCGCGCAAGAATGGAATGGAAATTGGAGTGACGAGTACGGGAGCAAATGCTATACTACCTCTAAGATATATCTAACTGTTGTAACACCACGGCTCTGTTGTGATTTTTCTTTCTGAGTTTAAGAAAATGTGAAAAAAATATTATTTGTGCATTCATTTCTATTTTGTGTTCAGCTCAGATTTGTGGGACAGAGTGAGCCCGGAAGATCGGGCAAATTGCCTCAAACACGAGGATGGAGAGTTCTGGTAAATAACTTTTTAAAAGTACCAAGCACACACAACAAGAAGTATTTCTCATTAGCTCACACTATTAAACACCAAACACTTTGGAGACATATCTATGCCTATAGCTGCAAGTTTTAGTTTGTTTTGAATTATGAACCGTGATGATGAATCAACACAAGCAGTATTCAAAATTCAAGAAGCTTTATTTACACTGGAAGAAACTGCTGTACAACAGTTGCAAATGAATGTAAACTAAACTGTGTTATATCTCAGAGTAAAGTTTATCCAGTCTTAAACACAAGATAAACTTATTCAGTTTTTTTTATAGTCCTGGACATTGAAAGGCTCAATTTTCATTGTCATCTGTGTTTTTTTTCTAACAGGATGGCGCTGGAAAACTTCAGCTGCTATTTCGCGATGTTTTCCATCTGCTGCGAGACCCCTAACTTCATCGATGGAGACCTCAGCTGTGCGTGGAAATGCATGATCTATGATGGCAGCTGGATGGCGGGGGTATCTGCTGGGGGCAGCATAAACAACCGTGAGCTCACTTTGTTCCTTGAGACGACATCCTTTTCTTCTACATATGCGTGCACAAAACCCACCACGCTGTGTCCAAACAGAGGGACGGCCAGGGCTGATGTGTTTTCTGTTTTCTACACCTCATGTGCAGAGACCTTTGCAACGAACCCTCAGTATCGCATTCAGGTGACCATCATTGACAAAGAGGACCCAGAGGACCACAACCTCCTGCTTTCCCTGATGCAGAAACCCCAACAGAAGTATCGCACCAAGAGACGTTTCTACCCAACTGGACTCACAATATTCAAGGTAGGCTTTCCAAATTCCCGTTCAAGAAATATCAAATCAAAACCAAGTGGACTGATTATCTGTCCTTTAAAGTCTGTACTCTGGATTATACTGCATATGCCAATTAACTCAGAGTTTTAGTAGTATTCCAAAGTCTTCATGTTACAGGATCTGTTTCCTGAACCAGACTGGTTTGAGCAGAAAGAACTGCTCAAAGCATAAAGTTATTAACAAGGGAGCAAGTATACGTGACAGAAACTAAACTGTCCCATGTCTTGTTTAACAGGTTCCAGCAGGGGTAAGTACACGCAAAACACACAGGCATGTGAGAGGAAATATCACACACAAAGATCAACGTAAGTTGATTAGCAATTTGAAACTATTTCATGACAGTAAACACCTGATTTTCTTTCAGACTCCTCAAGGGCGCTTGGGGCGGTCCTTCTTTAACAGGAACCCCCCTGTTAGTTTACAACAGATTTACAGGTATGAGAGGGATTTGATTGAGCTGCACAGCCTGGAGCCTGGAGAATATGTCATCGTTCCATCCACAATAAAAGCCAACATGACCGCAGACTTTGTTCTCTGTGTCTACACCAAGGCTGATGCTAAGATCAGGTTAGCCTGACAGTTCCATAGAATAAAAAAACATTCACTGGTACTGAAGGGTCTAATTCTTCTTTGCATTCAGCCCCTATCCAACAGGCGGTGGAGACCACTTGAATGAAAATGAGAAAAATAATGTCAACGTCCCAGAGGTATCAAGTCATACACAACAGTATAGATTTAATTTTTATTTATGAAGGGATGTTTCTGACTGCTAATGGTGTTGTTATCGTTAAGACACCTGACAAGCCCAAGGAGGAGATCGCAAATGAGGACTCCATGAGGGATTTATTCAACCTCTATGTTGATCAGGTTTGTTCATTTGTCTGATTTGTTTTATTCTTTCTATTTCTTCTCCCACTCAATCTTAAACAAAAACATTGTTTTCCTTTTCTTTTTCTCTGTTCTTGCGCTTCTTCCCAGGGTGGCGAACTGAATGCCATCCAGCTGCGAAAGCTGCTGAATGACCAGTTCCCACACGGTGAGTGATGGGCAAACGGTGAACTCGCCTATTGTGAAACCTGTGGAAAATTCTCTTTCAAGTTTCAATGTCTGTGTTCAACACAGGAACCTCGCACGGCTTTGGTTTGGAAACCTGCAAGAGCATGATTGCTATCGTGGATGTATCCTCTTCAGAATCATAAAGTAGAGCAATCAAAGTGGTGTCATAACAGTTTGATGAGTGTTGAAATAGATTTTTATACTTTTGATAAAATGACTTTAACATGAAAAAAGCTGAATCAAAGGATGACGATGACTTTCACCGAATTTTCAATCCTCTGGAAGAAGATTAATGAATACAAGGTACATCAACAATCCTGATAGAGAAATTCAAATTAATCCTGATTCATTTCAAAGTGAATATATGCATTATAAATCAATGTTCACAAGGGGAAAATGCATTTCAGCATTAATCTTTGTCAGGCTCATAACGTTTATTCATGGTGTTTTGCAGAGTCTATTCCAGCAATCTGACCTGAATGGCTGTGGACGCCTGTCTGACCATGAGCTCCAGAAGGCCATTGAGGTTGCAGGTGACAATGTTTCCTGCTTACATGAATCAACACAAGCAGTCGAGTCAACACAAGAGAGGAGAACATACCACTGATCATCGAAATTTACACGTGTTTCCTTCTCAGGATTGAATGTGAAAGATCAGCTCGTGAGGCTGATGATGTTTCGATACGCAGGCCAAACGTCCACCACCCTGGAAGAGTTCATCGCTCTCATGTTGCGCCTGGACAGGATGTCCGGTGAGAAAATTTGTCTTTTACAAAAAGCACAACAATGCAAAAACATTGTTTGCTTAAAATGAACGTCAATTTAATGGAAAAACTTTAGTATTCCTCACAGATTTGGTTGGTTCTGTTTTCTCAACAGGGATTTTCAAAGACAAATCATCCGAGGGCTTTATACACCTGAGCTGGGAAGAGGTAAGTCTGTTTCCACTCATCATAGAAAAAATGGCATGACAGAAGAAAACTGAAAAAAAAACATAATATAAGAAATATTTTCAATAACAAAGTATTAAGTAGGTGTCATTATCTTTACGGCTGCTTTGTGGTGGTGCTGTTGTAATGTGTTATGGTTCAAATATGATGGTAGTTTAAATTACAATAATTTAGACTATTGACTGGATGGTAAAATATGCTTGAATATATACGCATCAAACAACTTCACTCTCTATGTGCCGAATTAGTCCTCAGAACAATATGGTGGACAATAACTGTATCAACTCTCTGTTTTTATGTTACAGTGGTCCAACCTCTCCATGTACAACTAGATCACTGCTGACGCACAAACCCAGCACATTCACATGAGAAGATCCATGCACTCAAACATTTTTGCTGGAGATTTGTTTTTGTCGTGATTGCTCTTCTTGATATAATCAAAAACTTCTGCTAGTGTTTACATTCATTATCCTGTCTGTATTCTAGTTTCTCATCTTTATTTTATCAATTTTCTGTTTCAGTATAATCAAAATATTTTAGAAACCTATTTGAACATGTTTTCTGTAGGACCAGTTATCCCAAAAGGGGCAAAGGGACATGTTCAAAAGGGGAAAAAAAAATCTAAATTCAAGAGCAGTAAATTCCAGTAAATGTGATTTTAATGCTTAATTTGGAACTATACTATACTTAATTATATTTGGAACTTATAAATAACATGTTTTATTGATCTTTGTTTAATAATCAAATAATCACATATATTAGTGATATTTCATAATAAAAACTTCTTTATCCCATAAGAGTGTCATTTTCATACACATTGGAACATACTGCTATGAGCAACAGGGAAACAGAACATTCAAGAGGTACAAAAAGGAAATGTGGATCAGAAATCATTTAATGAACCAGTCATTTACAACACCAGAGATTTAAAAAAAAAGAAAAGTCGTTATCATGGGTTTAATGGTTCACATGTCATTCTCTACTCATCTTAATAACAGTATGAGGTGTAAACATCCTATTTACACTCATTTCTGTATTAATATAAGAGCCAAAATTCTTACAACCCCATAGAAATAAATCAAAATTCTACCAATTCCTGTCACTAAGGACCGGAAGCATTCTCTGTGTGACCAGTCTCATGTACAGTGAAGTCATACAATGTATGGGGATAACGCTTTAAATTGTCCTTATTGTGCAGTGAAAAAGACTAAAACCAAGAGCAAACTGAACCCAACTGACCATTATTGTCAGATTTTTTTATCTACTGCAAAAACCTGTGTAAGAAATGTAATTAAATGTGTTAAAGCACAAAAATCATTTCATTGCAAAGCTCTTTGATGTTTTGCTGATTTAGAAAGCCCCATCCAACCACGTCCAGGTTTTGTGCAGTGCAGTTGAAAGATGTTTTTCGTGTCCACCAGCTCAGTCCTCCTCTTTCTCGATGTAACTCTTACAGGCGGAGCGGGCCATCTGTCTGGCCATGTATCTATCTCTGGCTGAACTCACAGTTTGATCGGTGCTGCGCTTTACAAACTTATTGGCTTTTTGCTCCCCTTCCTCACTCTCTTCTCCCTTGGATTTATCATCATCCTCTTTTTCGTTCGGACATTCCCCAACTGGTTCCACCCTTTGGGAATCTTTTTCCTCTCTCTTCTCTGCTTTTCCCCTCTCACGTTCTTTCCTTTGCTCCATCTCTTCTTCCGGATATTTGTCCTTCCTTTTGTCTTCATCTGAATTCCTCCTCTTCTCTCTTTCACCATTCTTATCCCGCTCCCTGTCTTTGGGGCTCCTCTCCCTCTTCCCGTGCCTCTCCTCCCTTTCTGTCCCCCCCCTTCCTCTGCCTCTGTCATCGTCTCTGCCTCGGTCTCTGTCTCTATCTTTCCTTCTGTCCCTGTCACTTCTTCTTTCACCGTGTCGATCATCCCGTTCTCTCCCTCTGTGTTTGTCTCTGTCTCTTTCTCTATCTTTGTCTCTCGCTCTCTCATGGTCTCTGTGGCTCTTTTTATGTCTGTCTCTGCTTCTTTCTCTTTCCTTCTCCTTTTCCTCTCCACTCCCTGATGAAGGGGACCTCTGTCTGTATTGGCGTTTTGAATGCGCGGAAGGCTTGCTGAATCCAGACTTCTGTTCACGGCCTTCCTCATTGTCGCTGCCTGAACTTCGGATATTCTCATGAGACGTAGGTGAGGGAACAGTTGAAATAGTCTCTTTTGAAGCATCTGACGTTTGACTTCTGTCGAGGAAACAAAAAGATAAAGAATACCTTAGAAGAAAATGTCGCATTTACTCACCCAGTAAAGAGACGCTATGACTGACATGTTTGCAGAGCGATCTGGTATCGCCTCCTCTCCTACAGTCTGATTCAGCAAGTGCCGGTAGAAGCCACTCAGATCTTTCTGTTTCTTCACATCCAAAGCAGCTGAGCAGGAAACACAGACACATTTAATAAAGAGTAATAATGACTCATAGGGTGGTCATTTCTTACACCGCAATCCTTTTCAAGCCAAAGGTCCATAATGGTCCAGAGGACTTTCTAAGTTCGCTTTAGAAGATATTTGAAATTCTTTTAAACTATGTTTTTACCATATACCACTAAATGTAAAATTAGCATGGATTTCACAAAAACAATATGCAGATTATGTGCAATGTACATGGAAAACAGAGCTGGGAATCTTCTTCTAACCTTCTATCTCTGCCTGCCGTTTTTCTCTCTCCTCCTCCTCCTTCTGCTCTTGTAGTTTTTTCTTGTACGCCGTGGTAACGTAGGCCTCTTTATCAGCAAACTTCTCTCCCTCTGCCTCTCTTTCCTTTTGGATCTTCCTTTCCTCCCTTCGTTCTTGCTCTTTCTTTCGGTCCTCCACAGCTTTCATTAACTGGTGGATGTATTTTGGCTGCAGTGACAGGACAAAGATAATCATATCATGCCTCCTTCAAAAGGGAAGCTTTAACTCAGATTTTGATTTGCAAAAAGATACAAAGAACATAGCATCAACTATACAACAGGTCAACAGTACAGGTTCAACCACCTGTTGAAAGTGGCATTACCCTTTTGTCGGTGCCACTCAGAATTTTTTTGTTGCCCTCGATCCTCTGTTTTTGAATGTCGTCGTATACAGCATCATAGTCGTACACACTGCTGTCCTGATCCAGGGCCTTCTGCATCTCCAAACGGGTCTGTCAGAATGAAATAGCAAAGGACAGTTGATCAAAAGACATACCTAGACAATACAGACACAAAAATACACACACGTGTATATATATATTATTTGTACATTCTCACCTGCTTCATCATCTTCTTTTTGACAGCTTCCTTCTGCAGACTTTCCCCAACTGAGGTCTGAGAAACAAAGAATAAATTCAGTATATTTGAAATAGGGGCTTCACTGAAAAAACCCAGCTTGACTGATTCAGCACACTGAATCAATTCGTAAATAAAAATGACAAGCAGCAATGGGCCTTGCACACAGACATAAGAGACATTCACTGAGGATTTAGTCACATCAGATGTTAACAACAGTTAACTCTTGCCCTTGTATAATATAACTTTAAACAGTAAGAATAACAGAAGAGATAACACTTTTTTACTCATGAAAAAACTTTGCCCACCTCATCATCTGAGTCATCCCCAAACACGGAGGGTTTCTGTAAGACTGCAGACTTTGATGCTCCCTTCTTCTGTGGCAAGATCAGCCCGTACCTGGTAATAAAACCAAATTAAATGTCCTTAGCTCTGTCCTTCTTGAATGAAATATTTATGTGTGAAGTAATAATCTGCACGGAAAATTGGTATCTCTATTGGAAATACCGAAGATCTTACAATTCTGCATATTATCACAGAGCTGTACAACCTTTCCCTCAACATGAGCAAAGGATAATGACGACTGGTTTGTGTCATAATTAGGACATTTCTTACTGGACATAATGCAAATTTGGGGAGAAAAATAAAAATGACAGCATGTTGAAAAGGAAACATTCATTAGATATTTTAAGCAGGGACAGATTAGGTTGTGTCGAGTTTTCATGATCACATTAGTTCATTATTACAAGAACACCACCTGTTCTTAATGTGAGAAATGTATAGACATACTATCCCCTTTAAAGTTACAGGCTATGCCTCCTTTTAATCATAGATTCATATATTTTAATTCCAGGTGAAATGCATTTTGATGAAGTAATCTTTATCATTCAAGTAGATTGACCCTTCACAGACAACTTACATTGTTATTTAATTAAAATAACGACGAGATAAACATTTTAGGAGCATATAGGTATCATACAAACTGAACAGGCTTTTGGATGCAGTTAGCATACGGTAGATAACTGGCTAGCTGCACTCCCTGTAGAGTGAAAGCCTTCGTTTTGACAAAATATAACTATCCATAGCATTACGTCTCTGACAGTGTCCTGGCTCTGAATATTTGCTGTAACCATAAAGCATGAAACTGCTGTACTTCATTACAAAGGACACGGGTTCGTGGTCTCGTTAGCATTTTAGTGACTTACTGTTTTGTAGGGACCGCCATCTTGCTTTACCGGCCGACAACCCGCGCCGGAGATTCGACACAAAAATAACCCTATTAAGCTGCGACAGGCTACATTTTTACAGCAATATGAACATACCCACGATATATGTAAAATATATAGATATTTGTGGTGCTATAAATTCTCTTTTTAAATCTAATTATACATTTGACAGATGTGATGCGAATGTACGGACACGTACTCAAAGGTAATCAGAGTAAAAAATCAAATGTGATTTTCAAATTATTTGTAAAATATTTTTGCTATATAAAAAGTAGCTGCACTTTTGAATAAATTCATACATGTGGAAGTCCTTCCTAAAATTTAAACAATTAAGACTAAAATGAGTGCGTTTGTACTTCACACCAAGAGATGGCATCAAGCTGTCATTTCATAGGCTTTATTCCCCACACGTCAAGTATTAGTTTCAGTTTTGACCTGATTCATTCTTAAATGGATCAGAAATACTTTTCTAACTAGATCGTTAAGTTATAATAGCTTTTCACTCAGAGAATCCTCACAATCTAATGTATATATATATATATATATATATATATATAGTCATTAGAAATATTTATTCAAATGTCCTTTTTTAGCATGAAGTCTACAGTCAAGTAGACATTAATATTGGTCTTTATAATGCTCTTAGGAAATTTTATGTGGCAGTAAATAACACCTAAAATTCTAAAGATTCATGCACAGATAGAAAAGCAAAAGACTTTTCCAGTTCAAAACTGGAATTACTCCCCCTTGATTAACAGTTATTTTTCTATGTGAAGCGTAGTTTCCAAAGAGCTCCTTATATGTTAGATGTGGTTTTATTATTACATCATTTCAACATGAAACCAGAGGTTAAATACTTCACTCTTACACTACATTAGTAATTGCTTTTCATGTACCTGCCAAATGCCTTAAAAGATTGGCTTTAAAAAAATCTATTTGATTTGCTCATTTGTTATTTTTAACATAGTCCACTCTCTTTTTCGAAGCCTCTTTGTCATGCTGTTAAGTCACATCAAAGACTGAATGGCTCACCTGTGATTAAAGCTGTGGTTTGAATCTCTACTGGCTTTTCTGAATGACTCTAAATCCAAAGACCATTATCTGTGTCGTAATCTGGATCTCATCTCCTCTGTTGCTTCCCTGTTAATCTATCTGGTACAAGCAAAACAACCAAAGCTGTCTAACTCAAGAATGGAACAAGTGATGACAGAATGAAAGACGAGGTGAAGAAATACAGAAACGTGTAGACTGACGTAAAGGGAGGAATGTTAATTGCTAGGAAGTTAGTTACAGAGTGGTACATTCCTTCAAATTGTTGTGCAATGCTGTATAAATAGAATATTAGAGGTCAGATCATTTTTTGGGATTGTTTTGTTTTAGGTTGACTTTAGATATATCAACTTCGCAATTTTCTTTTGATCATTTCAGCTCAAATATACTGTATTAGCCCATTTATAGTTGCAGTACTGGAGATATGCCACCTGTACAGGTTTGTGTCTGGGCCTTCCCTGATGACACACAGAGGTGTGTGATTTTTGTGTCAGGCTATGGTTGTTGCATTGATCTATAACCTCAGGCTGCGAAGATAACAGTGTAGCAGTACAGGTTCAGACAGGCAGGCCATAGCACAGGAGTCAGGAGAGTTCACTTTACATTTTTCCTCGGTTAGTCTCCCATTGCGCTAAGGCTCATGCGTATGCAAATGATCATACTTGCCACTAACCTTTAGGACAACTGCCATGTCTAAAATACAACTTTCAGTTGGAAGTAGAGAAAAATTAAATGCCAGTTCACCATACATGTTAGGGCACCATCCCTTAGCCTTAAGTGGAGAGGATATCTTTGTATTTTACTACATTCTTGAATGAATCTAACGTCTGAAATTTGGATTACATAATTTCTCAGCTGTCAGTCTTTTTGAGAAGATGAACAACTAGTCTGATGTCTCCAAACACATTCTTACTTGAGTAAAATAGCATATTACACTTCCTAAGAGGTTATTCTGATGTCCCCCATCGAAAGACAACATCTGTAAAGTATCCTCAGAAGTTATTCTAAATCTTAGCCACTGTTAAAAATCAAGCTAAAACCAACCAACAAGACAGACATAATGTTATATCTTTATTTTCTTGCTTTGAAGACTTTAAAAGGTTATAAGCTTTGACAGTAAAAAGTATAACCTGTAAACATTTTCAGCACCAGACATCAATGGACATATCATTGGTCTTTTCAGAACTACAAGTTAGAAATTTTGATTCCTACTAAATACAAGGATTTATTTTGACCCAGAGTTTTCTTTAAACCATCATCTTGCGTCTTTAATTTGTATAGAAATTCTATTTTTCTGTCATTTTTACCAAGCCTTAGTATGTTGTTGCTGTTTTTCTGACTGCTTGCAGTTATTTGACTGTCAAAAAACGTTAATAGTCAGTCACCTGCACATGGCTCTTCACCAGAGATGGGTGGACCTTAGTAACCTCCATCTAAGTATTACTGAGAGTTACTCTTTTTCTAAACTGATTGCCTGATAATGGCTTTTACAATTTCTCAATCAATTAAATCACGTATTAAGTAGTAGCGGAATTATAATAGATTGATAGACACTGCTTACAACTGCTTTGTTTACATCCAGCACTCAAACGGTTAATCGAGATTGACAAGCGAAGGGTAGTTGCGCATGCGCACAAGGCGTTGACAGAGGAAACAGCCGGGGAGTAGTCAAACAGTCCATGATCAGGGAGGAAGGAGGAGGAAAAAACAATAAATAATTCGGCTTCAGTTGAGCTTTTGTCTGCTCGAGACAATTATGCTCTTCTGGCCGCCGTCGCTTCCTCACAGGTGTCCGCTTCCCGGTCGCTGAATGGCGCTGGTTACCGTGCAGCGTTCACCGACCCCCAGCACCAGCTCCAGCCCCTGCGTTTCGGTAAGAGCCGCTTTATTTTTTAACCCTCCGCCGCAAGGGCTTACACCACCACCAAACTCACATCTCGTCACTGTTGACGGCGACATAAGACTTCGTTTCCGCTGTCTTTTTATCGGTTGCTGACTGTCACCAAGTGCCTTGCCTTTGTACTCGTGCGCATGCGTGACTTCGAGCAGCTCATCATTTTCAGTTAACAGTAATAAGTATCGCTGATGGCGGTTTTGTTCAACAGCCCGAAACTGATTAGTTGTTGCTGAACGATGGAACGCATGTACCTTTCAAGAAATCCTAAGTTAGCCTTATTTTTTTTAATGCAATCTGCCGACATGGTTTCCTCAGAAACATCTCAGTCATATCAAAGTTTTTGCTCTCATTTAGCCATTTTACAGCATCCGGCCTAACAACGCGGTTAATAATATGACGTGCTAATTATTTGCTCTCGGTCTCCAAAATGTCCCCACATGCACACACTTCCGCCTGTGTAAAATGCTTTGTGACACGTACAAAGGCCGGTTACTTTCGTGTGCTCTCTAGATACGAAGACGAGACCGTACGTGTCTGTGCGTCTCTCATCTCCTCGGGCTGTCTCGCACCACATTTACTGCGCTCGCCTCTCCGTTCCTGCCTTAAGTGTGTTTGGGAGCGTGCGCGCAAGCGCGCGCGCGCGAACGCGGCAGCAGTGTGCCCATGCAAAGCAGAGGTGCAGGTGGTTGTCCTGTTACCATTCTTTCTACTGACGCAGGACCCAAAACCAGAAAATCAGAAAGAGGGAAAAATACAGGAGCACGCTGATGCACTCTCTTCCTGTTCCTGTGCACGTGCTGCTTGGTTGTTCTTTTTGGCAGTGTCTTCTTCTCCAGTGAGGTTTACAGAGTTACTCCTATGTTTAACTGCCTAAAGAAAATTGCCCTTGGAGTATCAATCAGTGTTAGCACAGAATGTCCACTGTGACTTCCTTGTGTTTTTTGCCCTGCTTCCAAGCCATGCAGTGATATTGAATTATTAAAAAAAAAAAGATATGTATTAGTTACAGTAGCACGCTACCGAGATATTCTTTTCTGATAACTTTTTCCAACATGTGTTGGAATGTTTCCGCGTTCCCAAATCTCCGTCCCAAGTGACCTTTTTCCTTACACCTTCTGTCTTATGAGAGTAGAACAGGTTCTGTTAGTAGATGTAAAGATAACCATCTTGTTACGTACATGCACTTTTGAACACATTTATTGTTGTCAGCTCGAACAGCCTCAAGTTTCACGCGTGTCCTCCAAAGCGGTGCGTATGTTCGAGATGCGACTGTGAGGCTTTGCCTATGGCAGGATAATGAGGTACAGAGATAAAGGAAGAAGACATGCAGTTCTAGTTTTTAACCTGAGACTGAGAACTGCTCTCTGGTGGAAATGCATGTCTATTTTAAACTGTGACCAGCAGTGTGATAACATATTGCACAAACCCACGTCTGGCTTCCTGTGTCTTGTTGACATGTGGTGTGTACTTATGTAAAAGCTTTCATGAGATGCCTGTTAGCTGAAAGTATCTGATCGGGATGTTCGGAGTGAAAATCCACACTCACCCCACACACCTGGGCACCATCGCTTACCATGGAGTGGAGAGTATTATTTCTGCTTTTGTTTAGGTGATGGCCCACTAAATCAGCTGTAACACGAGTGCATTGATTGGTCTCGAGGACCACAGATCCCTACCCAGAGTGCACGCTCAGGTTTCACATTTCCATACAATTTGTCAAAATCGACCATTTTCATATATGCAAAAATTCTGTGCGCTTTCTCCTAGCATGAGACATGATGGCATAGATCAGCTGAGATTCGCCATGCTACTTATTAAGATCTATAAATCCGATCAGTGAAACATACCCTTAGTTCTAAGTGTGCTTTTTTTGTTATATTTTATACCTGCTTATCTATCATAGTCAGTGCAATAAAATCAAATTTAAACGGCAGTCCTAATAAAAAAAAATTCTGAAGGCGCCCATCAGGGCTCAGTATCTGTTTTTAATATCTCTCGGGCTGTCCCTTCTGACAGCCCAGAGTGGAAACCTGCCTCAGACTGTGCTGCTGGAAGAAGCTGAGCGCCGCCCTGTGCAGTTATTGCATTGAACTGGATCAGCGTCGGTGTCACAAGACCTGCCAGTAACTTCTGTTCTCCAGATTTTTTTTTGCTTTTCTCCCGTGATAACGTGGCGGAAGCCTTTAACTCTCTGCTGCCTCACATACGACACCTCATCCAATTTCCATTGGCTGCATGAATAATTCTTGTACCATAAAGAAAGAGAGGACGGAATAGACCATCACTTATCTTTCTTATCTGCTCACCATTGGCCGTTATCTTTGTGTTGCTGCTGTAGATGTTTTAGTAATGTTGTTAAGCCTAGTTAAACCCACATTTAGAGTAAACGAGATAAGTGCCAGACATTATAAGGAGAGTGCTGGGTGCTTATCTACTACTAAGCTGTGGCCTTCTCATTTAACATGGCTTCCATATTAGATTTTCCTCTTTGACTGTCCTTGTTTGCGTGTATGGGAAATGTTGTCCTCTGACCAGCCACACCTTGAAAACAGGCTGAGGTCATTTTCCTAGCGAGTCTATAAATTGAGTTGGAGCTGAACTCTGCCCCCGCTGCTGTGTCTCTGCACCCCTGCTCTGCCTGGGCAGAAAACGGCTGGATTTTAGCCGTAGCTTTCCCCTGTCTGCGGCTTCATGTGTGAGCGGCGTACAGGAGGTTCTTTACTAGCTTCCATGGCACTGTGGAATTTATTTTCTTACTCCATTTGGTTTGAATACTGCCGAATATCATTTTCTGTTTTTGTTTGTGATGTGTCTTTTTTCGTATCAGGCTTTTCTACAGTGATTTGAAGCTTTTTTTATGCACAATATGAAAAATGCTCCTCACTACATCATGCACTGAATCCCGTAGACCGCTGGTGTCAAAATCGGGTCATCGAGGGCCGCTTTCCTGCAGGTTTTAGATGTTTCCCTGCTAAAACTGTTTTAAAGATATATATGACTAAAAGTTTATCTCTTTTTTCCCCTTCTTAGGAGTCCGGTAGCGGGGAGGATGACCGTCGTTCCCAGCCGAGGAGGTAAGATGGATATGACCGTCTCTTTTGTCTCAGACGAGGCCCCCTTTGTCTTTTTATCCCTGTTACGCCAGCAGTTAAAGATGCCATAGGATTTTTGTGGTCATAATTCACAAGTTTGTAATGCAGAGCCAAGTATTCAGGGGCACTAGGTCCTCGTGACATTGAAAACTAAATCAGAACAGATGTTTCTGCCCCTGACACCACATCCGATTGGACGAACAGAGAGGAAAACTGAGCCTTTCAGGTGTCTGACCCTGAAGACCCTCTTCCTGTGCTGCTGTGTCCCGGCAAGGCGCTGCTGTGCTATTGTCATATCTCAATCCTGTGCTACCCCTTGTTGTCTTTGAAGTTGGAGATCTGGTTTATCCTGTTTAACTCTAACCATGCTTGCGACTGCGTTTTTTGCAGCGGATATTAACAATTTCTCTACACCCCCTGTCGCGTTTATTGTTCCACAGGACTCCACGGAGCACTCTCACTTCTCCTTTGTTATGTTGCTGCTTTAATCTCACACGAAAGCCCAAAATCCTCTGATGTGGGAGATGATTAATGGTGGTTTGCTGTTCGCCCATCAGAGGGCAGCAAAGGCAGCGTCCAGGCTGTTGGTATGTGGGTCAGCGGGAGCTACACTGCTGATCCAGGCACAGATTGGAAGCCAAAAGTCAGGGCGTCTGTGTGGTCATTGCAGCTCTGAGCCATCCATCATACAGGACAGGATCTATGCAGCTGGGAGGGAAATCTGTACACACACACTGGGCTGTGTGTCTGTGTACACACAGAGATAGATACCTGGTCAGATCACTTTATTTCTCTTATAAACTCATTTTAGGTAGACTTGATTACATTCGTACTTTCCCGCAGCCAAATGGATCTTAATAAATGTGCTTTCACAAACTGATCCTGTGTCAGGTGGAGAACTGGATCGATTACTCTGAGAATTATGGGACACTTATATACAAATGATCATTGAATCACTTTTAAAGGAGAGTATCTCATCTCCCCCAGCATAGGATAATCAGATTATTTGGGGAATGCAATTTCTTTAATGAAGCTTTATTTGAAATCACGACATAAATGCTCACAGCTAAATGTCTGTTGACAGAAAACAATAATACTGGATGTCGTTAATGCCACTTTGCATTAGCTCCCACAGCAATGAAGCCGTGGTGGTTAATATAGCAGACTTGTTGTTGGCAAACTTTAACACTGTCTGGTAAGACCACACACTTCCTGTACAGCATTCATCTGATCCATGAACTCGCAAGGTCATGTTTAAAATGAAATTCAAACTAGATTTCAAAGTCAGGAGAAGTAAGGCTGGCAGTAAAATATTAGGTAAGATGACGTGTTTAAGGCTCATGGCTAGTGTGCACAAAGAGGAAGCCAACAAAAGGACTTTGCGCAGATCAAAGACTCCCATGTTTTCCTCTTTTTGGGTCATTGTATCAGTGTGTTTGTCTTCTGTCAGGAAGCGCGGACGCTTTCCTGCACACTCAACATAAAACCACACTATTACCGTCACCTCGTCTATCTGGCCTCGCTGGAGGCTCATTCACGCGTCCTCCGCCCACGGCTTCAGAAAATCAAACACAGGGCGTGTGTATTCGCAAGCTGGGACATCCCTGTGAGCCTCTGAAATCAGATTTACAGCTAATGACAGGTGGCCAGATCACTGATTCTGTGCAAAGTTCATGCAAACCCTAAAGTGCGAGAGACCGTGACAGAATTTAACCGATTATAAGAAGAAGACTGGCCAAGACTCTAAGTTAGTAACAGTTAGTGACCCAAATTCTAGCTAAATACAAATACCATCTATTTGGGAAATGAATACCATGACCTGTGAGAGTAAATTCAAACAGAGCATCCGTACAGTACTAGTACCAAACCCTTTGTCGTGCGCATCTGTGGAGGGATGCAGAGAGGCTGATGGCTCCCGCCTCCGGAGCGAGCTCCTACTCTGAATAAATATTCCGCTAATCCTTGGCAGCAGGTTGTTAGCTCTCCACACACACACACGGCTGACGTGTAGGCCCCTTGTGATACAGGCCAGAAGGGGCATCGGGGCTCATCTCTGACACAGGTAGCGGCATTCATTCAGTCCGCCTGGCTGACGTATTGGAGGGAAGTTAGGACGAGAGGGAGGAATTGAAAATGATTCCACTACTGTTGAGTTTTATCTCTTAGAATCTTCATGACAATTTAGTCTGACGGAGAGAATAACACAGCACAGAGGAATGTGATCTGATTTAGGAAGACATTGGTCTGTTTTTTGCTCTTTTTCATTTCACCTAGTTGTAATTCACTATATATTTTATTGTGCTATATGTCATTAATATATTAAGCTAAATCTGATGGTTCATAAGTAAATGGTGATTTTTTTTTGTCTGGGCTTGAGGAAAATGAGTGGTGAACAGCCTCGGGTGCGTTGTTCTGTATGCAGCTCCAGCCGGTGGTGTTGTGATCGCTGAGGCGACCGTCTGTGTTTTTGTAAACGTGGAAAAAGCAGAAGAGTGGAGGAGTGTCTGGTGTCTGTCTGCTTATAAAACCACATCCTGACCTCCGCCGCCTCTCAATGGATGGTGTGAATTTCTTCTGTCAAACAGACTGTTTGACAGTGCAGTGTGATAGTACTGCTGGATGTTTTAACCAGAGGTTGATGGCTTTTTCTGTAGCATTTACATTCAGCGCGGCTCATATTGGTCCATGATGAATGCCACCTCATTAAGCATTACTACTTAAGTCTCATCAGTGCGTCTCATTTGATATTTAATGTTTGATAATACTGATACACAATTAATTGTACAGACTTTGATTATTAAAACATTAAAACACAACAGGATAGAGCTTACAGAAAAACACCACACGGCAGCAGTTGTTTATCTTCAAACATGAATTTGTTGTCAGGTGATGCCCTCAGGCAAACTGCCCCAGCGTGTGATCTACTCTAAAAATCCCAACTACTCTAGGATCAGCAGCCATGTAAGCAGGTCTAAGATCAGGTTTCTCTTTGGTACTCAGTGTGTCTCATGTCTTCTCTTTGATTTCCCAATCGTTTTTTTTTTTTTCTGTTGGCATGTTGTTGGGTTTGTTGTTGTTGTTCCGGTGCTAGATGCACACAAAGTGTCAGGTGTTGCTGACACTGGAGAGAATCTTCCTTAAACTAGGCCTCAGACCTAGTTATGCAACTCTGTTATGCTTCTTCCAGCAGCAGGAATGAGACGACACAAATGTGATCAGCGTGTGATTCAGGGTCCAGAGGTGCCTTCCTGTACATGGCATGGGGAGGGAGTAATAGTAGTTTATTTTCCCAGGAGTGGAGAAATAAAAAGTGTTGTTTTTGTCTGTCTATAACCCAAAGATCCATTCCTGACTGGTAGTTTTTGGTTTTACACCTGCCTCCTCGAGTTCTGGGTTTTGGGAATGAGCATCATAACTTGGATGGGTTTTGTGAAGTTCACATTACTGACTTTCATGTTTTTATTTAGCTTTTATTTGACTTCATTAAAAGAACATGCATCTACGTTCCATTCAGGACTTTCTGATCGCACCTTTTTTTAAGAAAAAGGAAAAAATAAAAGTAAACACCAACAGAAGCCTGATTTTCTCTTAAATAAACGTCCATATTTGCCACTGTTTTTTTATTTTATTTTTATAATTCCAATCCCAGTTCAAATGATCATTTTATTGCTCTTGTTGAGCCAAATTAAACAAAAGAAAATTTTTAGCATTCACCCATATTTTCCTTAAGTAACAGCAACAGCTTGTACTATGGGTGAAAATATGTCAGTCACGATTTGCGCGCGCGCGCTCACTCACACACACAGGCACGCGCGCCCCTCGTCAGGAGCAGCCCTCAGCACGCGGCGGCGGACGGTGATTGGCCCCCTCCCCCGGTAACTCCGCCCCCTCGGCTGCAGGATTACCGCAGCCCGCCGCAGCCGGGCCGGCCACACGTCACAGGGGCGGGCGGGGATGCACCTGCCCTCCCTAATTAACCGTCCCCTTTCGTACCCACACCCCCACAGCTCGACGTTACGCTTATTTTCCCGAATACCGCGATGAGAGAAGACCACAAAGCGTGAGCTTTCCCCCCCCTCGCAGTTTTTTTGGGGCTCCCGTAGAACTCCCAGCGGCACTTGGCCGTTAACCGCCACCGGGACGTTTATTCACCGGGCGGACCTCTGTGACGGCAGCCCGCCTCCGGACGTCCCGCTTCCGGCGCCAGAGCAGCGATGCCTCCCGGCGTGGTGACCGCCCCGCGGGGCTCCTCCAGCGGCTGCTGCTGCGCGTGCTGCGGGGCGACCATGAGGCCGTACTTCACCGAGAATTCCGTCATATCGCAGGGGGACATTTATCAACTGTAAGTGAGCCGTGCTTTGATGTGAGCCGTTGAATGTGGACTTCGGGAGGCGTTTCGACCTGCGGTGCTGAGTTAATGAACGCTCCCCGCGTGTTTGACCGCTGTCTCATTCACTGTGGGGTTTCAGATGACTAAATAGGGATGAAATAGTGGCTGCAAAGAAGGAGGTTTCCCTCCGTTTTTCTACCTGTGAAATGAGTCTCCTCCATGCCTCACCAGCTGTCCCCTCCACCCTCTCTCCCTCTAAAGCATCCTGATGGTGCACAGCCCTGCAAGGCACACGGTGTACCCTACACAGGTCCACACCGAAAATCATTTCAGTCTGTGTTCATGACAACTGCAGGCAGTGACAGTGGATTTCATCTGGCAATTCATATGTCTAAGCAGCCAAGATGAGATGGAACTGCTGTGCATTTGGTCATTATTTGCAGATTAGATCTGGTGATTGTGCCGTACTCCCTTAGTGTTCCTCCATGGTGCCACACAATGCTGTGCTATCCAGAGTACAAACAAATGTCTGTGTGACAGTCATTTAGAGCAAATACACACGGGAAGTGTTTCTCCCCTGTCTAGTTTCTGTTCTCTTGATGGCTGCTGATTTCTTGACCGGTCTGTGCAGATACAAACTTTTTCATACAGTTTTTTCTTCCCTTTTTCAGACTGACAATCAGTCTCTGGTTCTTGGCCAGAGGTGGATATTTAGTAGTGAGTCTGCTCTTTCCCGTCATCATGAAACACAAGGAGACTTTATCTTTTGATGTCTGCTAAATCGCCTATCTGGAGGCTCTCTGCTGGACATGAAGAAGACTCTTTGTAAGGCCTAATTTTGGCCAAAATTAAAAAACAGAACAAAAGAAACATGTCTAATTCTAAGGAATGCATGTGAGCTATTAAGAGTGTTGCATAATACTATTATTGAGGGAGCAGTCGCTCTGAGCAGCAGCTTTTAGTTGGCCCTGCCAAGTCCTTTCTGGGTAGCTGTTGAGTTCTGTGCCAGACAGTAGTGACATCTTGGTAAACACCGTTTGTAAAGTCATGAAAACAAACTGCCTAGAAAGGTGGCAATTGTTTAGGTTTGTTCTTATAAACTTTATAACCCATCACATCTTTGATGAACCGGTCCACTTCAGTGAAGCCAACATATAATTGGAAGCAGCTGTTTGTTGTCGTCAAGTGCCTTGAGCTCATAAGCCTCTTCTTTGTTGTTGTGCGAAAGAATGTTTGTTCTGGAGGACAAGGCTATTGTTGAGCAAACTTAGGATTCAGCCATCAGGTTTGAAAGGCTTCCGATGACACATGGTTAAAGACTGCTCGATGCATATCAGACATAAACTCTGACTGAAGACCCAGAGCATCTGGGCTGGTGTCAACTGTCTGAAAATGATGAACAACCACCCATTGTGGTGTGTTATTTCATACACATCACAAGCAGAAATGGCTTGTGAACCATAGCAATCGGAGAGCTGGTGTTTGTTTTTGCTGTGGCAGAAAGCCTCTGGCCGCCTTCCCATTCAAACAGATTTCCACCCGGTCGCGCCCGCATCGGCCAATCACAACTGTTTTTCTTGGTAAACTCAGTTGAGGCTCATTGCTGAGATTGTTTGAGACCATGCAGCGCTGCACACAGGCTTTTTTAATATAGTCACACAAAAGCATCTTCCAGGCTTTTCCCGAATGGATTTTATGAATCACGTTCTGGTGCTTTTCCCTCACTTCAGCTGTTTTCTCTGTCTACGCAGCATCAGTGAAAGTTTCCTGACTGTAAAAGGAGCTGCTCTCTTCTTACCTCGTGGAAATGGCTCCTCCGCTTCTTCTGCCTCCCGCTTCTCCCAGCTGCGGAGCAAACATGCAGGTGAGGCTGAAGCTTGTCCACAGCTGCCAATCGCAGTCCACCAGTCGCGTTCTCGTCAAATGAGATGCGTTTGTTGCTCGGCTTCTGTTATTTTCTCTCAAAGTTGTCCCCGTCTTCCCACCAGGAGACATCCAGCAGCATCTGCAGACCATGTTCACTGTCCTCCGGCCAGAGGACAACATCAAGCTGGTGTGTACACGTCATGATACGCAGACGCTGTTCAGTCATGATGTCTCCACGGGGCTGTCGAGTCATTGGCTTCGTGTTTTTTTTTTTCCCCCTCTCACTTCAGGCGGTTCGTTTGGAGAGCGCCCACACTCAGGTGACCCGCTACATGGTTGTGGTGTCTACCAACGGTCGTCAGGACACTGAGGAGAGTGTGGTGCTGGGGATGGATTTTAGTCCAGTAGACTGGTGAGAAAGAGACAAGCACAGACTTGTATCTCCACGCTACTAACGACGCTGTGCTTAAAGTTGTAACATCGACTCTTCTTCTCCTTCCAGCTCCTGCTCTGTAGGGCTGGTTTTGCCTTTATGGAGTGACACCTTAATACACCTGGATGGAGACGGGTAAGAACCTTGGCATTGTGAAGCAGGAAGCACCTTAAACATAAGTGTCTTTTCTTTAATTTTTGTTTTTTGTTTAACCCCTCCCTTCTTCTCTTCTCTACTGCTGCTCTCAGGGGGTTCAGCGTGTCGACGGATAGCAGAATCCATGTATTCAAGCCTGTTTCTGTACAAGCCATGTGGTGAGTCACACTGCAGGAGTCCCAGCTAAATGGAGAAGGACAACGCTGTGTTCAGATGCAGTGTGTAAAGCAGATCACCCCCCTTCCGCCTTCTGTCTCAGTCACATTTCTGTGTCCCTGAACCCTCTCACAGGTCGGCCCTGCAGTCACTGCATAAAGCTTGCGAAGTGGCTCGCTGTCACAACTACTTCCCGGGCAGTTTATTCCTTACCTGGGTCAGCTACTATCAAAGCAGGGTCTCCTCAGACCAGGCTCGCATTAATGAGTGGAACACCATGCAGGATGTGCAGTCGCACCGTGCCGACTCGCCTGTGCTCTTCTCTGATGCGTAAGAGTTTTTCTCCTAACCCTTTATTTACATTGACTGTTTGGGGACTTGAGGATTGTCATTTATTAAAAACTTGGTAACGAGTTAAAGAAGATTATTTTCGTCTTCCTGCAGGCCCACGGAAAGGGAGCTGACAGAGCGACAGATCAAAACCAGCTTGAGGGAAATCATGACGCAGAAAGACCTTGAGAACGTCACCTGCAAAGAGGCGAGTGGGAGCTTCAGATGGGGGCATTTAGAGACTCCAAACAGATTTTGCCATCACTGACTTTTTTGCATCGAATGGCATCCTACACCAAAATAAACAGAAAAAAAAAAACTTATTTTGGGAAAAATAAGATGTTTGGATTACCGTGACCTGATGATGTTGAATGGACACTAGTTCTCTCAGATAATACAGACTGCTCTTCATGCTTTGAATAACCCCTGTTCTCTGACTGTCCCTCAGATCCGAACAGAGCTGGAGATGCACATGACATGCAACCTGCGCGAGTTCAAGGAGTTCATTGACAACGAGATGATTGTGATTCTGGGCCAGATGGACAGTCCTACGGAGATCTTTGATCATGTCTTCTTGGTGGGTTGACAGCAAAAGCTCACGATATTTTTACACCGTGATACCAACTCTGCCTTTTCACATGAAAGACGGAATCATCACCTTGCACACGAGGCCTGATCTGTATCTAGAGAACCAGCAAAATCAGATTTGTTCTTGTGTAATTCTGTGTTCTGCCCAATTTGAGGGTACTTTGGTCTTGTATTGTCTGGAATGCGTACTGGATGTTAGGCATGTCTTGCTGTAGGATTTGAAGCATTATGAAAAGCTCGGTGGAAGGCTCTGAACAAGTCTGAGGATTGTTGTTCTTTCCTGCAGGGATCTGAGTGGAATGCATCCAATTTGGAGGAGTTGCAGAACAGCGGGTAAGGAAGGGCTAACACAACAAGCCCACTACTAATACTACGCAGGAAATAATTCTCCAGAGATTTATTCTTCAAAAGAGTCAAATCTATTCAAATATTGTCCCAGTCATCGCTCATCTTTCTCTAACATCCATGTTTCTTCTCCGCTCAGAGTTCAGTACATCCTGAATGTGACAAGGGAAATTGACAACTTCTTTCCTGGTGTGTTTGAGTACCACAACATCCGGGTTTACGACGAGGAGGCCACTGACCTGCTCGCCTACTGGAATGACACCTATAAGTTTATATCCCGGGCAAAGTGAGTTGCAGATTGGAGCATGTTTTCCATTTATTTTCTTTTACATTTCCAGCCTGATGATGATGATGCCCTTGTCTTTAAAATATCATATGCACTCCTGTCGCATTCATTTTACCGCCACCAAGGATCTAAAACATTTTATCTAGCTGATATCAGTCTAAAGGGATTGGTTGTTCTGCCGAGATGCAGATGAAAACTGTGGGGACAGCTCCGTTTGAACTCTGACATAGAAAAAGAAATGTAAAGCAGCCTAAATGATGACTTGAATTTTAGAAATAATTATTGAAAAGTTATTGTGTGAGGCATATGCTTTGTATTAAAATTCATAGTAACCTATTCTCCATCTCTACCCCAGGAAATCTGGGTCCAAGTGCCTGGTGCACTGTAAAATGGGAATAAGCCGCTCTGCAGCCACAGTCATCGCATATGCCATGAAGGAGTACGGCTGGGATTTGAAAAGGGCCTTTGATTACGTCAAACAGCGCCGGACGGTGACCAAGCCCAACCCGTCCTTTATGAGACAGCTGGAGGAGTATCAGGGCATTCTCCTGGCCAGGTAACGGCACACACTCACAATGATGCCGTCCCTTACTGATGACAAATGCTGCACAGGAATACATGGCTCATAAGAGGCTTTTGGCTTCTCCACTTTTTGTGGGGCATTAATGTCATACTTTTCTTAATGATGCAGTGCTTTATATAAGATCAGTTTTTTGGGAGTGCATAAGCAACAGTATACACACCTCTTATCGAGCCACACAAGTTGGTAAAGTTAACACAGTTGGAGCATGTAAGTCGAATTGTTCCTTTTCACCTGATGGATTTTGAGGTGGATGATAATTCTGAGTTGGTACAATTGGCAACTTCACTGGTCATAAAAAGAATGCCTTAAGTTCAGTAAAATTGTATTTTGTTACTTGTGAACCGATGCATGCAAGCCTCTAAAAAGCTGTATCAAGACTTTTAAAATAAGTTTATTTCCTTACATATTTTTCTTTTTCTCCTACAGCAAGCAGAGGCACAACAAGCTGTGGCGTTCTCACTCTGACAGCGATCTGTCCGAGCACCACGAGCCGCTGTCCAAATCCCACGCCCAGCCCCACAGCCTGGGCCGCTCGGACCCCCATAACCAGGCCGGCAGCGCACCGGGTCCTTCTGTCAAAGAGCTGCTGGAGTCGCTGGGCCCTCCGTCCGCCTCTGGCAGGGCGGCTCACTCCAGCAGCCAGCCCGACACCGGCGTCCAGTCCAATCAGCGTGGATCTATCTCCTTTAAAGGGACGGCAGCTCGGTCAGACGATGCTGGACCTCCGAGCCTTGAGGCTGCCTCTCATTCTGCTGTAGGCCAGGGCCGACAGGCGGCCCCTCCTCGTCCTGTTTCCGCAGCCGCTTCTGTGTCTTTACCTCCCCCGCTCGCCAACGGCTTATGTGACTCCGAGGAGCAGCACTCATCTCCTCCGGTCTCCCAGCCCAGGGCCGCCCCCGTGGTGCCAGAGCCCCAAAAGGCCGACACAGTGCCTGTTGCACAAAGTGTTTTGATGGACCAGGCCCACCCGTCTCCCTCTGCTCACCACACCCCGGTCTCTCCTGCTCTGTCCTCGCAGGACAAAGACGTCAAAAACGTGTTGTCCTCTTCCCCGCCCGTGATGAAACCAGCGCCGGCGTCTGCGCCTGCTCCCACGGCAACACAAGCCGCAAGCACGCAGCCGGCCGCGCCCCGCTGTGTGTCTGCACCGGTGCCCATCAAAAAGGCAGACGGCGGCCAACAAATCTACAGCTCCTCATTGGACAGTTTAACCGCCCATCCGCCCTCCTCTAATGACTTTAACAGCTACGCCAGTGCCACTCCACAAGACAACGTGCTGCTGTTCGGCCACAGCGCGGACCACATCAACTTTTTCAGTGCCAGAGAAAAGTTTAAGGGAATGAGTCAAGACGGCAAAACTCTCAGTGCTGCAGCGCAGCAGTCGCCCCTGCCCAAGAGCATCAGCAAAGAGCATCAACCAGGCCTTCAAGAGGGCCCTCACAGTGAGGAGGAGAAAAGAAAGGTAACTTCTGCATGCAACAACCTTCAAAAATTCAGCAAACGTTGTTTTTCCAGAGCAAACGACACGCTAGTATAAACTTTTATGATCTCCTTTTAGGCTGAGTTTTTACACGAGGCCCCGATAAATTGGGGCCTCGTGGATTAACAAAGGCTTTTTCAGACAAATTCCATAGTTTTGCTTTTTTATTCTGATGAGTTTGTGGGCTTCAGTAAAAGTGCACCCCCTGGTGGTTGATAGGTGGAACGCTTCATTTGAAATGTCTGAGAAGTGTGAATCACTTTGGCCTGAATGTCTGCCCGATGACTAATCCATATGCCTCTCATGTTATTTCTCTTTTGTAGGAAATGCTTGTTCCTGTGCAGGTCACAGGAACGAAGTCCACTGAGACTCTCAGCAAGCCAGAGGCTCAAGGCCTCCTGGAGCAGGAAGCGACAAAGCCGGGGCAGGAAGCGACAGATCGAGATGCTTCCTCACTCAAAGAAGCCGAGAGTGTAAAGGAGGAAGCGAGGAACAAAGAAGATGAGGAAGGGGCTCCGGCTCGTCTCTACAGCGACTGGAAGAGAGGCTCTGTGCGGCGCGTCACTCAGCAGCTGGAGCAACGAATGAAACAGGAGCACGAGACTCCCTCCCCCTCGTCCTCACCGCCATCCGTCATTGGCTGCACATCGCACTCTCAGCGCCGTCCGCACAGCATCCATTCCACTACAGTGTCTCTGCCTCGGGATGCCTCAGTTAGCCCACAGGTGTCGGTGGGTAACAGTTTGCAGGAAGAGCAGGATGAGGAGGATGGTAAGTGTGGAGCGCCTAAAAGAGGGAGTGCTCTTGTAGCTGAGGAAGTGAGGAACGTAGGAAATGATGACAAAAGCACAAAAAGACACCACCTCGAGCCTGCTAATACTAGATTGGGTTCTACCTCTTCTTTCCACTTCTCTGCCCAGTCTCCTTTTGCCTCTGTGAACTTCCTGTGTTTGGAGGGAGTGACCGAGCTTGAGTCGGGCACAGATTGGGGCTGTTTCACAGCGGGAGCCCACAGTGACATCGTCATGAGGGAGACGTGGGAGACTTTGTGTGAGTTGGGGGCCTTCCTGCAGCAGGTGAGCATGAGTAAGAGCTGCAAAGCCAGGCGTGCAGGACAGGCTCCAGAGGCTCAGGGGCGAGGCTGCAGCATCCACAAGAGGGCCAGGGAGGTGGAGGCAAGGATTCGCCAAGCAGGGCTGACCCCCCCGTCCTTCATGAAGCGCTCGGCCTCACTGGCCAAGCTGGGATGCTTGGAGCTGCTCGCCAACGACCTGAGCGAGTGGGAGCTCAGCCGATCCACTGCAGCTCCACCCTTAGCACAAGCTCCCCTCCACGCAGTTTCTGATGAATCCAAGAAGCAGCGAGTCCAGACCTCACTGTCCCTAAGTGGTGGGAAACCACAAGCCCTCGGTGTCCCCTCCAATAGGCTCCCTGAGGATGGAGAAACCTCACAGGGAGTTTTTCTGCCATCAGATCAAAGTCATCCAGAGAGAGGAAAGCTACTAAACGCTGGCCAAGATTCTTCCAATTTGCCAGATCCCACACTTCTGACGACAAGGCAACAATATGGAAGGACTCACCCCCTGAGAAGGCTGAAAAAGAGAACTGTTAGTAGTACCCTTTACCACACAATGTGACCCCCACACTGTGTGTCTGTGTGCGTGAGAGCGGGAGGGATTGTGCACCCGTGAGTGATGGAAATCGTGTGCATATGTTAGGTTTATTCAACAAAACAAACAAATGCCTCTTGCCTTAAAGGATGCATTTAGTGGATTCTCTATGTTGTTACCCACAGATCCTCTAAGAGCCTCTGTAAAATCTGCTTGCGATACCGACCTCCATATTATAGCAAAGACAAGGCTGTGAAAGTTCCACAAACTGAATTCAAATCAAATCCAAATCCTGAACAGTCAGTTAAAGCGACAGAAACATTTAGATTGCAAATCTGGTTTTAGTGTAGAAACGCCTGCTCTGTGTGTCCATCATTCCAGTTTTCTCCACCATCGCTCCGTTCACTTGATTGTGGTTAGTTAGTTGGTTGGATGACTTAAATGTCCAGCCTTATGTTAGGTGGAATGTAGTTTTCCCTATTTCCCCCTTTTTTTTGGATAATTTTTTTGCACCTTTTCATCAATCTTTGCAGGTAATGCTGGAGAGCAAACGATGCCGCTGACGCAGTCAGAAGCTGATCCACATCACTGTAACAGACTTTTTTCAAACTATTAGATTTGGTGCAGATGAACTAAATTTGTCAAATGCCGTGCATCAGAATTACCAGTAATATTGCAACAGAGTTGAGTCTCGGCACAAAAAGTCTCAGGTTAAACAGGCACCGCATTGTTCATTTTCGTTTGTTTGTTTTTTTGCAAACAAAGCTGTATCGGAGCTGGAGACCACAGGCACTGAAAACTGTGCACCAGGAAGAGAATGAAAACAGTGGAGGCATGCTTCTTCTGTTATTATCATCATCATCATTTTTATTATCATTGTTTTTATGGCACAGTACCTCAACCAAATCTGACTTTGACAAATGTCCGGCTCTGGCATCCTGGAATGTTCTAAATCCGAAACTATCTGAACTCCACTACTTGAACTGGAATAAACGTGTCTATTTCATGTCCTCAGAGTTCTGATGCCACTCGAAGTAGGTTAGGTGTGGGGGTTAAAAGCAGAGTGTACATTTGTGAGTTTTCTGCTGTGTTCTCTTTGGGATGTAAAGGTCAATATTGTGAGTGTCAACATTTAAGGAACTGTACATGTTTTATATCTCGTTCGTGTCGGTGAGTGGGTCTGTGTAGCACAATTTTATCATGTGGGTGTGTACCTCTTTTTTTAATTGTTTTTAATTTGATCTTTTGTACAGATTTTAGGAGTGTGCCTGTGACTGGCAAGTGAAGCTTCTCTGCACTCAGAAATGTCTGCACAGGGACGTCTGTCATACATGCACTTTACTCCCTTTTCATTTTTTAAATGTCTTTTACGTGTGGTTGCTACTTTTGGGGGAGCATGTTTTAGTAGCAGCGGGTGTTGCTTACGTCTTTGTTTTGTCAAACTTATTTTTTTTGCTTTTATTTTAAACTATCAGTGTAAATATTCTTTTATATCATGTGGTTCAAATGTGACCATTAAACATTGGAGATTATTAAGAGCCATGTTTGCTGTGAGTGTTTTATGGAAAGCTACAAACGACCAGAGTATGAGGAAACAAACAAACCACAGTGGTGCCATAGATGAGGTTTAACTCTTTATTTACTTGTTTAGTACAAAAGATTTAAAATAGAGCCTTAGCCCCTCATCTGTATGTCTTGCACAACAAACAGTTGTGAACTATAAGGGATTCTATCATATGACATGTATAATACTACATGTAAGGAATTAGACATTTGAAGTCTGTCATTTTAAACGGCAAATGCTCTGACCTCTTATTTAATAGCTGCTCAGCTCTGCACAAGGTACAATTATGGATTCCTCAAAAGCAGGAGACCCCCTCTCTGCTGCCTGCTCATACAGCTATCATGGGACAACATACAACTAAAAGACTTTTCCTCCAACTGCAAGGATCCTCCATTAGAAACTTCTTTATATGCAGGTTTATTCACCCATTAGTCTCAGTCTGCCTCTGGATGCCACCAGAACGCGCACACCCACACTCCACAGCGCGTCTCCTCCGTGTACTGACAGAGCCCGTTCCAAAATAGATGGCACCCACCCCCACCACCCCCCCCTCCACCACCACCCCCCCCCCCCCCCCCCAACCCTCCTCTGCTGCTTCGTCCCGGTACTATTCCTTCTCTCTTTCCCTGCCGAGGAGCGTCGCGCAGGTTTCCAGTGCGTCCTCTAAGACCAGACCGGAGCCAGGACGTCGCTTCTCGGGGAATATTAACCGTCCAAAGGCGCGGCAGGAGGAGAGGACAGCAGCAGGCACCGCAGCAACTCGTCCCAGTTCTCCAGGGAAGAGGGGTCTCCCCAAAACCTGAGGTGAGCTGCCTTGTGTCCAAATATGTGTGTGTCGGTGTCTGTGCTGCTGCAGTGGGGTGAGAGTGCGTCAGCTCCTCTGCTGCACTGCTGGGGAAGAGCCTGAGTGCGTCCCCACCTCCAGACACTCACCTTTGAAAAGACAGAGGTGATATATTTTGAGATTACGCACCACCGAGAGAAAAAAAAAGACATGTAGCTTACAGAGACTCGTTAACCAACTTCCCACCCAGCCTCTTCCCTCCCCCGTCACACATGCGCCCCTGACAGTTATGTCCCCATGTTTACGCGTGTTTGCGCAGGCTCTGCTCATCAGCTGTTTAAATTTACAGTCGGTTCATTAGAGATAAAGTGCCAGAGAGCCCACCGCATTCATTCTGGGACTATTTGGGATCGGGCAAGGGGGGGTGGGAGGAGTTGCCGACCCGGGTTGGACAGAGCAGTTTGTCTTGTCTATATTAGGACAGCGGCGGTGTCATAGTCCCGCTCTGCGCCATGCGCGCAGGGGAGGGCCGCCTCATTAACCGGAGCAAGAACTGAGGCAGCATGTTGGAGGTTATGCAGTTACTGTACATGTCATGACACATTTAGTTCACACCGTTTAAGAATTTTCACAACTTGCTCCTGTCATTTTAAAAAGAAATCAATTTTGAATCCTATTCAAGATTAATTAAATAAAATAAAATGAAAAAGGACAAAAGTTCATAACAGCAGGCAGCTGAAGAGCTTCCTAAATCTCTCTCTGGAAACGGAGTCGTTATCACTATGAAGTACATGATAGGTTTTTGGTTCTGGTGGTGACCCCGAATGCCGTACTGCCGGCCCACTGGAGCTTGAAGGAATGTAACTCTCTAGATAATGCAGGGCTTCCAGGAAAGCTGAGAGCCTTCTCTCATCCCCCCAGTAAAATCTTGATCCTTTATTTGTTTGGGTCACTCACTTTGAGTTACGTGACTTTATTCTAGTGTCAAAGCATCCTCTTGTTGGTCATTTTCAGGGCGCTATAAGGGTGGTACTGTCCTTTTACATGTAAGAACAGAAGGAGGAACTGCGTTTATCAGATTTCCACAGGGACTGGAGCAGGCCTACTTTTAGATTTAGGTTTTTAGTTTTGGCCTTATGTAACTCTGTGAGGGAATAAAGTCGTGTGTGAAGGAAAGCTCACCCTATTTCACTGAGAAGGTTTTATAAATCATGAAAAAGAGAATAAAGTAGTCCTTACAATGCTTCTCTCCATTATAAAGGTAAGTATCAACCAGTTACTGGTGATAAAATACACTTATTTATTGATTACCAACAAGCACCTGTTTTAAGGCAACAATTTAGTCAGTTTTCTCTTCTGGAGTATTCAGGTGTGTGTTGAGGCAATGCAAAAGTAAAGGGACATCTACTCCAATCTTTGAAAAGCAATGTCTTCATGTTCGGAGGCCATTTTAAAACATTTTAGTCTGTCATCCTACCATCACACATGCTATTTACAAGTGGAAACAACAACATTCGAAACTGTTGCTACTTTCCACCCCTAAGTTATTGCAATTTTCAGGAACACAGCAAAACCCAGAAAAAATGAACTCTGCAGGCCACAGTTAGCATGTTTAAGTTCAGAATTGTATTGATGTAGTAAAAAAGAAACCAAACAAAATGTGCACAGCTTGACAAAAAAAGTGCATCTGAATAAACCACAAAAGTTGTAGAAAAATTTAAGACCGAAAAGTCCCATTTCAATTGTTTGGTTATTATGTACTCGACCATCTCAGACGTCAAATAAGATCTCAAGCACAGTAGTGGAGGGCCGATGGTTTGGGCTTGAATTGAAACCACAGGACCTGGAGCGCTTGCACTCCACTATGCACTCCTTTGGTTTTCTTCTGCTTTTCAGGAGGAAAACCACAGCAAGTTTCTGTATTTGTTGTTGTGTGCTGTTACATAAAGTGTAAAAGGGAAAGTGGGTGCACTCACTTTGACACATGGACGTACATGCTGATCACGTCCGAAGTCAATCCCCCCCCCCCCCCCACCACCAGTTGTTCGGCTCTCTGCTTCTTAGTACATGTCTTTGATGTTTTGCTCTCACATAGCGTTTGGTAGGACAATCAACTATTAATATCTACATGGATGGTGTGCACTGTTATACAATATCCCCAGTGTTTTGAAGGATTACAGTGATGGCCACAGGACAGCAAGTTGTCAGTCAGCAACCAGCCTAAAAACAGGCTTTGTGTGTGGGGGGGGGGGGTCATTATTCAGAGTAAATGCAGTAAGTTATTTAAAGCTGCAGTTAAAAGTAAGTTCTTGAAGAACGTAATATTCACAAATGAATAAGCAAAATCCAGCTCAAAGTACATTGATGAGCAGCTTTAATGGGCGGGTTCACAGGTGCCCAAAATTGTATTTTTTTTAAACTTCTGAATATTTGTTATTTTAAAGCAGCTAATCTCTGCAATCTTAAAAACGTATACAAAACTGCTCATACTGAGACAGTAAGTATTAGAACTTTTTATACGTACCAATATTAAAAAACAAAGAAACTGACTAAATAAGATGAAATGAAAAGATTGATGTAATGTTTATTTGTAAAGAAAATGGTATTTCTTCTTTTTTGCAGGAATAAGATTTGATATTTTCTCCCCCCCCTTAATTCACCTTTTTCTTTCCATTTAACTTTTTGGTAAATCAAAGGACTTTTGGAAAACAGTAACATTGCATCTCATCATACCAAACTGTTCATGTAATTTTATTTTATTGAATTTTAATTTGAGTCATTTAAGAGCCAGTGAAGCTGACATATTTAAGATTGTGAACATTTTCTTTATCCGTTTGAATATTTTCATCCTTTTTTTTTATTCAAAGCCTTCACACATTCCTGCTTGCTCCCGTTCTTTGCAGCTATGAGTCGCAGCATCGTGCGACAGAGCAAGTTTCGCCACGTCTTTGGGCAGGCGGTGAAAGCCGAACAGGGTTACGATGACATCCGGGTTTCCAAGGTGACCTGGGACAGCTCCTTCTGCGCCGTCAACCCAAAATTCTTAGCGGTCATCGTTGAATCCAGTGGAGGAGGAGCTTTTCTTGTCCTGCCGCTGTCTAAGGTCAGTAAGCTGACAAGCCGGAAATAAAACCCAGTGAATGACAAATAAATGGGCCTCACCTGAGGAAATGAGAAGCTTTATGGAGCAGAGTGAATGTTAATTATGTTGTAATTGAAACTTTGAGAGCATTTAGGTTTTTTCATTAAAAATGATAGTAAGAAGGAATGAAAGCTTTCAGTTTTTGATTTGTTCCAACATTTTTATCTTAGTTTCCTGATTCATCCGACAACCTGGGCAAGCATTGTTCCCCTTTATGCCAAATCCTCCAGATTAGTTTTGTGAAAAATATGTTAGGCAAGCCAGAGGGAGAAATAATTTAACACTTCCAAGCTATCTTTAAGGCAAACTGTTGTTAGATATTTTGGAAGTTTTTCCCCCACATTTTGAGAAACTATGTTTATGTCTCGAGATCATCCATTATTCTGAGTTATGGTTGCATGATTGTTGACGTCACCCATTTCAAATAGCATCCTTTCCTATTAGCCTCTTTTGCATTTTTTTTTAACCCAGGCTGATAGTATAATTCTTTTATGGACATGTTGATTTGTCTATTGGTTTGTGGTTGTTACTTTTAAGATGGTCAAAGGGGTTTCAGCCAAACATATTCCACATGCAAAATCCATGTTCGCAAAGAGAAGAAGGAAAACTGTAAAGCTTCTAAGGGAAATAAGGACAGAGAGGTGAAGCTAGTTTGCATCCTGTAACCTATCGGTATCCATGAGCTCCTCATACTGATCAGTTCAGCGGAGTCGTGCAGAGCAGTCGTGTGTTGGATCCATTCAAATCTTTTTACATCTTTGCACTTTTAAATAACTTCTGTGACATGCATATTATTTCAAATAGGAAGAGCAGAAAAAATGAAATAAATCACCCATATAAACACAAAAGGCCACATTTGAAGTTGAAGTCCAAACCTTTACGTGAGCTGGCTCACATTTGGCAGCAGACAGAATAGTGGTGCTTTTAAGTCCCGTTGGAAGGCTGGCTCCAGCGAATGTTCTGGTGAATGTTCTGCTGAGTACGGCTATAACAGGACTCCACCGTGCATGACAAAGCATTTAGCAGGCAGCTGTGTGAGGTCAAATCATTCCTCTGACCCTCAAATATTTGAGATGCACAGAAAGTCAACGCCCCCTCCAGAGAAGTTGGACCTGGAAAGTAAATCCATTGCTTGAAAAGTTTTAGAACTTCTCTTGGAGACAGGAAATAGGATTTATTTCTCTATTCAGGATGAGTAACTGTGGCTCAGTGGACCCAGTTTGAAGTCATGTGAACAGTTGTAGCATTAAGAAACAAGAAAACAAAACTATATAAAAGATGCTGCTAATGAAAATATAGCGTCTCAGTCAATTATAATATAGTAAATGACAAAGTCACGTTGAATATTTTGATAGAACCTTTGGTTGTATAAAACTCTCGACTTTTCACAGACTATAGAAAGCAGATCACAATTCAAGGTGGACCTTCGCAAATACGTGCTGACGCTGCTGTGATCAGGTGCATCAGACAGAAACTTTACTCGATCTGCCCTGTGAGAGGCCTCAAATCTGCAGGTTTCATTTGAGTCAGGCTGCTGAAAACATCCCTCTGTCACAGCCCTGGGTTCCGAGGGCCGGGGAATTCAACGTCCCTCGCCAAAGAAACAATGATGGGGGGCTCATTATTATTATTACTATTATTATTATGATCCGGTGATAGTTTATTTGTGTACATCATATAACTTTGATTACTTTGTCTAAAAGAGAAGAACCGATGGATTCAATTACATTCTGATATCAATGTACTTAAAAAGCTTTGTTGATTTATTAAAATCAGTTGGAGCAAGAGTATGTCTAGTTCTTTGGACACAGGGAGAAGTCATGTTGAACAGACATGCTATTAATACCCACCAGAGCTCTCCCCATCCTCCTTTCCCCCCTCTGGGTCCCCAACAAGCAACAAGAAAAACTCCCCTCTCAACGCCTCGTCACTTGAGCTATAAATACACTTTGCTTAGTGTGAGCGTGTGTGTGTGTGTGTGTGTGTGTGTGTGTGTGTGTGTGAGAGTATATGTAAGGAGCGATATCTCCTAAGCTGATACACATGTTCACATGATAAGAAGCGTTGGAGTGGGGCAACATGGACTCACTGGCTTATGAGCAAACCTGTGCATTCTGGAAATACTTTTACTTTGTGCACTCTAAGATAAAGCAGACTTTAGATTAATTCTAAAAGACTTATTCTATTTGTAATTTTGTTCACTCTGATTTCAATTGCTCTGAATTAGCTCATTTCAGCATGCTGACAGGCAAAATGAAGACTTTTTATGACACCTGCTCAACATTTGCACGCTAAAATCTTTATTGTCAGCTTGTTAGCGTTGGCACTCTCAAATACAGCCTTACAAAGGTCCCTCTTAGAAAAAAACAAGCAAAGCAACACGTACAGTGAAATTCTTTGAGTTATTTATTGTTCTTGGAAACTGAGTCTTCAAAAGCTCTCCCCTCTGGTGACACTTTTCAGGCTTTAATGTTGCCGCTGTGAGTGGCTGTTACTTTGTTGGTCTTAGAGGCCGTGTTTGTTTTCAGAAAGTGAAAGTAATACTGACAGTTAAACTCAAGTGGGTGACTCAACAATGCATTTGTTTATGTAGAATAAGGCTCCTCTTTAATGCACCAGACTAAATGTGAACAAAAAGATGTCGCTCATTAAACAAAAGAATTCATCCAGCTACTTTTAGCTTGGAGAAACATGGGAAAAAAACCACAGGGGATATTATTCTAGTGACAGCAACTCCACAACTCTACAAAATATCCCCCACAGAATCATAATGAACAGATGATGTCAGGATTTGCTTTGGATAATGACCCCCACCCCCCTACATGGTATTCTTTGCCCCTGTGTCTTTCCATCGCTTTGGTTGAAGTCAAAAGGTTTTCTTTGTAATGACCAGTTTGGCCTTTCTGGCTTTTTACAAAAATTACTTCACTGGGAGACAGACCGTAGACAGTTTTAGGGTATGATTTTTAAAAATTCCCCTTTTGGATCATATCAAAACGTGCCATAATGGTCTTATTTCAGATCAGCTGTCAGATGTTTATTATTCTCTTCTAATAAATAAAGGTAGATGGTAAATGCTCCCCTTTGTGTTTCAGACAGGTCGTGTGGATAAGAACTACCCGCTGGTGATCGGCCACTCCGGACCCGTCCTCGACATCGACTGGTGCCCTCATGACGACAACATCCTGGCCAGCTGCTCAGAGGACTGCACTGCCATGGTAATCACGGCTTGTTGGTTTGTGCGCGTGTGGGGGGTTGCAGATGCGTGCGGAGGAGCCGGTTGTGCGATGACTCAGACAATAGCCCCAGAGGTTGTCGCCACTCGAGTCAATCGTGTTTTCCGGGCTTTCAAGAAAACGTTTAGTGAATCAGGCAAGGCCCCGAAGCGCCTACCTGTCTGGCTGGCCGCCCACCCGCTCTGCGTCATCTCACATTTTGATGACTACTGTCAGTTGTAAACCCTTGCCAATAACCTGGAGATCTGCATTTCAGACCGAAGGTATGAGCAGTGATAAGGAAGTAATGTGTGTTGGAGGAATTTTTGCCACTGTAAGATTTTTTTCCCACTTTGACAACTTCCGTCATTGTCGGTTTCTCTGGTCTTACCGAGCCTGTATTAAAAGTGTCTGTAGGATTTGTGAAAACACACTGGAGATGGAGAGTTTAATATGTGATAACTCATAACAAATTGGGATATCAATCACCTCATGCTTACAAAAACTAATGCTGTCTCACAAACCTGAATTGCTTGTGGTCTGGACAGCGTTTCAGATAAAGTAAGATAATTCAAACTAAACCAAGTTTTGACAACAGCAATAAAAAAAAGGCTAAAGAGAGACCCATAGTCTAATCAAACAGCCGAATAGCTGTACATCAGCCTTAAAAATTTTTTAATGGAATAATTCAAACCTTTCTCGATTATTGTGGCTCATCACCGTGTTTGGTCAGCAGGGGTCACTGGACAGCTTTGACTGCAACTTGATAGTTTCACACAAGTCTAAGACATGAGGTTTCTCACTGCTAAAATAACAGTACAACAGCCCAAATCTGCATTCTCCCCCTTATCTGTCTCGTCTCACTTAATGATTGTTCCAGTTTTACTTGAGTGTGTGTCTTTTATTCTGGATATGTTCATACATTTTGTCTAATCCTTTGAGCAATCTCTTCAAAAGGGCAAGTAAAGGGCTACAAAAAGTACTTTTCTTGTTATAGAGGATATTGGGATATTGCTATTTAATTTCCAAATTTACAATCTATTAGAGAAACTGCCACTTTTGCTTTTCCCTGCTGAACTGCGATGAAGGAAAGTGTTATACATTGGTTTCAGACGTGGTAGAAAATATTGCCTATATCAGTAAAACAGTTCCACAATTCTTCATGAAAGTGACCATTTACCAAAACAACAGGGGCTCTGATGAGAAGGGATGACCGACTCTGCTTCCCTTTAAATCTAAAAAACGATATTCTCCTCAGGTCTCAGTACTGTGTCTGTGTTCGCAGTGTCCAGTTCACATATGTGAGCAGGTGTGAATTCTGAAATTTCTTAACTTGTTTAATGACAGCGTGTCGGAACATGTGTGCATAATCACAGCTGAGGGGGGGTTAGACGTGCTGGCTGGTTCGCATCGACATTACAGGAATCTCATGATTGAATCGCTGCTTCTCATTTGGCGGCAGCTGCTCAGATGCTGTTTGAGTGCTTCTTTATGCGTGTGTGTGTGTGTGTGTGTGTTTGATTTGTTTATATCCAGACAGACAGTTGCAGCTGTCCTAGCCGTGTTGCCGCAGTGACGATATAGAAAGGTCAAAACTGTGATGTCATTCTCCTCAGTTCGTGGAGCCTGATCATTGTGTCATCTGGAAAGTCTCATTAGGAAGCGCCTGTGTGCGCGTGAATGTCGACCAGTGTGCAGGAGAACGTTGTGAGACGGCGTTCTTCAGCAAATGTGGAGCCCTGCTGCTGTGGGGTGTAACTCAAAAGGCTATATTGAGGCAAACTGCTAAAATACCTGCTGAGAGTGATGAGAAATGGGTTTTCAAGTGTCAGTGTTGATGATTTCTGGTCAACCGGGGCAGTTTATGTCAACACTAACAGACTTGGACCCTGAAACTTTGTATGGTTTCAAAACAAACCAAGAAAAACCTGCTCTGTTCAGAAATGTTAAATTCTTTTGACCATTAAATAAGAATTTGAATGACCGATATGAGTGGTATTCCAATCACATTATCAAATTTCTTGCTGAATTCATATTGCAATGTGCTCAACCAACACAAAGTAAATTAGCATATTTGGCTCAAATCCAGATTGCGTTCATGATTTATCGTTCAAATTTTGGGAAACTAAATTCTGCACGCTGGTGTGGACTTTAATAGGATCGTGTCACTTTGGAAATGAGGCAACAGAAACTAATTTCTGGGCCATAACTCACCTCTACCTGTAAAAGGACCACAGCAAAATCAGTGGCAGTCAGATAAGATGATTGGGGAAAAAAGAAAGATTATTAGCTATGAGGAAAGATAAGAGTGACTTGGCAGGAGAAATTACATTTTCTTTAGATTTTATTGATATTTGTCGTTATTTTCACTTCTACTTTTCAGGCAGCTGCTTAACCCCCTGATCCCAGATGTAATGTCTGACAAGCTGTGCAGATAAAATAGAACTCTCACTAAAACTGTTAATTGTACTTCACATTATGTGCCCTGTGTAATCTTTACATTTGTTTATAGTGGTTCATGTTGACATTTGATTCTCTGATACAAACAGAAAAGTTAAATGAATCTGTTTATGCCTTTTTGATACATTTGTGCTGCGTGGATTTGGATGTACATTGGAGGTTTAAAAAGTAAAATTAAAAACTAGTTTATATTTGCTAATCTGCTTGACTTTGCTGATTGTGGGACACAAAACATAATCCATGTCGGCTGCAGGTATGGCAGATCCCAGACCATTCGCTGAGCCGCCCGCTGTCTGACCCCGTTGTGGTCCTGGAGGGCCACTCCAAGCGAGTGGGCATTGTGAGCTGGCACCCCACCGCACGCAACATCCTACTCACTGCGGGTAGGATTAAACCAACAAACAATCCCAACTAGTTCTTTTCATGTTATTAATTTACTTATGACCTTTATCTTATTTGTCAGTGAAGTTTAGTTTAGAAAAAAAGGAGATCAAAAGGATTAAAAACGATAAACCTTTTACTTTTGTTTGTTCACTTTTCAGGCAGTGATAACCTGATAATCATCTGGAACGTGGGGACAGGGGAACCCCTCGTCTCCATGGACGACCACCCAGACCTCATCTACAGCGTCAGCTGGAACCGAAACGGCAGCTTGTTTTGCACCACCTGTAAGGACCGACGTCTCCGTGTGTGTGACCCCCGCAAGAGGGACGTGGTGGCGGTGAGTGCACAAAAAACACTGGAAAACATTGACCAAATATACAATACACTCATAAAAATGGCACCTGAATAAAAAGAAAAAGTACAGCTCAGGTCAGGAGAAAGTTAGGATGTTAGCACAGTGAGGGAAGGTCTACGTCTACAAAGACTTTTTGTCCAGACATACAGAACTTTATAAAAATACACTTTTCATAAATCACCGGTGTGAAAAAAGGATGGCAAATTAAATAAGTTTTAACGTGTTTTAAAATGAGGACAACCTAAAATACTCTGAAGTGTTCTCTTATGGATGACAAACCCTCAAGGAAACCCTAGATAATAATTCTGAAATAACAGCCAGCTGGTGCTTAGCAGAAGATTAAAATTATACTGCAATTCCACTGTTAAATACAGCTAAGTCATTACCCTTTGTGACAGAATAAATATATATATATATATGTTTTTTTTTAAATTACTAATCTTAGCTCTTTGTCTTAAATAGATTAAAGTTTGGTACTTGCATGTTCAGCCAATCCCTGTACAGTTAGATTATAAAGACCAGTCACCCTACAGCTGCTTGTTAGCTCCAACTCTGAAGTTGGAGCAGGTCCCATAAAAGCAATTTTTCAAAAAACCACAGCTAGAACCTAAAATGGAAGGGCAGTAAGATTTATTTTGCCCATATTCTTTCCTTAAACCAGCATCTGTAATAATATTGACCAACAGGAACGCATGGCTCCACACGAGGGAATCCGGCCGATGAGAGCCATCTTCACCAGAGATGGAAACATCTTCACGACAGGATTCACCAGGATGAGCCAGAGAGAGCTGGGCCTCTGGGACCCGGTATTGTGAAAATTCCATTTGTCTTACATGCATATCAGAGACATTCACACGTATATGCGTTTGGATTAAACAGAATGCAGGATTTAGTAATTGTTTTCATTCTCCACAGACAAATTTTGAAGAGCCTATAGCACTTTTGGAGTTGGACACAAGTAATGGAGTGTTGTTACCATATTACGATGCAGATGCAAACATGGTCTATCTGTGTGGGAAGGTACAAAGACTGGTTTATTTGTATAAAAATCACGCTTGAAAATCATGGCCATTTGATGTAAATGTGGTCTATTTCTAGCTCCTTTTGGGGTTTTTTACACAAGCAGTTTCTGGGTTTGTGTGTGTAGGGAGACAGCAGTATCCGTTACTTTGAGATCACAGAGGAGCCTCCGTACGTTCACTACCTCAGCACCTTCAGCAGTAAGGAGCCCCAGAGAGGAATGGGCTTCATGCCCAAGAGAGGGGTGGACGTCACCAAATGTGAGATTGCTCGGTAAGATACCGACGAGGATACGTACTAGATCTCAGCAAAGGCTGCAACATTTTTAGTTAATACACTCTCTGTCTTCCAGCTGATGTATCGTGTTGATTTTTTTGCAGAAATATACAAAAATTGGCAGTTTCATTGATATTAAATGAGTTAGTTCTGCCTTTGCTAAATCATGTCTTACATTACAAGCCAAGGCACTTAAGATCAATCAATCTTTTAGGTTAAGTATATATTGTCAATGTCAATACTTGGATCCTCATTTTTGTCTCATTTAACTTTTCCTCTTAGGTTATACAAGCTGCTCGACAAGAAGTGTGAGCCTATTACAATGACAGTACCCAGAAAAGTAAGCCCAGACACACAATTGCAGATAAATTCCCCCAAAATAAAATTTGTGTTGAACACTGATGCTACTTCATACTTAATTCCACCATCCACTTACTGACGATAGCAATTCTGTAGCTGCGGGTAAAGTCCCTGTTTTCTTCTCCTCACCTCTCTTCTGCAGTCGGACCTCTTCCAGGACGACCTTTACCCTGACACGGCCGGGCCCGAGCCCGCCATGGAGCCCGAGGAGTGGCTGGACGGCCGCGACGAGGATCCCATCCTGATGTCCATGAGGGAAGGCTACGTGCCACCCAAGAGCCGGGAGCTCAAAGTCGCCAAGAAGAACATGCTGGACTCCAGACCCACCACCCGACGCAGCATGTCCACTCTGGAGACCAACAGCCTTCCAGTAAGTTCCACAGCCTTCCTGTTGTGTTCTGATAATATCACTCATCCGTCCTAATAGGGATTCACTGTGTGGGTTTGGAAGGTTGGGTTAGATTTCACAGCAGCTACGTTCCACTTCACAGTGTCTGTAAAAAAATAACCCAAACCTGTTTTTTTTTAGGCTTTTCAACCTGTAATCTGTGCCATTACTCATACAAACATCTGTCTCTTTGTTCAACCCCTTTCCGTCAATCACTTTTCTATTTGCACCTGCCCACAACCCACAACCCCCAACCCCACCCGCCTTTGTTTATGTTCTGTAGTTGCTCGCTCTCCTTGACCTATTATCCTTTTTCTCTTCATCCTTATTTCCACCTTCCTGTCACTCTCCTTGGATTTTCCCTCCTTTGCTTTCCCTCTCGCCTCCTCTCTGCTTTTCCTCTCCTCTCCTCCTGTCCAGCCTCAGTTTCTTGAGAGGTTGTTGGAGGAGATTCAGAATCTGAAGGCCACAGTTTTGTCTCAGGAGAAGAGAATCTGTGACTTGGAGAATAAGCTTTCCCAGTACACCAACGGCACCGCCTGATATGCCCTGGAGCATCTTCTAAAGGACTGGTTTGAGTTTCAGAATCATCTTTATTGAAAGAATGCATTTCCACTGCTCTTGACAAGAAATCACCCTTATAGATGCTCTGACAGTGTTGGCTCCTGAAGAGGTGCCACCGTGGGAAGAGTATGGATGCTGATAGTTGATAGCTTTTGAAAAGCCACGCCCAGATGCTTTGTGGCACGTTTCATACAACGGTAATAGATTTTAGTGTAGTCACACCTTTATGGTGACAAATGAAGGGAGTGAGTTGACAGCTGTGGAGCCTGTGGGTTTGAGGGGAATGTGAAGGTTGGCTCAAAGGTCTTAAGAAAGTCTGCACTGTCTACACAGTTTTTAAAAGGGCAAAGGAAAACCATAGGAAAAAGAACGTAGAGAAAACTGCCAGAAAACGACTAAATGATCACAGACACCGACAGCCATGAAAGGAGCGTGCACACATCGTAGCCCTAGTCGCTGCCTCACCCTCTGTACCAGATGACCACGTTATTTTGCCTCTCTGGAAGCTTCTCAAAATGTAAATAGTGGTAAAGGACACAGGTGAAAACAAATTATGAACCTTTTAGCAAAACATGCAATAAGTTTTGTGTTCTGTAAAACAGTAAACATTAGACCATGTTATAACAACAATAAAAAAAAAAGGTATTTTTTAAAAATTCCCTGCCTTACTGGTTCATTATTTCACACACCACTGTATCAGGACGGAGTTCAGAGATGATTCTCTCCATCTGGAGAAGGGAAATAGGTCTAGAAAAAAGTCAATAAGTTGTGTAGGTGGAAGATGATCAAGAGTTTTCTTTGTTTCTTTCCATTTGCATAATGTAGAATACATTGAACAGTCAACGTTAGAAATAAGCATAATTAAGTTGCTCACCCTTTCGTAAAAGTCACAGGGAGCAATAAATAATTCTGAAATTGGTCATTTATGTTGGAATAATAGAAATTTTCCTAAAGATAGTTACTATAGAATCACTGGAGATCAATGGTCAGGCTAAGGGAGTTCAATATACCAGGAATTTATGTATTTGCAAACACAGCTCACAAGAACTGACTCCTGAAAGGTCATGCAAGCACATGACTCCACACAGACTGAGAAGTAAGAAGTAGACCAGATACACATCTACCACATGGCTACAGGTATGAACAGAATAATGATATAAATGTATATAGTTAAATGTAATGTCATGAAAAGTGTTGTCTCATTGCTGGCATTGAAGCAGAGAATCACATGTTAATCTATTAGCAGTTGAGTTTATTAAAGAGTAGAGCCAATCAAAAGCATCACAAAACAAATTAATGTATAATAACAGCTGCCAATGAATGGGTGGCAACAACCCATCATGGTACTTACATGTGTGGCTTTGCTAACTTTTAGAAGTTAATCATTTAATTGTAACAAGCTACTTAGCAATACTGTTATAACTGAATGTATTTTAAGCTGTCTACAACAGTTTTGTATTTTTTTCAAATCGGTCATGCTGGCAACAGGTTATACAGAGTGTCCAAACCTCCTGCCTAACAACTATCCTAGTGCCTCTCAGCTGAAACACATCACAAAGTCCACTTGAGCAGTGGCTCAAATCTGAGCCTCTCACAATTAGAATGCTATATAAGGATGACATGTTTATGTATCATTCAACAAGAAGATCAAAAATGATAAAGTAAGGATAAAGTAAGATATGAAAATGTATAGATTACTCAACTGTTTGCAGCTATGACATGCAGTCACTCAGGGCCTAGGCCAGTCAGAAGAAGAGGTCCAAATGCTAGCATACAGAAGCAGAGGAAGCTTGACTGAGTGACTCTGGTGGACGTGGAGAGAGCAGCTGATGATCCTTCTCGGGCACTGTAGGGACACAAGCCCACGTTACCGACCCGGTCCACCACCAGCAGCTCCGCATCGGGCGAGCAGCAGGACGCCGTGTAGGACACCAGTGTTATGTTCTCGTTTCCAGCTGCCAGACTGGTGTTCATCGTCCCGCTGCCTTCCCTGAGGCTGACGCGGTCAACACCTGTTCCCTCAGCACCATCGGTCACCCTGACACTGAGCACCCATTCTGACAGGCTGCAGTTCTTAGTGCAGTTGGCCTCCAGGTTGAGTAGCTGACACCCTGGTGGGTTGAAATCAGTCACCTGTAAGGATATCAAAACAAAAAAAATTAAGATCTTCAGTTTTTATCTAAGAAACAGAAGAGGCAGAAAAGTCTAACTTCTTAATGCTCATTTCCAAACTATAAATCCAGTGTAACAGATAGTGTTCGACTTAGATAATATTGTTGTGATTGTACAATGATCTGGACAGTGGCACCCCATATAAATAGGTTTTCCAAAAATGTTCATTCCATAATTATTGTTACCGTGTTAACAATGGTGAAACGCAACACTATGTAGTTCATATCTTCGCCCCCTGGAGCCTCGACTTCAATGGTCAGCGTGACGTCGGTGCCGGACGGGGTGTTCAGAGGTGCTGAGAGGGTCACCGTGCCGTTAGTGCCGTTTCCATTTTCCATGAATAAACTGGTTGGAAACGTTGAGTCAAAATCTCTATTGTTGGTTGCTCGGATGGTAAGGTTCCCGTCCGTTCCATTAGCCATCACAGAGAAGGGCACAGAAAAAGGTGTCCCTGGAACCAGGATGCTGTTTGCATCAGCCTAAATAATGATTGAAAAACTGCTTAAGAATTGAATTTGCCACACATTCTGCCATGTGAGGTTACTCGCATAATAAAGCTACTTACAGTAATCGTCAGATTTGAAGATCTGAAGTTTGTTGGTGACTGCCTTTGGAAAACATCTGAAGAGCTGGCGGTTCTTCCAGTCAGGCGTACCACAAACTCCTCTGACGGCATTCTGTTGAACTGGACTAAGACAGCCCCGCTTCCCTGGGGCACCAAATCCCCGCTGACCTCCTCTGAGCCTGGTGATTTGACCAGCAGGACCTCGGTCACCGTGGCAGACTCGCTCCCCGTTACCGACACCAACAAGCTGCTGCTGACACCTTTCACGGAACAAAAGGAATCCCACATGTTAGGCATGTTGAAGTGACGATGAATCTGTGTGCCTCCTGGCAGATGCCTTTACCTGCTCTGGGGCGTGTGTCCAGTGCATCAAATCCGCTAAACGGGCCTTGGGATGGCTCCACAAAGTCAAAGAAGAAGTCAATAGGACTCTGACCTATGAATTAAAAGTGCAGAGAAACAAAAAAGTTGAAGTTGCACCGTGACTCGTGACTTTTGAGAATGTCGGCCGTCGTGATGTGGACTTTTTATGATGATTAGCTTCTTCAGCAAAACCATTGGCAGCGCACAAAGGACTTTGTCAGTGAAGTGTCTCACCTATAACTCTCAGGCTGTAGGAGTCAGTTGACACCATTCTGATTTCCCACTGTCCAACTTGTTTTTGGAGCTGCAGTGTCCTCAGGTTTCCCACAGACTGAGATGAAGAGATCAGTGAGCCTGCTGAGTCGGTGCTTTGCTGAGTTCCACCTTAAAAACAAAACAAGTAGGTTGTTAGAATAGCTGATTTAAAGGTTTTCATTTTTTTCAACATCAGACATTTCAAATATAGAATCCATAAGTGACTGGTAAAAGTCATTAAGAAACCATTCTAATATGCAGGTAATTTGTCGGATTATCTTATTTCTTTTGTAACTCTACTAATGTAATTTATGAATAGATTTAAAAGTATAAATGAATGAATAGATATTCGGATACAAATATTACCGTTTGGGCTGATGAGTGTGAACGTGACAGAGCTCCCTGTGATGTAAAGAGTCAGGCTTTTTACCGAGTCATCTACGATAAACTGGAAATTTTCTGACCTCCCTGGACCCCTGGAGGCCTGAAGAATGGTTACCTGAGAAACACAGTAAGATATAAGATTAACCAGATGGGATTTATTTAGCTGAGACACCTCCATAACAGGGACCTCACCAGAGAGGAGGTGGCGGACTGCGTAATGATTCCTGTGGCAGCAGGAAGGTCCGCCTTTGTGACTTCGACAGCCAGGCCTCCCGAGGCCTGAGCCAGGTCGCGGTACAGCTGAGCATCAGATGCTGCTAACATTCTGGACTGCTGCAGGTTGCCGTTACGATTCGTCACTGTTGAATCTGTGATCATGAAATTTATCTGTGAAGATAAAGATGTGATTAATGGCAAGTTGCACAAATTAGAAAGCTCTGTTGTACTTAAAAGTGAGTAAACAAAGTTAAATACTTAGACATAGATTTTTTAAACAAATAATTTACAACCCATCCCACTTAATTGTTAAACAATTTTCTCTAATTTGGTAAAATATTGAGTAAGGTCAGGCCTAGTTAGCCACCATCAGTTACTGACAACCAATAAAAGAACAGGTTGTCAGTTGAATATTACTTAAACCCAGACGTTTCCATTTGAGTTTGTTTTCTGTTTAATGATTAATTTAACAAATGTTTTTAAAGCGAAATTGCCCCACTAAGCTGACGACAATTTATATACTTATGTATGTGACTACCATTTTGCAGCACTGAGTACTTGAGTTAAGTAAACATCCCTAAAATTCTATAATAGATGTTAAATCTTTAATAGCTTTCAGACTCCTACATGATCAACCACTTACAGATAAAGCACCAATTTGTTTCTGAATTGGTCCGTTTAATTATATAGAGAAACATTTAAAACATATGAATACTTCAAAAGAAGTTTTTACTTGTGTTGGGGTGTGGTATATAGTGTGTTATACAATAAATGCTAAGGCACCTTTACAAGCTTCACAATCCTAAAACCTGCCTCAGGGAGATTTTATTGTAAAGTAGCCCTGCAGGTGAAATAGAAATTCCCACCATGCAGAGAATCTCACCGTTGTCTGGGTCCGCTCTATCAGTGCGATCACTGTGTTCTTCAACTCTTTGTCTTTAGCAGGTGCATCGGTAAAGAGAAAGATCTCAGAGTTGAAAGGAGCGCCAGTCAAAGCCAGCTTTACGGGTGAGAAACAGCAGAGAGCAACCATTTAAACATCTGTACACGTTATCCAGCTGTGGAAACAGTCATTCAGACATTGCTGTACCTGTAGTCCTGAGAGAATGTATTCCTCATCATCCCCCCCACCTTCTGCTGTTAATGCGTTAATGGTATTCTTGAAGATTGTAGCGTCTGTGGTCCTTTTCAATGGGCCGAATTCTATTTTTTATTTGGTGACAAAAGTGAGACAATTTTTCATTTTCATCCTACCCATATCGGCTAAAAAAAACAGCACATACTCACGACACAAATATCATCTTAAAGAGCCGACCTGGATCATTCACAGGTACAAGAATGTAAACCGAGGGCTCGTTCTCTGTTCCCACATCATTGTCAATTATGGTGGAGGTGACCGACTTCACCGCGTCAATGTCATCACTCATGCTCTTTGTCGTGTCGATGACAAAACAAAGAGCTTTACTGGATCCTTTGGAGATTCCCACCATTCTGAGGAATAGACGAGTTGGACAGGATTTTAAAAAAAGGACAAAACACAGTATAAATGAGGCAGAATGGCTTCCATACTCCAGGAATGGCCGGTCCCCTGCAGCCAGTCGAACATCCTCCAGCAGCTGACTGGTTGCAGCTACGGCCATGTTTGCTGCTTGGGTGTGAAGATGTCCGTGGCTGGCGCTAAAACTGTCTTTGTTGATCCCTCCTTTAGGCTCAATTTTACTTGTTAGATCAACTGCTCCTCCATGACTGCACTTTCCTTTTTAAAGCAAACAGTGAAGGATTATTAGCACTTGAACACAAGTCTGTTTCACAGGATTAACACAATCCATTTTCACTACAGGTCATTTTTATAACCAGATAACCAAATGAAATTGTTCCACCCCTTTTTATTAAAAAAACGAAAAATTACTGCTCATCCACAAAAAATAAATATGCACACTTGCTCCCATTGAGAAATGTTATTCAATTAGGTCTTCATACACAAAGTTCAATTTACGGTCCACAAGCCATGTCCCTCAGCTTCTGAACATAGCTGGACCACTTATTTCATTAAAAAAATGAAATATAGGGCAAAATAGAAATGTAATGATTATTCAAAGTAAGTATAGTACTTTTCACCCCTGCTCAAACCCCAATGTGTCTGGATCACTGCATGCCATGGATAAAAACAAGCACATATTTTGTTTCTGCAAACTTTTTCGTGATGTCATGAATAGGAATACTTTAATTTATCATTTACCTTTTGGTTTGGTTGAGACAAAAGGCACGATACCAAAATAGCCCGAGGTCAGGATATTCCCTGAAATGATGTCCTCCAGGATGTTATTCCTGCAGTCGTCTCCATCACAGCTGCGACATGTAGCTCTGCTTTCGGCTGAAAGAATGCACATCACTTTTTCAGGTATGTGCAAATGTTCTGTCTTATCTCTGCTGGAATGCTTTTTTTTGTCAGTATTATCAGTTTGCCACTACATGATAGCTTCACTTCACCTGCTATGTTACCAATGCTGGTGTCAGCTCTGATCAGATTGGAGTTTGGGAGAGTATTTCCCAGTTCAACCCAGTTACTATGACTGTAGAAGTCCTGCAAAGTGGTAAAAGAAGGCAAGTCTTTATGTTCTACCAATAAACCTTTTTTAAGTGGCATTCATAAAACTTTTAAAATACGGTCAAATACCTGTAACGGATGTAGAAGCTCTCCTAATTTCAGCCTTGTTGTCCCATAATTTCCCTGCTTGTTGCTGGCTTTCACAGCTATCATTCCCTGGGTGATGATTCTTCTTCCTTGTTCGAACATCTCCTCATCAAAGTGAAAGCTTGCATTGAGAGCCCGGCGGATGTCCACTCGTATATTGCTGAGCTGGATTAAGGTGATGGCTTGGAGGAAGGTTTTAGTTGACTGTGGCGCGCTGCATGCAGCTGCAACACCCTCTGCTGTGAAGGGCTGTGCCTGTACAGGTAAAGACAAATGATGTCAACATTACCTAGAATCACTGTACTCACCCCAAGCAGCGCTAGAACTGAAGTAAATCCATACAGGAAAGTCGAAGTTTGTTCCCTCAACTTGGGCCAGAGAACGGCACGTCTGCACCGTGGCGTTCAAAATGGCTTGCTTTGTAATCTCCAGATGATTCAGAGATTTCCCAGGTAATATCCCAAAACCCTGAGCGCCGGTATGCAGGAGAAGGACGCAGAAAACCACAAGTGCTGAAGACATGGTTGCTGGAGTTGTCTGAGGAGGGGAAAAAGTCTGTGTTTAAGTACATTTTCTGTCATCATACAGACTGTAACAATCACTTTGGCTTTGAAATCTTCTTAATCTAATGCCGTTTGTTCCTTAAGGAAGTGACTGCCCATGTTTTCATGTTATGTTTCTCATGCCTTAGTTCTAAGATTTTGAATAAAAACAGGAAAACTGGGCTTCAGTAAGTAGCAATTGTCAGGGTCGGGGATTGATCCCAGGTGGCCGGCGGGAAGCAATCTCCTGACCCACGGAGGCCTAGATAGTGACTCAAGCACAGGCAGGTGTAAACGAGGAAAAGAGTTTATTTCCCAAAAATAATCAAACGCTCAGAAGTTTCCAGAAAAAGGTAAAAAGTCCAGAACACAGGTAGTTAGATCCTAAAAAACTAAATACATCCAAAAGGTAAGTAAGACTTACTGGGTGACCAACCAAGACTCAACAAGGAGGGCAACAGAACACAGGGTTTAAATACACTAACATAATGAGGCAATCACATGACAATAGTGGGGAACAGGTGGTAGAGACAGACAACCAAAAAAGGAAGAGGGACTTTGGCGACATCAGGTAGTGAGACAAAAGGGACCCAGATTATGACAGCAATCAGCTCTTAAACCATTCCCTCTGTCTTCAGCATTAATTGATACACGATATACTCGCAGTTTTATGCCTCTGACTTTAAAAACAAAAACACTTGATAAATCAATTAAGAACTTTCCTGTTTTCCTGAGAATCAGCTTTTCAAATAACCTTTTGCTGTAAATACAAGCCCTTTAATATAACATTCACATTTAATAAGATTATTTCTCTGACTGGCTGCAAAACAGATTTTTAAAGTAATTATTTCAGTCAAATTAAACTACAAACAATGAGCAAGGTCTTGCATGCAAAAGAATCTAACTCTCAATGTCTGAAAAGTCATTTTTCATAATAACATTTTTTTTGGTATTTCACAGAAGTTAGAAGAAAAGCGACTGACCTTACGCCGTGCGACACACTTGTGTGACTCTTTTTCCTTCTCCTCCTTTATCAGCAACCATCTCCAGATGGAATCAGGTTGGACTTGTTCTACTTGTTGCTCAAATAAGATGCCACCGGTTTCATTTCTGGATGCTGATACATCACACAATCTTTGTTCTTTGATTCTTGAATTTTTCTGTAAAGTGATAGTTTCAGCTCTTTTAAGATCCGTGCTGAAAGAAATGAGGTGCCGAGAGACTCCCATTGTGTCTGTGTCCTCGTTCCTGATCAGACTGAGGGCAGTTTTGCTAAAGGCTATTTTCCCTACTGTCTTAAGCCACGGGCGGGGTGCAGGCTTGTTTACACTGCCGACAAACAGGTATTGAGCCACAGTTTTAGTATTGGAACTGATAGGTGGAGGGATGCGAAGCACAACTTTGTTGCCTCTGCAGAAACTAAGCTGCTTCACAGTTTAATGCTGAGGGACTTTAGTTTAGTTCATTTTAGTTTGTAAGTTCTGCAAATACCACAAGCACCAACGCTTATGGTTAAGATGAAAATAGTCTCAATTTTGTCAGACCTCTTTCAGTATATTAGCTGTCATTGGGAGATGTCATTCAAGAGGTTTTTGTAGACAAAGTTTCACTCTCCAGACAGAATATCCCTCTGCTTTGGGAATAGCTGAAAATTTGATTTACAAATTTAAACATATTATCAGATAACTCGAACAAAATGCCTCCTTTCATGACTGGGTTGGACACGTACGTGGAAGTAAAAATGAAGAAAACTTAGCCTTTTCCAGACTAATCCTCTCCTTGAAAGAATAAATGCATGCATTTCCTGCAATCATGGCCAGTCTCCAAAAAGATCAGTGAGGACAGATTTGGAAGAAGCTAAGAAAAGGACATAGATAATCAGCTTTTACATGAATATAAATAACTCAGATGAAATAGCCACTCCAGAAGTACAAACAGCAGTCAGTTTTAGAATTACAGAAATGTGAATCCTTATGAGATTTAACAATCTTATAAAAATATTTTGATCAGCAATACATGTAAAAAGAATGTAAACCGTACAAAAAAATGGTGTGAAAATAGACTTTGGTTTAACTAATTCATCTTGAGGGAACAAAATTATTTAGGATAATCTAACAGGATAACATGTTTCAGCAACAAAATTAATGATGGAAATCCAGTGTCTTAATCAGAAGATATACATTACATTCATTTAAGCAATTAAGCTTCAAATGATATATAAAGTTCCCTGTTGGGCGAACTGGACCTTATTACCGACTTTTGGATGAAATGCTTACAGCTAGATGACGTTGACTGACATTTAAAAATATAGACATTCAGTTAATATCCACCTCAGATGATAAACCAAGCCCCAGAACTGTGATACCAAGGCAAAGAAAAACTGACTGGACGTCTCTGACGGACAAAGATGTAACATTTGAAACATTGGCTGTAGTGGGATCCAGTAGACTCCTGGTGTTTTCCTCTGTCGTAACATTGACGTGGACAGAAAATCTGCAGGTTGCCACATTGCCCACCCCGTCCACAACC